CTGTCTTCTACCAGACAATTTTATGTAGATCGTTACTCTATAAAAATTAGCAGAGTGGAGAAAATCGAATACCTTGGAGGAGAGGATTCTAGTATACTCTTTTATAAACTGTAGTAATGTAAACAGGGTTTCACCCGAGAGTCACTCGATTTCCCTTGAACATGTAGCTTTTCGAATTTCTTTCGTAATCCACCGTAACAGGACAAGGGGTTATTACCATCATTGTCTGACTTTCCTGTACGAAAGATCCCCTTCGATTTCTCTGACCCCGAGTTCTCCCGGGGGAGGAATTCCCGGCCGGAAATTCATGCTCCAGATCGAGCTTCGTAAGTAGAGCTCGACCCGCGCCCTTAAACGCGGCCCCGCGACCATTCTTTCCCCGAAGCTCGACGCGCGGAGGTTGGCCCATAAATTTCCGTGACCCGCTTTCCTAGTCTAGCCATCGACAGGAAATGTGCCGCTTATGATCCGATGCGAAGTTTCCAGCCGGGCCGTCGCGACCTAAATTGCGCCAAGGCGATCCGAGTGGACACCACGTGAAAAGGAACTTTTTCGCCCCAATCGAAAAGGGATTGGGACCACCCTGGCGAGACCCCCCGGCGAGGCATAGATTCCCTCCTCTCCTTTAAAGGCGATCACACCACATCGAAGGCGTTGATCTATCGATTCGTTCGGGTCACCGAAGTTAAGCAACATTGAGCGCATTCGGTCCTCGGATGGGTGACCACTTGGGTCATAAATTAATACTGATTCCACAATAATCGACCCGAAAAATCCGAAATCCAAAATATAAAAGCGGAAAAGAAAGACAACTAACGAAAGTAAGTTAAATAATTCTTATTATTAAATCAATCTAATGTGTGATTATATCCCGCAAGAAGATAACATACGATCATAAATTAATATTGACTCCACAAGAACCAATCCAAAAGATGAAGACGGAAAAAAAAGACATCTAACGAAAGGACATTAATTCATTCTTATTATTAAATCAATCTAGCGTGTGATTATATCCCGCAGGACGATAACATACGATCATAAATTAATATTGACTCCACAAGAACCAATCCAAAAGATGAAGACGGAAAAAAAAGACATCTAACGAAAGGACATTAAATCATTCTCATTATTAAATCAATCTAATGTGTGATTATATCCCGCAGGAAGATAACATACGATTTCAGGGAACCTGGGTTATCTCCATAATTTTTCAAGGGGTACATTCTATGTATTAAATAATAAGTATAACTCGTATCGAGACGTGGAGTTGATCGAAGAAAATAATCGAACCCAATTGGGGGATCAACCGGCGCGGCCAGACCGCTGCGGTCTGTCGCGGGATCGCCGATAATGTCGCGCTCCACGACGGCGTCAAGCCCCGAGGGACAAACCGCGTTACGCAGAGAGGCGTTCACCCGGTGTCACAACGAAGCGGAGAGTGGTTTAGAAAGCGGCCAACACCGAGAGCCGAGCAAAATCCGTGCCCACGAGTGGCTCGCCGCGAGCTCGTCCCTCCTCTCCGGCGAGAATAACGCGAAGACCGGGCCGGGATTTAAAAGGCCGGGAGGGCTTCCCGAGCCTGCATTTTTCGGCTCGTCTCTTCCTCCGATCCCTTCAAGGTCCTCTTCGAGTCCTCGAACCCCTCGAACCACGAGCAGACGGCTCGATTCGTTCCTCCCGTTAAAGCTCGTGTCCACGGGCAAGTGTAAAACTTGCCGCTCCCAGACCTTTATAGCCCACGATATACACGGTTTTGGAAACGAACTCGCCTACTATAGAATAATTAAAGTACAAGAAGACGCCTATAGTTTGGCGAGTTTGACGGTGAGAAATCTCTTAATCCCGGGCTCTTCCCTCCTGATTCTCTTAACACATGCGCGACCGCTGACGTGAATTCACGTCTTTTCTAGTTCTATTCCCGATTGCCGCAGACGTGAATTCACGTCATTTTAAATTCATTGTTTTCGCCGATACTCGGTATTTGAAACGAAAAAAAATGTGCAGGTCGCGAATGTGTTAAAAGTGCTTCCCGAGCGCCTAAGATACATCTCGCAAACCGTTTTCCACGTAAACGCATATTTCTCGCGTTTTATTACAAGTCCCTTGTTTTCTTCTCTATTTATTATAATTACAGAGGTAACGTCTCGTTGGGCGACATTTTCAATGTAGAATTTCTCATGTACGAGTAGAAAAATTACCGCAAGCTCGTAACCAGAGATTTAGGCGCTAAAGCAAATTACTCCGGCAAGTCGTATCCTCAAAGGAACCCGTTAGGGAGACCCGAGGCAATAAATTCCCTGGAAATTCGTCGCTGGTGTAAACGCAACGACAAGAAATGTCGCAAGTCGCTCGCCCATGGACACGATCCTTTGCCCCGCGTTAAGCCGATATTCGGAGAGGCGTAAATTATCCGGCGTCGGTCGTTAAGCCCCGCGACGGCTCGCATAGATCGAAAATCGATTGGCAATCCCGCAAAATCCCTCCTAACTAACCCCTCGACCGGCTATCGGAGTTTAACCTCATCGCGGTGTTTCGATCGGCGATCTCGAGGTCGCCATAGACCCGTCGTCCCCCTCGGAAGGAAACCTATCCTTCCCAGGATTTCTCCCCTAATCGCCCGCTTTCAGATTAGTCTTAATTAGCGCCGATCACTCGGCACGCGTACTAAAGGCGTGGTTTTACCAAACTCTCAGTGTAAACACCGGTATACCAAGAGTAGACGATACACACCTTTTCAGGGTATACTCCCAAGCCGAGACACGGTCGTTTACACCGAGAGTTTGATAAAACCACATTGTATGCGTACCAAGTGGTCGATTTAAACTAAGCCTTAGAATGCCCTCTTTCCCTCACCCAGCACTCCGAAATGGCCGATTCCCTCTGAAAGGACTTTTGAGTTTTCTCCCGGTGTGGCCCCCAGGAACGTTTACGGGATCCTATTGTTAAGTCGGCCTAGGTTCGAGCACAGGTAGAGCTGCAGGTAGAACCATGGGCTCGGATCTCCGGGTAAAATACGACAAATCTTGCGTGACAAGCTGGAAACGAGGAGGCGATTCGTTACGCGCCACCTGTAAAAGCTTCCCCCCTCTGTAACGGTATATACGCCGGCCGCGTTATAAAGTTTTTAAGCGTTCTTATGTACTCGCTCGACTTTCACGCTCGTTCTTCACGGCCAAACCGTAAAGCGGCTCCGCTGCGGTTCAATCGTCGTAACGTCGCCGCGACAGTCCAGCTCCTCGCGCGGAAAAATCATTCGGCCACGAGAACGAATTCTACTACAGCAAGTGTAAATACTTGAATATCGGCTGGCACGACTTTTTCTTTTTTTTTTTCTTCTTTTCTTTTCTGCAAAAAAGTGTGCCGCATGAAGATGCAAAAGAAAATACTAATAATTCTTGGAGGCAATGAAAATTATATTCACGGTTGCCAAGAATCTTTACTAGCGACAACAAACTGTATATCGGCCATTTGATCGAGGAGTAACGACTAAATTTTTAGGAGTAATGGGAGGACTAATATTTTTTCCCTGTATATAAACCTCAGTTGTAGTTGCATCTACATCTGGGATACGATTACAAACATTTTTGCAGTTAATGCAATTATTACTGCAGTACTTGGTCAACGATGCTCTCTGTTGCTAAGGGTGCACATTACCTTTTTTTCATCCGCCAGGAAAAAACATGAAATTCGAAACTGTATCGATAAATTGCACCCCCGTAAGTAACGAGCTTGCAAAATGTGCGATCGGCTTTAGCAAGGGAGGATCAGGCTCGCTTTGATTTCGTTAACTTCGGCGTAACGTGGTTATGCAAGCACGACCAGGGATTTGCTGTATTATCACCGCCATTTACTGTAATCCAGCACTGATAACGCTGCACCTGCAGTACCATCTGGTTCCGATAACTCATCGATACGTTTACGATTGGCCGACAACCTCTGACTATCGAGAGCCTTGGCGTCGGAATAAAGTCAGAAATGGATTTCGTTGATACTCATAAGTAGAATCGCGTTGCGGATAGATAGCTGGCGAGAATCCTCGTTTCGTGTCCGCGTATGAAATTGGTTTCAACCAAGAAAAATCAATGACGCGTTGTTGGTCTCGCGGTCAAGGTAATATCATCGTTTCCCGCCCAAGCGTGCTCTTTGTTTGTGAAAATGATTCAAGGACACGGACTCGGTTACGCGTGTCAACATTGGGCGACCATATTGCGTTTCAATTTTGTAAAATCCCACAGCAACTGATAACTTCTAGGTAATAGAAGTTATACTCAATTGAGCGCAATCACCCAATATAGGTTTCTACCGTTTTCAATTACTGCCCCTGGACCTCTTCAAATAAAATAATAAATCTTGTCGGATGCATCGCACTATACCGTACTGGTCATTGACGAACCGTGACTCAAAGTATCGAAACCTTTGAAAAGTGTTAATTCCTCTTCGAGTCAACGTACTTCTGAACGATACTTTTGAACCCTAGCAGGTGTTGGCATTAAGATACGAGTTATAAGATTGCAAACGACCGCTCGACGTTAGAGGCTAATTATATAAAATAATTGAGAAACGTCCCACTGAATTGCTATCGGTACTAATCCACGTGTAGCAAGAATTAAAATACTGCCTGAACTTTTCCAGCCAAACGTGGTAGCACGTTCTCTTTCTCAAGTCCAAACAAGTTTATGCAATCGTACATTACGCGTAAGGCTTCGTAGTGTACAATCGATTGTAAAGCATCGTTTTATATTTACATTCTAAATTTCCATAGGTTAGCGCACCACGATTCCGTCCACCCGAAATGTGGGCCACTGACCGATAACGAATGTTCTCGTCGTGATTCTATAAGTAACCTCAACATCGAGGTAAACACCTGACTAAATGGGCATGGTAATAAATGGCTGTTTAAACAAAGAATGGCTCGACGTTACTTGCATCTTTTTCAGCCCACAGGCATACGGCTCATTATATCTGGCATGCATGCAGTAAATAATGTAGAATTAATGAACCTTGAAGTATCCTCCCTGGTAGAGTGTGTCAGGAGGGCCGAAGATAGCAACTTCCCACTCAAACATGTTGTCCTCGTTAACGAGCTTGACGCGGAATCCTTCGACGGGCTCCTCTTGGAGGCTCTTGTACTCGAGCGCGAGGGCTCGCAGAGCGCTGCTAGTGGGTTGTGCCATTATTTCCACAGCCCAGAGCACGGGCGCACTGGGTTTCGGCGATGAGAAAGGTCCCGAACGGGCCTACTCGGAAAGCGCGGTCGCTGGGTCTACTGGACGCCTTCGCGGATCCTCGTTGAAGAACCTCTCGATCTCCCTCAGAAGCCTCAACGCTCGAGGCCTTCACCAAAACTTTCCGCGCGCCGCCGTGGTGCTCCGTCGCGTCTCACTACCGGCGACGTGATCACCGTTGCCGACGGGTCGACTTTTTCTACCAAATAAACAAAGGAACACGGTCAAACCCGTTAACTGCGAACCGTCTCTATATCCAACAGTAATCCATTCCCGATGCGTGCACCTTAGCTTTAACAAAACAGCTGACGTGCTGCTTTGCGTCAGCGTTGTATTCGACGCATGCGCAGACCCCGGGCACGTTCGTACTTCCTCAGGATGGCCGCCATCTTGCTTTTGAATAAATGATCGTGGCGAGAAGAACTACCTCATTTTACCGCCAGGTGGCTACGCTGACAATGGTGGTGTAGCCACCAATGACGTGCCTGAAAATCGGCGCCGTGTTTAATTTTCTTCCCTTTGTTACTTGCGATAGATTCAAATAAAATCGAAATTGTATTCCTATGTCATTGATAATAATTGCTACTTTTATAGTTACTGAATCCTATTCATTATATAACTAAAAGTCAACTGAAATATTATGTTTTATTACAAAATGCAGGTTCCATTTACTGTGTAACTGTCCACCAATCAAATCGGTGCAGAAACATTCAATGACGTTCGGTGAAAGTAGGAATGGAAGCTTAACTTGAGAACGTGGCAACTATGCTTGTTTAGCGACCGGTTCGGAGTACTCTACTTGACGACACCGGTGGTTATTGGTTAAAAATGTCGCGTTTCGGGAGGGTGTTATCTACATTTTTCGTTACGTGCATTACACTTTTTGCATTAATTAGCTGTCAAAAATCAGAGTCGTCGAAGAATGCCTGGGTGGACGTTCTGGATGAAAATAATTGGGATCGCATGTTGACGGGGGAATGGATGGTTGAATTGTAAGTCGAAAAGCGATAATAGCTCGACGTCCTCAAATTTGATGACGTTCAAGAAATCAAATTTTTTTAAGTTTGTGTTGGGGCAGTAGTTTATCATAAAATATTTCTTCTGTACGTTAAGAGTATTTTTAAATTTTTGAGTATTCAGCTTAAAAATTAAAAATGGTAGAAAAGACATCTTTTAAAGCCTATTAATGTTTTTAAGATGCATTGATGCTCGTTTTTGATATTACAGTTACGCACCATGGTGTCCAGCATGTAAAGCATTAGAGCCTGTATGGAATAGTCTAGCGTCATGGAAAAAAGATCTTAATATAAATGTTGGAAAAGTTGATGTAACGGATTCACCAGGTCTTAGTGGCCGATTCATGGTTACTGCTCTGCCAACGATATACCAGTACGTTTAGTAATATCAATAGTTCATCTTTTTTCATAGAAGTAATGAATAGTATATAAAATAATACTTGTGCTTACAGTGTTAAAGATGGAGTATTTCGACAATATAAAAGTCCTAGAGACAAGGATTCATTGATTGAGTTTGTGACTGAGAGAACATGGGAAAAAGTTGAACCAATTCCTAGTTGGAAAAGCCCTACATCTATACAGATGTCTATTATTAGTCTTTTCTTTAGGATGTCTCCAGTCTTAAGGGTAAATATAATGAGAATAGCGTTAATACTGATACTGTAATTAAAAAAGAAAATAATTGTTTCATTTCAGGGCATACAAACTAAGCTTCTGGAAGATTTTGGTTTACCCGCATGGGGAAGCTATTTAATCCTTGCTATTGTAACTATTATAGTTGGTGCTATTCTAGGACTGGTAAGATATCAATTTCTATATTTCTTTAATGTGTATAAATATTTTGAATGTAATTACTTTGTTTTGCATGTATTTTCAGTTCGTTGTGTGCTTACTCGACTTGGTTTACCCCAAAAAATGTGCATTCCAAGGTAAAGGAAAACAAAAAGATAGTTCTGGTGGATTTGTGCAGGAAAAGGGTTCACAGGACGACGAATTAGTGGAAAATGTCAAAGATGATTTAGTGGATGAAGAAGGTAGCGAATCCGAGGCTCAAGAAGAGAATAAAGATAAAGATACTAATCTTGATAGTAATGAATTGGTAGATGAAACAGCTGCACCTAGTAGTCCTAATGTTCGTAAGCGTAAACCACGAAAAGCGGACTAAACACATTAGCTTTTTTTATTACATTAACTCACTCCCAGTTTTGAATGACATTTAGGGGTCAGTTACACATCAAATGTTTGTCTTGTTTTAGTAGACCTTCAATATTTTGATTAAATGACTAATATCTGTCACGGCTTAGTCAAGCCAAACATTTTAGTATGTTTATTATCATGAGACTCTGCATTGTACGAAAATAATGTGCAACACATTTAGAAAAATCCCCAAAAATATAATTTGGGAAAAATATTTACTTCCCTTAGACTAAATCGGTGCCCTTAGATTGAACAACTTACATTCTATTTGCTTCGCACTAGTTTATCCCAGTGACACCATTCCATTTTTATTGGTACAACTGAAGTAATTATTTTTATAAATCCATCACAATTTATTGATATTGTGAATTATATGCATTGTGAGTAGGAAATGTTGAATGCTTCCCATTATAATGTTTTCTCTCGTATAGCTATAAATAAGAATGATCAATAAGTTATTAGTATGTGTCATTGGTGTGTCACTGACCTTTGAGATTGATATTATTTAAATTGATTCCTGAAGATTTTACAAATGACAGGACACCATATGGTGATTGTGTACTTCATAGTATAACTTTTACAAAAATTCATGCTGGGTACCAAATAAGTCGCTGTATACCAACATATTTTTCATAGCAATCTTATTTCCGTATACTTTCCAGTATGAGCTCTGTTATTAGAATTTTTAGATATTATTTATTATAATCTTAAATTTTATTATCATTACTCAACATCTGAAGTGCAGCTTAAATTTTCGCAGTTTTTTACATTTAAAACTACACATATGCATGATTATGTTAAGATTTTCTGTATCGTTTCATTTTGTATGGTTAAATCTAGTGTATTGTTCTACTAATATTAATTCGTGCTCATACTTTATTGATTTAAGCCTTAACAAATTATCTCTTTAACATTTGATCACTACAATATGAGTATTGCTAATTATGATTATAAAGAAGGGCAATGTTTAGGCAGTGAGCTATGTAAAAGCTGTCTATAACACAGAGAGTATCAGATTCTATAGGAATTCATACCCGTAAAAGTGAAAAATTCTTCAATTGATCAATTTACAGATTATTTTTTATAATTTGTATATATCCAGAGAATTGTAATGGATTGAAAATACTTAAAATTTTGTATGTTCAAAAGTAATTATCTAATTTCACAGATAATTTCACAGAAGATATAATTATCAGAATATACTGACTTTCTATTAAATATAGTTCTTTATTTTCAATCATATTAACAGCTAGAATTTTGTTTAAAAAATCAAAAACTAAATTTAATGATTGGTTATCACTTTGAATAATAAAAGTTCTGAACAATTTAGTTATTTTGCACCGAATTTTATATGTGGTGTAATGAAGCTAGTGCCTTCAGTTTGGCACTTTAGATTCTTATAGTAAATAAAGTTATTATAGAGAAAATAATACCTTTCATTTTAAACCATAAAATGAAAGTAAAATGTGTCTACGTCGTTCATAAGTCATTCAAGAAACACTATATTCGTCAAGTATGCTTTCATATCCATTGCATAAAATGAATACGTTTATCGATTTTATATGAACAATGTATAGACAACATAATTAATTTGTAAATTAAACATGATTGCTGTAACATAATACTACTATGTTTTAATGCCTTCGGGACTGAGATATTGAAATATTGAGAAAGGTCGTTTATATATACATTTACCTTTCTTTTTACTGCAATCAATGCTATAGAATTGCAAAGTTCAAATTTCACTTGAATAGTATAAAATACGGAATAGACAACGCTTTAAAATATACATTCACGTAATGGCACTACTTTGCTTCAATTATTTATCTACCTTTTTTAAGCTCAATTTAACACAGTACAAGGTTTTTGAATCACAATTATTCAATAATTGAGTCTTCCGCACATTAATACAGAAATGTAGATGTTATTGGTGGTAAGTTCGTTGAAAAAAATTATGTATGAAGTTTCTGATTATTCAGCTCCTTTAATTCAGATACTCGAATGAACTAGAGTATAATAATTTAATTTTAGAACACCCATATATTCCATTACCGACATTCCAATAGTAGTACTACTCCTTTTGTGTTGCTTGACGAACACTCGAAAATGTATATGTGAAAAGTTAAGAAAATCATTCTTTTAAGATATGTACAACAGAATAGTGAAAAACAGTGTAATGATGACTGCCTAATTATAGTAATAATGATACTAATACGAATAAACCAATTTAATGAAAATCTATACTCTGTACCTTATATTTCCAGTGCATCGCATTAATCGATTATAACTTGTCTCTAAATGATGAATAAGCTTATAATAAAAACATTATGAATTAAATATTAATAACGATTCAAAGATTTAATTGCATTGAAGTTGGCATAAATGTTGTCGCCAAAGTTTAGTCTTAAGCGAAAAAGTAATCGAAGGAAACTTATGGCTGAAGATTTTTTCAAACTAGGCGGTACCACGCCAATATACGAATTCAGGCTCTATTTCATTTTTCCGACAGCTTTGTGCGACAAAGCGAATAAGAAGTTTTGATTGGCTGCCAGAAATGTACAACGGAAATTCAAGCATTCCGCTGTTCTTTTGTAGCTAATCAGATTCTCTTATTCGCTTCGTCGTACAAATGAAATAGGGCCTTAATCAAACGATTTGTTGAGAGTAACGCCTCTACCAATAACTGTAGAAACTATGTAGTTAAATTAGTTTCTGTGGCAAGAGTTGGACATCTCTTCGTGTTTCGTGGAATTCAGTCAATGTAACACGTGTTGAGTTGAATCTTACGTTTATTTTAAAGGAAACGTCGACGTAGGTGTTTTTCAGAAAAGTTCAGTTTCCGTTATTGGCTGGTAAGACGTTTAATTCCTACTAAAAGTTTAATAATAATCATCTCAAACGTGTAATGCATTCTACTTTACTTATAAATGTATGAAAGACTCGGTTTTCTTGTGTCTACAAAATTTTACTACCGATCGCGCAAGGCACATCCTGGCACGACGAGAATGAGCTGGCAAATTCATTCCATTTCTTCTTTTCAAAGGTTTAAAGGAATGTTTCTGAGTCAATTTCATGGAACTCTTGTTCAGATCGATGAAACACACAATGTTGCGATACTAATGTAATATTTTCGTATTAAGTAGATTTTACTTCCCTAACCTGTACAGATTTCATAACCTAGTTATTAAAAATAACATATTGTTGACCTTTTTCTCAGAAAAATCTTCTGTAAATGTTATTCTTAAACAAAATAGTGCCAGTGAATAATATGGATACGAATATCACAAATCTGATCCAGATTTCATTAAGTTTGAACGGTTGACATCTTTCGGCACACGTTTAAATAACTCTTTATTAATATGTAATATATTTATGGTTTTGTATGTTTTAGGTCAAAGCAACGCAACAAAATTAGTATTTATATTGCTCTTTGTAACTGGTATAAAGGAGAATTTGGTTAAAAACAAAAGAATAACAAAATATATATCTCAAAGGACTTGGGAGCTAAGGTCACACACAAGGGCTCTATGTGCTCCACATTGATTGTATCAAACGATAACACAATATTTAGCAGATACATATCAGCACATTTAAAAGTCAGGACATTAAGAAATTATAGATTGATCAACCATCGTAAACAGTATGCGCAACGAGATTACAGCAGCAGTACTATTCTTAGTACAGCTGATCGAAAAAAGCGAAAAATTTAGTCCTGATCAGCTAGAATGCTTTCGACGACATTTAGTGGAATTGTTGATGGATCGTTTCAAAAATCATTGGTTTCCTGATAAGCCATTCAAAGGTCAAGGTTATCGTTGTATTAGAGTCAATGGCCATAATCGTAGAGATGAAACATTAGAAAGTGCTGCAAGTGCTGCAGGGGTAAAATATGAAGATTTATCATTACCTGTTGAATTAACACTTTGGGTTGATCCTAACGAAGTCTGTTGCCGCTTTGGAGAAAGTAAAGGTTCATACTGCACATTAGCATCATTTGATGATAAGGAAAATCGTACACCTCAGAGCCAATCTAATGAGAAAAATGTTCATAAAGAAAGCTCTTCGAAGGAAAGTACTCCTAAGGTAAGACATTACTTTAAACAGCTTTACCACATTTATGACATTTAACTATTCACTGAATGATGTAATTTTGATTCTCATTTCTAGAAATCATCGAACATTCCTTCAGAGCATCAACATAAGACAAAACCACTATCAACGATTAATCAAAATCAACAACAGTTCAGTAATAGTACTGGTAGAAAACGTAATTTGAATAGTCCCAGAGCCCAACTTAACAGAAATCGTTCGTGGATCAATCACTCTTTCAACGTAGGCTATGGTCCACATCCAATAAATCAAACTTGGTACAACGTTATGCCACCATACTTTTTGGGTGGTCCATCTCCTCCACCCTTCATGGGCCCTCGAGGACACAAATGGATACATCCATCATCTTATCCAACAGGTTCTACACGTTTCCATCGTTGGTCTAATAAACCTACTCTTAAAGTATGAACTGCATCGGACTATCAATGAAATCCATTTTTAACATGTATATTTGGTTGTTCTATGACATCGCTGTTCTAAAAGAAATAGTTATGGACAAAGTAATGACAATTTATTCAAAATTATTATAATCCTGCACAAGGGTACTGTCAGGTAGTGAAAATCTTTAACTGGCCTATATAATACTTTTATGATAAACTCGTTAAATTTTTTTATTGTAAAATCTAATTAAATTTAGTTTAAACTGTTAGAAATGGATTTCCTAATTTCTATTCTTAGTCAATGATAAATGATCGACTCTATACTTACAAATGACCTTCTTCGAACCGCGATTAAGGCTTACGATTTTTTACTATAAAAATGATGTTACACTATTATATATATATATATACATATATATATGCAGGCTGTTTAATGGATTGATAGCTGTGTTTATCTCCGAATGCAAAATTGCTTGAGAAATAGCGTACTACCATCGATATTAATAGGTTTTTTTATAAATATCAATATAAAAAATATGCAAAGAAATTCATGAAATAGTTTCGCTGCGATGTATTGTTAAAGACAAGAACCATTGATACTAAGTAGGTTAGCCATTTACAAAGTGAATGCAGTATTGATTTTATACGTCTTTATATTGAACGTTTAAATTTATGACTGTACTCGTACATACAATAACGGTTGATTTGCATAGTAATCTACTCTTTTACGAGGATTGTGATGCAGAAGCATTAAAATTTAAAATTATTTTCGTTTAAAAATATTTCGTTTATAATAGGTTAACAGTGTTGGTTGAGTATTTCCTTTCAGCTTGTCTCTTTGTACATTCAAATATGTGCAACTCAAACATTTATGTAGGCAGATAGATCTTTTTACGTACTTTAGGTGTAGGCTGAAATAGTTTCACGCTAAAAGCACTTTCTAACTGAATTATAAAACAGTGATACCTGTGTTTAACATAATATTACATGCAACTCTTGTTCATGAACATATCAGTTTTATTCTAGTCATCAAACAAATGCATTTTTTACTTAAAACGTCTAAACTGAGAATATTGTCACATCCACATTAATATGCGATTTAATGCATGATTACATGTTGAAATTAAATGTATTTTGCTGGCAACATTTATGAGTTCTAAGCAGTACGAGGGTAGAATAGAATACAATTTCCAATTTCCTAGATGTAGTCTCTCTTATATTTTCAGTAGTTTTCAGTAATTTCCAGTAATATTTAAATAAAACATTAGTTTGATTCAGGTTGTCTGTTCTTGCATTTATTGAGACATTAATTTCATGCATTATCCGAGTTTCTAGTTTTGTTACTTGGAATTATAATTATCCGTGATTTTATGAGTTAATGAAATATTTCAGGACCAGGAAGTACGCTATTAAAAATTTAAATGAAGTTTTGATACATATATATTTAACAATAGTATGTTGTAATCTGCAGAGTTGTGCAATGTTTGTGTGTTTACAAATTCTATAGACGAACAAAGAATCAAGTACTTTAACTTGCTGGGTACAGCTGCAGCATTCTCCTTTGAATTAATTTGGTGGTATCAAAAATGTTTATGTATCATCATTATACAAAGCATCTTGTTTATTAGTATTTATACAAGTCAGAGTTTTTACTTTGACCGTGTTGATGTAACCAGCAGTAAATAATCCTTAAGTAACCCGCAGTGATCAAATGTTTGTAAAGGCATCATTTCCGTTAAATGCTTTAAGATTGTTGGTTCAAATACGATCAGCTCCTCTCCTTGCATCGATCGTTAAATGACTTATGTGTTCAATTTATCAGTACAACTTAACAATCAAGGTTCTCATAATGATTAATATAAAATAGGGAAATTATGTATAATGCAAAATTGAAGTATATAATCTATACGTAGAGTAAAGCAACGTTGCATTCGGATGCTGTTTTATTAATATATATAGATATATATAAACATAAATGTATGTTTGGGTGTATGTATATATGTATGTGCGGACAGCGTATATACATATATAATATCAGCTAATGCTGTGACACTTGCAGAAATACTTTTTCTTGCTTGGTTAGTCTAATGATATGACAATGCTGCACTGTAACTACGTGAATTTACGCATTTTTCCACTGGTGAAAGTACATTATACATTTATACACATTAACACATTGCTTCATGTTATTGGTAACCATTAATAAATAATGTAAACATGAGGTAATGTAGGCTGCGATATTTTATTTGAAGTATGGGTACAATCAAGTTTTACTTTTGGAGTTAGCAATGTAAGATAATTATTTCATGCACTTTTTCTTTGAGTACTGACCCTTCTATTGTTATGGGAGGATTGAAGTTTTCGCTTATGTAGTTGAACATATACGTCACAGAATTTAATGTATGAATATGCGTGTTCTTTCATTTGATCAATGTTTCAAAACAAAATGCATTATGATTTGTGTATTGCAGTGGGCGATGTAGAATATGTTTTAATGATTTAAAAGACGAATTATGACATTTTTGGTTCTATTATTACTGTTTTAAAAAACAAAATATGTATTCATCCTTATGTAAATATTATCCGGGATAGTGTAAACAAAGGTTTTTAATAATATTAAGTATGTATCTTGCCTAACAAATAGAAAGTAAAAAATCCGTTAATAAGTATTTGTAGGAGAAACAGATACACTGATGAAATTTCTTGAGGCAAGTGAACGTTATTGAATTACGATAACTAACAGGCCTAAGAATAAACTCAAAAAAGTCTTATGATTGATTAATTGGTTATAAGAGAGATACGAATTTTAAGACATTATTTTATTCAGGAATATGGATATATCCATTATAAGTACCATTACAGGAAAATGAAACTCGTGTCACATTTTGATGAATTTTTCGTTTGCCTTAAAAATATTGTCAAATCATTCAACTAATCACTAACATCGGACTTACATAATTATTCAATTACCACCCGGAGAAGTATAATTATTCAAATGTGTTTGCATTACATTTAAGTCAATACTGTTTCCTTACACTATGTTACACAACTTAGACGATCACGTACACTTATCGTAATAAAATTAATGATGAAATAAATAGTTTTGCAAATTGAAAACTGAGTGTGCATGACTTGAAATATCCTGACCCTTTTTATCTTAAAAGAACCATTTTTCACGGAATTGCTCACAGCGTAACTGTCTTCAATCAATTCCCTACTTAAATTGGAGTTTCGCAAAATTCGCATACATTCGCCAAAACGCCTGAAAACCATAAAAAATTGAAAATGCGAGAATTATGTTACAATTTGAAAATATAAGTTGTACATATGTGCAATTCTACATAGCGACACCTCTGATATCGAAATTCGAAATTTCAATGTGAATTGAGAAAAATTGTGGAGTGATTAGTGAGATAGCAGATCTGTGCTGCCCCCGTACGGAATCTTCGAAAGCCTATACATCTTTTTTTATGCCATTTATGAATTCCCGCCTGCAGATTGTAAACTATATCATTTTTTCTGTGGTTGGGTCTAGGAATTAAATGTCGTTCTAAGAAAAAGTCCGGAACGACGTGATATTGTGTTGACTGTGTTGCACAGTGCCTCATTTGGTTACCTTTCACAGGAAAGCATTCTTCGTAAACTGACTTGTCGTGTAAATTAGCTCTAAATGTAGCATTGTGTACAAGCCGGTTCACACATGTGAATTTGAAACGGGAGGTGTGAGGAACCTCAGCTGTCAAGAGTTTATAGAAGATTCTTTAAATAATATCTTTACGTATTTTTGCAAATATGTCAGACGGAGAAGACGACTTTATGTGCGAAGAAGAAGAGGACTACGGGCTGGTACGGTTATGTTCTACTAGATATGTTTACTTATAAGTTAATCCTGAATAAATGTTGCATTCTTCGGATAGGTTAGATTCCTCCAAGGAATACAAATCTTTTTTTAAAACATGGAAAAAATTCAGCAACTTCGCACTGTAGTTATCTTTATGTTGATTTATAAAATGCTGCAACTGTTTTGAATTTGTAACACATTATTGTGGTACTTTTAACTAAATAGATTTCATGATTAGTAACTACTAATTTAGGTTATGTTGATCAGTTGAACTTTGGGTAGCTTTCGTTATGATAATAAAGAAAATACGTGTATATACATCTTACATGGAGTAAAAAAGCTGTATTGTGGAAATAGTCTTGGTATCATTTTTATACATGTTTCTTGACAGGAATACTCGGAAGACTCAAATTCGGAACCTGATGTTGATTTAGAAAATCAATATTACAATAGCAAAGCGTTGAAGGAAGAGGATCCAAAAGCAGCTCTACAAAGTTTTCAAAAAGTTCTGGATCTCGAAGGCGGAGACAAAGGCGAATGGGGCTTCAAAGCACTTAAACAAATGATCAAAATAAATTTCAAACTGGTACGTAAATGGTCTAATATGAAATTACAAACCTTGTAATTACATTAAATACCCTTCATTTCAGTCAAATTACAAGGAAATGATGACTAGGTATAAACAATTATTAACGTACATTAAGAGTGCAGTGACGAGAAATCACTCTGAAAAGTCCATTAATTCTATTTTGGATTACATTAGCACATCGAAAAATGTGAGTATTTATGTTCACAATCTGGTTCAATTTTTGTTTCATTATTGCCAAAAATAAAGAATTTAGCTTGAACATTTTTTTTATACAATATTATATGAAAGACCTACATACATTCAGCTCCTTCTTTTATTAGATGGAATTGTTACAAGATTTCTATGAAACTACGTTAGATGCTCTAAAGGATGCCAAAAATGATAGATTATGGTTTAAGACAAATACGAAATTGGGAAAACTCTACTTCGATAGATCTGATTTCAATAAATTAGCAAAGATATTGAAACAGCTACACCAGAGTTGTCAGGTATGTATCATTCAAACATATGATTAATGTGTATCTTTTGTAATATCGATATATAATAAAATTATAGACTGATGATGGCGAAGATGACTTGAAGAAAGGTACACAACTATTAGAAATATATGCCCTAGAGATCCAAATGTATACGGCACAGAAAAATAACAAGAAATTAAAAACACTTTACGAACAAAGTTTGCACATTAAAAGTGCTATTCCTCATCCTCTTATAATGGGCGTTATTAGGGGTAACTATAATTTTTTAAATTGTTGCTATAAAAAAAACATTAATAGACTCAATTTATTTTATTATATTGAAATAGAATGTGGAGGAAAGATGCACTTAAGAGAAGGTGAATTTGAAAGAGCACACACTGATTTCTTTGAGGCCTTCAAGAACTATGATGAATCTGGTTCACCAAGGCGTACAACCTGCTTGAAATATCTAGTTTTGGCAAATATGTAAGATATATTAAGACAAAGTTTTGTATGTAGTAACCAGAAATTGGCTGTTATCATTTTGTTATTGCTTTTTAGGTTAATGAAATCTGGGATAAATCCATTTGATTCTCAAGAAGCGAAACCATACAAGAATGATCCTGAAATCTTAGCCATGACGAATTTAGTTGTCAGTTATCAGAATAATGATATTAATCAATTTGAACTGATTTTAAAACAAAATAGAAACAATATTATGGATGATCCTTTCATCAGAGAGCACATTGAAGACTTACTGCGTAATATTAGAACCCAGGTATTTTAATATAATATTTATGTGCTTGAACTGTCACTCTTCATAAGTGACACTATTTAATTCATGCAATATGTTTAATTTTCCATAGGTTCTTATTAAGCTGATAAAGCCATATACTAGAATTCACATCCCCTTTATCAGTAAAGAATTAAATATTGATGCGTCAGAAGTTGAAAGTCTTTTGGTATCCTGCATTTTGGATAATACAATTCGTGGACGCATTGATCAGGTATATTTGTACATTATTTCCTTAGGATAAAAGAGATACTTTTTAGTAAAATGTTGGATTTAAATATACATGTATCATTAATCTTTACACACATACGTGTTTTTGTATTACAGGTAAATCAAGTACTTGAGTTAGATAAAAAATCACTATGTGCTGCACGCTACAATGCTCTGGACAAATGGACGACTCAGTTGCATTCTTTACATTTAGGTATATCAAATAAAATGTGGTAAGCAATACTAAAAACGTCACAAATAAGTCCCTGCTACTTCTGTATAGTATAATATTAACACCCAATTTTTTCCAAATATATTGAAAATAAAGTGTTATGTGATATTTTACAATGACAAAGATGCTGACTTTTATTTTATCACAACCATATGAACCATGGCTTGAGATGAAATCTTAACTGAAGAAACTCATTTAGCTCTTTTCAATAAATATTAGATTTTAACAGGGGTAAGGTATTTGATATTGGAAACTACATCTTCACATAATATTTTAATTGCTTGTGGTCAGGTATGTATTTCATTAAACAACTTTTTTCATCAATATCTATGTTAACATTTACATAACTTTATTTTTTGTATAATCTGTTAGGTATGTTCTATTATCTGTCAAGGATCTGACATGCTCATCCAATTTCACCTTTCAGAGTGTAAACTTGGAACCAATACAGCTCTGCACGCCTAAGTCTAGTTGAAAGTAAATAAATATAAAGAACACGATGTCGTAAAGATAGCAAACAGAAGAATCGCAAACTATACCTGCATAAATTGTTATAATGGATTATCAAGTTATTGCGTTTTCAAAACCACCGGTTTAACGAACTTTTATAGGTTATGTGTTAGACGTGATACTAGAAACGAACGGTCTTGCACCGTTAAACAAATGGAGTAGAGAATCTAATAATTGCTTTTCTGTAGTCAGTGTGCATACATATAAAGATGGAGAGTAATAATGCGAATGAAAATGCAACTAATATATCCGATGAGCTCCAAGAACGGGCGGAGAGAAACCGGCAAAAAGCACTACTTTTAAAAAAATCAAGGATTGTTGCTCACCCCTATGCTAAAAGGTAAACCAAACGATCTATTTATTGTCATTGACTTTTCATCTTTCTCAAAAACCTCATTTACATCAGGTGTCAAAAATACAACATAGTACTATCACATAATTAAATTGTTTTTAACTAAATACAAATTGTGTTTAAGTGAAAATAGCGACTGTACATCGGGTAGACTTTTGAAAGTTCAAGGTCAGCGAGTGATTGACAGTGGTGGAGGTTTTCTGATCGAAGAAGATGAAGTGCTAGAGCAAGAAATGGTAAAATGCCTTCTTATATCTGATCATTAAAAATTAGAACTTCAACGATAAATGATTTTTTCAGTTAAATATTGTTGCTGAACCTGCACCTATTATAGGAACTTTACCTAGGTGCGAACAATGCCAAAATGAATATAAGGATTCATATCTTCTTCAAACTTTTGATTTGTCTGTGTGCGATAAATGCAGGTAAATATTTTTATGTTCAATTTTGAATTATATCCTCACAGATGCGGTACATTGTACCAAAAAATTGTAATTTCAGAGATAGGGAAGGAAAGCATTCATTAATCACAAGAACTGAAGCAAAGCAAGAATACTTGTTAAAGGATTGTGATTTAGATAAACGAGAGCCTCCACTAAAGTATATTCTTAGAAAAAATCCACACAATGCCCGATGGGGTGAGATGAAATTGTACTTACATTTACAAATAGAAGACCGAGCATTAGAGGTATGGGGTACAGAGGAAAACCTAATCAAGGAACGTGAGAAACGGGATGTTGCTAAGCAGGAAGCCAAAATAAAAAAGTTCAATAAAAAGGTAAAAGATTGCAATTTGCATATACTAGTATGTAGATACATTTTAAAATAGTCCTGGATATCAGAAGTAACCTATTCTTCCTTATTTACCAATACGATTACAACAAACTTTTCTGTTGTAGATAAAAAAATTAAGAATGGAAGTAAGAAGTTCATTGTATGATAAAACAAAAAAAGCTACTCATGTTCACGATTTTGGAAATGATACATATAATGAGGAAGAAGATACATATACTCATGCATGCACCTCTTGTGGTTACGAAGAAACGTATGAAAAAATGTAACTAAACTTGGGTAGATTTACTGTTACTAAATTAATTAAAATCGTATACCGTTGGAAACTAAATTAAAAGATTCTTGTTAGAATACCAATGTTTGCTTTTGAACGACATTAATGTATGTATGTATGATGTGTCCGAGTTTTTAATTTATGAATGTACTTTGATATAAACATACATAATTAAATGATAACACCATATTTGTTACAAATGTATGTCATATACTCGTTACAAGTTAAAATCAATTTATCAATAAGTCTTTCATTCTTGCATCGTATAAAGTATAAACAAAGTGACATTTTATAGTATTTGAGGTTTTAATTCAGTAACTTGTAGGCTTAATAAATGTTACATATTCCAGTCTTTCGCCATAAACGCGAACATTTATTTATAGCTTCTTGTACTAAATATTATCATAGAAAATCAACTTGTGACGATATTGCACAAGTTTTAAAAATGACTAATTTTACTCATTCGCAGCATACCTTCTGCATTGTATTCCCTTCTCTCTTTTTTTTTTTTTGTAAAATTAGTACGCACAACGAACAAGCGTTTAACTAAATGCAGACATTGACGGACTTATTCATCTGCTACCCATGATTAATGACAGCTTTGTTGCACGTTTTTCTCACGACTTATACATTAAACAAAACAATAAAAATAAATGTGCACGAATCATATTTATGGCAAGTTAGACTATAGATATTTTCGCAAAAAAATGTGATATATCTTTAGATTCTTTTTAAACGTATCAATCAAAGCTTGGTATTTTTCTACCTAATCGTTACAATCAACAAATATATTTCTGAACGAAGTTAGTTAAAAAAAAAAAACAGGCGCATGCACGTTTTCCTATACCGTCATCTAGTACAACACCGCCATTCAATCTTTAGATCCTTTTTATTATAAATATAACTATGCTAAGTTGATGAAGAAGTGTTAATAGCAGCTGATTGGATCGATCATGCACTTAATTTGATAAAGAAATCCCAGAAAATTCCTGTGATCCTTCTGCTGTCACCTTTTCATACCAAGTATACATCTTATTTCTATATGGTACAGCTGCTCATGGAGGAAATAACGACCACAACGAAGAACTTCTCTTTGGGATAGAAACGAAATTCTGGCAATTGTGGGAATGAAATACAAACGCGACTGAACCCGTAAAATCACAACAACCCAGCCAAACTATCAGCTATCGGTATCGGTAATCTGCTAATCGGTAAATGCTATCGGTAAGATGAGTCAGTGCAGAGGGTCTCAAGAACCGGTAAGACACTTGGCACCGTCAGTTTGTCACCCATATCATGCTTTTTGGAAGTAACCGTGTTGCCTACTGTTGTAGATGATCTGCAAACGAAAATAGCAAGATTAGTTACAATCTGACATGAAAAATTATACTCATTACATTATCAGGAGGAGTGGAATATGAAGGAAGTCACATCGACCTCGCGTCTATCATCTACCTGTTGTGCCTGAGATGACTTTTGACTAAATGGCCAGCCGAGAGGGCAGCCATCAGCGATAATTCCCCGGCGAGTACCGTGGCGCAGACAATGCGCGCTAATTTGCTAGCATTCTCGCCAGGTTCCTCGGTGTGAGCTCCCTTGACACCCAGCATGGCCAGACAAGCTCCCTGAGCTGGTAACCCGGTGCCACCGCCTACGGTCCCAATCTCTATACTGGGCATCGTGCAGGAAACGTACAATTCCGTGCCGTCCGGTCCCCAAGGCTCCATCAGAGTCATGCAGTTGCTGCTTCCGACGTTCTGGGCGGGATCTTGTCCGGTGGCAATGTATATAGCGGTTACAATGTTGGCAGCATGGGCGTTGAACCCGCCCACGCTACCAGCGACAGCGGAGCCGATCATGTTCTTGCTGATATTGACGTCGACCAGGGCGTGCACGGTGGTCTTCAGCACCGTCGTGACTATGTCCGCGGGCACGATGGCTTCACAGACCACGCTCTTCCCTCTGCCCTCTATCCAGTTGACCGCTGCAGGCTTCTTATCGGTGCAAAAGTTCCCGCTAAGCGATAGGATCTCCATGTCGGGGAAGTGCACCTGCACGGACTGAAGGGACTTCTCGGTGCCTTTTGACAGCATGTTCATCCCCATGGCATCACCGGTCTTGGCGACGAATCTAATGAAGAGGTGCCTGCCCGCGATGCGGACGTGGATCTTCGTCAGCCTGGCAAACCGACTGGTCCGATCGAAGTTGGCCTTCATTTCCTCAAAGTGCTCCGGGTCCTGCATCCATGCCATGGCCTCGCTGGCGCGTACTATGTTCGGGAACCGGACCACGGGGCCTCTGGTCATACCGTCGGCCACCACTCTGCTCGTGACCCCACATTTGATGAGTGCTCGGCTACCGCGGTTGGTAGATGCGACCAGACAGCCTTCCGTCGTGGCCATCGGGACGTGAACCAATTCTCCGTCTACCAAAAGAGGTCCGGCAATGCCGATCGGCACGGGGATGTATCCGACCACGTTCTCGCAGCAGGATCCCAGGACTTTGCTGTAGTCGTAGCCCTTGTACGGCAGGTCATACAGCTCGTCCTTCAACTTCGCATCGGATCCTAGGATCATCCGTCGGATGCCAACTCCTCGCTCCATGTCTCCGACTGCTTTCTCCAGCTGGTACGGTGGAATATGTTTGTGCTTCACCAGCTGGATGACTTCCGCGTCCGTCAGAGCACTGGCGCCCAACTGCGAAGAGAGACGTTCATTAAACACCGCGCACTCGAAAGCATCGCAAAACGGCAGGAAAGCCAAATAAAGGTATCCAGAATTCGGTAGCTAAAATCGATATCCAATAAAACATCGAGCCCTAAAGAGTCTTCTCGATACTCACCTCCGATCGGTAGACAGCAAGACACTCGTCGACAGTTCTACAAGTGCTGGACCGATGCAGCTCTTCGTCGCTCTCCGAACTTTCGTCCGCGAGGCTCTTTACGTCGGTCTGGACTTCTTTGTCGAATTGTTCGATTTGAACTTTATCCCCGTCCTCTATCCATTCGCCGCCCATTCCCGACAACGGGAAGACGGGCGTATGCATTGGCAACGCGACTCCGAATTTCTGTTGCAGGGAGATGTTCAGCGTCGTCGCGTGCATACTCTCGGTTGCACCTTCTTCGTTTGCTCTCTCCTCCGTCTCCGTATCTTCTTTGAATCTCAGCTGTTTTGCGATTTCTCCCCTGTCCTCGAAGAATATGAATTTCACCGTCAGTGCCAGGAGCAGAATCAGGATTACGATATGATCCGCGCTCACTGATAGCCAGTTCATCAGGTACTCCTTGAAATCCGTGTAGCTCTCGGTGTCGTTTCGAGGGCTCATGACAATGTGCGGACTGGGTGGAGATATTTTCCCTTCCACCGCTTCTTCACTGTCACTGTTTTTAAAGGGCCACCGACTGTAACATGTTAACAGAAAAAAATAATTTAGCCACCACGGAGCGCAAGTGCCGCCACCCGAACTGCTTTAATTAAATCTTTACTTTCATTGCATCGAGTCGACGGTAAATAGACATTTTGTTTATGACAGTCTCGCCGAAAGGAACCGATGTAGAGGCGCGCACGCGTTTCTTCAAACTGAAACACTAGGATCACTGCCTCACCCAGCAAGGAAGATTTGAGATATTCTACCACCGGGAAGTTTATTTTTGGCTTCTCATTTTACTCTGTATGGTTTCTGATTCTTTTGTCCAAGCGTTATTATTATCCAACCTTTCATGCGATATTTAGTTTTACCATATGGTGGAATCGTTCGTAACGTACGACTTGGTAAGTGGTACATAAATTCATCTACCGGATGACGCGTCCCTCGAGAAAGGGTAGATTGATTTAGGAATAGTTAAGAATCCGTCAGAGGCATTACGGAAAATCGTACGGCCTGGTCACGAGTTAAAATGTTAATTAAGCTAAATGTATTGCCCTCGACTTCCTGGAAGATAGCGCGTTAATAGTCAGCCTCATTCGTAGACCTTTAACATCAGATGTGGTTAAACAGCTTTAGGAAAGTCCGAAACTGAACAATACAGTCCTTTGACACGGAACGCTAACTTGAATGAATGGGAAGCGGGCGAGCACCTCGACGTGTGCATTACAATGAATGTGGAGAACCCATTCGTGTACGTAAGTCTAACTGTGTTACAAGGTGAACCCGACCTGTTGGATCGAGGGACAAAAAGCAGCTTGACAAAGAACCTCCCTCTCGCAGGATCTAAAGGTCAGATTCGAAGATAGCTTCTTCTTAAAATCGTCAGAGCCTCTCTTTTCCTTGACTGCTACTTTGCATGTATAATACGAAATTTGACATTAAAAATGGCACGCACGGAAATAAATCCAACCATCTACGTGGCCAGATATTAAAAAAGAAAAAAAGGTGCGTATCCACCGTGCAACATCCATCAATAATAATTCAAGCAATTAAACTATCTCGAATACGAGTAAAAAAAGAGGAGGCAAAAAGTTTCTGGAAAGGACCGGTGCCGCTAATTTAGTTTAAATGCAACATAAAAACAAGCAATTTTAAATATTCAGAAACGATTATGCAAACCTAAAAGGATCCGGAATTACGCAACCGAAATATATGCATCTAACCGCACCTGCGGTTCCTTTTCTAAAACCTTGAAGATTAAGTATCCTGGAACATGAAACAGCACGTGCAAGTACCTGTGAGCATGGACGACGAATAGCCCTGCGATCATGATCAGCTTGACACGTTCCACAACCGGATTCGGTTTTTGATCCTCTTCATACAAGGTGTGCATCATCAATATTTTGTCGGCACTCAAGGGTCCCATGCTGGTGCTGCCTCGGGACAACTGTAATCATTGAAATCGATGTATCAAGATTAGAAAATAAGGACGATAACGCCGACAGGGCGAAGATCCTTACCTCGAGTATGAGCGACAGGCACGCTGGGTAAAACGTCATGAACACGACATAGTTGACGACTACTCCGATACAGGCAAAGTAGCACAATATCTCGAGTCTGCGTACCCCAGATAAGGAACCGATACCTATGAGCAAAATTTCTACGAGGGTGTCCAAGGTAATCGAGGGTCCCAGCAACGACATTCCACGAGCGATATTCGCCCTGACCTCTTCTTGACTTCTCGAGCTAAGGGCCAGCTGTGCCAGTACCCCTGCCTTGGAGAGGTCGATGAGGAGCAGGAAGAAGAACAAGGCATCCCTGAGAAGAAAGTGAAGTAACTACAAATTCATGTACTTTCTACTCGGCTATACGTATGTATATATATGTACATATAATTTTCTGGGTGTCGCAAGATTTGGGGAAACCGTTGCAGCCGATAAGTCACGAGAGAGTATTTGCTTTCGGTGTAATCTATATACGTATCTTCACTTATCGAACTGTGCACTCACTTCATATCCGAGATATCGCTCTTGCCGAAGTTAACGACGCTGGACGTGAAGACGAAACTGGAGAAGACCGTGAATAAGCCGGCGATACCTGAACAGAAGAATTCACGGTGAACTAGAGCAGGGAATGAAATAAAGATAATGGAGTCATTAGGAGAAAAGGAGGGTATGGGCTATAATAATTCCCCATCAAGAGTACTCGCATGGCGTCAGGTGCTAATAAAACGAAACGCTATCACTTTCTATAAAACTTTCACTACCGCTCAAGGCTTTCACGCGCCGCCTCGGCAGGTAGGTTTATGTCAATGGACTTGGTCAGGGCTTGAATAATACGCGCATTTCCTCACACTCGTTTGGCAAGGCATCCAAAATAACGAAATTCGCCCCTATTATCAAATACGCTGGACACCAAAATTCTAAAGACGGAGTTGTTCGAAAATTTCCTTCCCTAAGCCACTTACCGAGGATGTACTTTGAGCCTAATTTCCGAAGCTTGCAGAATTGATAATAGCTGAAGAGCACTGCCAAGCAGCGTATCAGCGTCATCACGATGACATCGGCTGCATTTAATTCCTGAAAATATATCTAATGTGACTGCAATCGTAACGGTGAAGTAGAAGAGACACGTTAATGCAAAGTACTCGCTATGAATGTACTCTGGATTGAAGAAATTCAATCATGGAGAAAAACAAATGAACTCGACTTGCTCACGTAAGGTCGTGTGAGAATATTTCTTTCCCTCCAGTAAGTAATTAACCTGGCTAATTGATAAACAGATTTCCTGGAGTAAAAACCTAAAAATGCTTTCATATCGATCTCCACCGTACATTTTCTTTTTCTAAAGTTATAAATAAGGACGCATGTGATATGTACGTGAAATCGATCATGCGTAGCGTCGGAAAAGTACGCCTATGACGCGAGTTATTCAATAATTTAATTTGAAATGCGTTGTACATCGTTGTGCGCGAACTGCATACCTGCATACTATCTATAATTGATCGAGAGAATCGCGACTTAGGGGGAAAATGTATACGACCGCGTTGTACAATTTCAGATAAAAATAATTGCTACAATGCATTCAATTAAAAGGGTTCAAGGAACAATTTCCAGATGGCAACGAATTTCTCTTCCGACTCAAGTTGACACTTTTTCGTCCTTGCCGTAAGCAGAGTGTGCTCGCAAATGTCCACTTTGTAGGCACCGTGCAATTAACGTTAGTTAATATTTCCAACGTGCATTGGAAAATTTCGACGCGCAGATCGTGCAGTTGTCCTCTCCTTCGCGATTAGTGCCCGTTTTTGGGCAATGGGGAGAAATGCTTACGTCAGAGGAGCAGCGGCCATGCCAGCAAGGTTTCGAGGCAATGTGAAGGCTTCCTTCGCGATTCTGCCCGTTTCCGGTTTCCATGTTAAGGATACAGGCCGTCAGGGTGAACGTGGTCACGATCACCTCCAAAGGATGGCTGGCGCAAAACCGCCCATGGAGCTCGAACAGCGTGGTCAACATTTTTCTCAATAGTACCCACGTGGACTCGCCGTCAAGAAACTGCAACAGAGGTCAATAAAGTCCATATCAAAAGGACGGAAGGAAACATCTGCCCCGCTCCTCGGTAGGATATTTTAAAATAGCGCCGAAAGAAATAATAGCAACCGAAAGATCGCTACTTTCATATCTCCCGTGTATATTTTTCCTACCCAAAGGTACCGCAAACGAAGAAAGAAATTGGAGTTTCTGCGTCTGTTTCAGGGGAAGGAGAGTCACCCCGGCATCCTGTTTTCTCCGCTCTCTAGACTAAATACAATTCAAACTGTTTTCAAAAAGCTCGAATCCTCGGCGACCAAATAAGTGAGATTTCGTGGAGAGAAGAAAGCAATAAGAAAGGAGGAAATTAAGAATGCGGCGAAACCTTGACACGTCGTTACACCTGCGTAGCGAGAAATTGTGCGTACCTCGGCCACCGGTTATAATTAGTCGATTACGGAGCGATTACTTATTATCTACAGGATTAAGTAAACTAAGGGTGCCCGAGGTCGCGCGGTAATCTTTCCTCTATTTAGCGGCACTTTTCTCGGAACGTCATCGCACCGAGAGGGCGTAACAATGTGGCCAATTTGCACAATGTGTGAGCAAACTACCTAATAAGTTCCTATTAAATTCCGTTCACATGGCCATACTTGCGCCCGCGCGGTATCGGCAATTTTCGGACGGTGTACGTGACGAAACGCAATGCTCGATATGTCTGCATGAGTCCCGACCGCTTTTCCCTTCGAGCTTTCCAATATATTAACGTTAATACTAGAACTACCAAGACCAGTCAAAATGACTGGTTTCAAATGGCCCATCCCATACAAAAAAAATCCGCCGGTAGTTCTAGTGTTAATAAATACGTGAATCCTCTCTGTGACATCTCGAACATTGTTTGCAACTAGAGAAGATAAAACACAAAAGAACGATTTCTTCCCCCCAAATCGAGGTGACCAAATACAATTGAAATCACTTTCCATTCACCTTGTGCCTACAGTAACGTCTTACATAGTCTAACATTCCTTTATCAGGAATTACAGGTGCATCGCGCAGTCGACATACATCGCCGTGCATCCCAACGAGTGCACTGCGGAAATGCACCGTGCTCATTCGAGCCGTCCAATATTCCTGATGCTTTTTAAATTGAAACGAATACGCGCATGCTCTTATATAATTGCCTCCACGTCGTTGTCGAAAACCTCGATCAAGTTTCGGAAAATCGTCTGCACCTTGGAAACGAATAGTCGAACGGTTCGGTGCATCGCGCCACTTACGGGGTGAAAGTCTTTCCACGGGCCTACGAGATCCGGAATTCGACGAAGAGTAAAAGGAAGAAGGAAAGGCGAAAGAAAAAAAAAACGGAAAAATATAGTAGAGTCCCTGCACCCGATCCTATCTACCGAGTCTCATGACGAATCGATGATTTCACTGGCGTGCTCTCGTTATAATCGAAGGAAAGGCCAAATGTCTGTCAAGGTCGGCGACTTTCCAAGAGTCGCATGGTGCATTAACTCTCTTACCGGTGTCTCTGCATCCAGCCAACCACTGACCCTTTCTAATTGACGTCACACCACGTGACGACCTCGATCGATTACGATATAAAGTTTACTTTCCGTCGAATCCCGCGTTTTCACTTCCCGCTCCAAGAAAAAGGACAGCGCGTCGTCATTGTTTCTCCCGATTGGCTGACAAAACCCGTGCTTTCACCCTCGCCGGCTGTTTTAGACTCTTTGCAGTGACTACGGGGCTGAGTATTGGCAACATGTGAATAAAGGATAAATATCCCGGTAACCGTCGACGAAGGTGCCGATAGTTACGCCAAACCTTGCTAAAATGAGTCTCGCCAGGAATAATGTCATTACCGGTAATACATCACTTGTACACGCTGCTTTCCCTAGCCGTGGATATCCCAGTCAACGGTACTTGCGATTTACCCATAGAAAGTGCCCTACCACATTCCAATGATCACGGAAATTCGTAAGTATTTCGGAAGAACCGATACATACAGATATGCAATTGCTACATACCAGTTGCAGTACCGACGAAGTGAATTAAAAGTGGGAATGGATAAAAGCGACGCTACCATTAAACCGACGTACGAATGAAATGTAAATGAAAGATAATGAAAAAATATCGTATAAAAATTGTATCAAAAATTGTACATTCGTAATCCATCAACTGCTGAGCATTTTTGTACGTACTTTATCTCAATGTCAGGCACTGAATTTATGGCAAAACAATTTCGTGGGATAATGTTATACCTCATTACGTACTCGCGTAATGTCACAGTCGCTTTATTCTCGCATAACTTTTCGCAAATTTACTCATTTTTTAAATCATAGATAATAACCTCGCGCGGCGGTATCGTATACTTTTGCTATTATTCTCTTAAAGCTACGTTGAACTCGCTTCATAGGATTCACGGTTCCTCGTATTCGCGGTATACATATATCGGCGTTCGGAAATCGCGAATTCACGATGACACCTCATAGTAATCGACATAACATATTTATTTCGCTTTCGCTCGCCCCGTGATAGGCTCCAATTGCGTTAACGCGACGCATCAAAGCAGTCAAAATATCGCAGATTATTAATATCTCCTTGGCCGACTAAGAACTTCGGATTAATCTCCGAGAAGCGGTTGTTGAGAAGGACAAGGTTGCGATGAAATAGACTGTGACCGATTACAGGGAATCATAGTACACGATCATCGACGCGAGACTTTCGTAACGAATGCATTAATGATGTTATCGGGTTGCCGAGAGAACGAGCGCTCGGAGCACCGACGACAGAGATCGATGGTGTCGAATTTCGATCGGACATAATATATATATACATATATATGGTATGTATTGGAGCTATGTGAAATACTCGAAGGCATAATCGGCATAATTTGGACGTCCAGCGCGGTCCAGGCACGATCGGAGGATCGTAGACGAAATTATGACACCGCTGGGAATCGGCTCGTCCACCTTGAGTATAGCTACATTCCCATGGAGAGAGACCTCCGTGTCCCTCCATGCAGATGCCGTTTTTTTTTTTTCTAAGCGAAATGAGATTGTGACATCGCCGAGTGAAAAAGTAGGACGCGTACATATGTCCATCCATCATAGTTCTTACCCCAACGCTATGAAATCCGCGGTACTTTGAGAGCTCGTAAAGATCCAAGTGTTGCGGCCAAGCCGCAAATTGAGAAATGATGCACAGAATTTTGAATAAAAAGTTCGTGCATCGCGTGAATAATTCGTCCTGTGAAAATTTAACGTATGTTAATTAATCCACGGCGCCTTGAGAGGTCTCGTAAAGGTGCGAGTGTTGTTACCAAATCGCGAATTAAGAAATGAAGCACGATATCTTGAATACAAAAATTCGTGCATTCTTCTGAAAAATTAACGCATGTTAACACTAGAAGTACCGGCGGACTTTTTTTTTTTGTATAGAATGGGCCATTTGAAAACAATCATTTTGACTGGTCTTGGTAGTTCTAGTGTTAATAAATTCATGGCGCCTCGAGAGCTCGTAAAGGTGCGAGTGCTGCGACCAAGCCGCGAATTAAGAAATGTTGCGCGTTATTTTGAATAATAAATTCGTGCAGTCCTTTAAAAATTAACATATGGAAATTAATTCTCGTTGCCTCCAGAGATCGTAAGGGTGCGAGTGCTGCGACCAAGCCGCGAATTAGGAAATGTTGCGCGTTATTTTGAATTAAAAAATTCGTGCAGTCCTCTATGAAATTAACGCATGTTAATTAATTCACGGCACCTCGAGAGCTCGTAAAGGCGCAGGAGTAAAATAATCCGTGGAATAATCCGAAAAAGTATTTAAGCGAGCGAGTAATTAACCGATCGCACAGAAAATGTATCGCTTTCGACCGATGGACATTCCGACGGTTTTACGAAACATCGGTAATTCATGCATTCCGAGATGAGTCCCGTTGCAAATCGCTCGTTTACATACCTCTTATGTAAAGCACCAAAAATACCCATTCAAGTCAAGACGATGCTAGTTGGGTCAGCCTTCGGTTTGACTTTCATCCGGTCAGCTCCGCGCCGGGGTGGAATTTTATTTAGAACTAATGCGAGGTTCTAGCGAAGGAAATCGATCGATCGAAAACTTCTCTTAAGGTGCACCGTGATACAGGTGCGAGCAAAACCGGCAGCAACGCGGAGCACAGTGCTGCGCAACAGTGTCGCGCCCGTACTGATTCCGCGCGCGCGCTCCGCTCTCTTCAAAATCCCCGCTCGGCGAACTTCGGCAGAGTTCGGCGCTTTTCGGAAACTTCCCGCAGGTGGCGGAGAAGGTACGAAAACTATGAAACGTCGACTTACAATCAGATACTTCTGATACGACAAAATCAAACTAAAATCAATGTAGCCTACACACTGCCCGTAATGATTTACAGGATTAAGTCTGCTAGTCGAGGTGAGAAAAGGTTAGAAATCCTGCGTACATTGGTAGATTAAATAGAAATTCGGGAAAATCTTTCGACCGTCGCGATTGTGCCGGAATGAAAGAAATCGCCGAAAATTAAGAGGAAATCAACGCGAACCGGGAGAAATCCCACATCTCGCGTCAGCTTAGCCTCGCCCTCGGCTCCACAGTTTTCGATGTGGATTCGTGTCATTCAACGGTGTCTTACATAATCTCCGAAAGGATAAACCAGCGTCTCAAGAATTCCCTTCGATGACGGCTTCGATAAACAATCGACTCAATGTCTCAAGTATGATACACGAATACGTGCCTTTTAGGGGAACATTTTATCGGGATATCGTAGAAGGAGAATAATTTCGTTGCATTGCGAGTTATTGAATAGAGCATCGGCCCTGTGCCAGCTGGAAGTGAGGTAAATTACGTTCAAACACTTGGGAAGACCCTATGGGCGCTATTCTTATCTGGATGTGCTCGTAACGAGAGTCAACAGAATTACCATCTCGCCAAGTCACGCACCTAACGCATTTCCGGGAATTTCTTTACAGGTCTGAAATAACATCCTGAACTAGTAACTTATTCCTCGACGCGGGGAGCCTTTCGGCGTTCGACGACCTACGAGAGGAGAGGTGGTGAAGAAAAATAAATTGTGACACAGGATGCAAGACGTCGACGTTACGAAAGTGGTCTAATTAATGGTAGGTAAGGGAAAATTCGATAAACAATGTCGGATAAAGGAAAATATTTAGAGTGGTTTGATTTAGGGAAGTTCTCTTATACTGCTAGCTATTGAGAGATAAACGATAAGTGGTGAGGATAATAATTTTATAAATAAAACTTTACGAACCGCACGTCTTCTATAGGAGGGAACTCCGAACGACGAGCCAACTGGAGGGAATCGGTCGCGGTGCAACATGTTAGTAACATAGAAGATTATTGCCAGCAAATACGACCTGGGATGAGACTTCACGAAGTCACTAAGAGCAAGGTACTGCGTTATGATCTCGATTCGGATATTGCGCCAGATATATAATTCGCGTACCGATTTTGCGAATGAATGGCCAAGGTCGCCGACCCTGACCGCATTTTGTCCACGGCGAAAATCGTCTGATTTATTGGCTGTCGCGGGTGATTATTATATTAAAAAAATAAATTACGACTAGGACTTGACTGACACAACCTTGAAACGGTTAACCCAAAAAGAGGACGTTATACTTATTAGGAACACGCGTAAAATACTATGTCTTGACATTGAACTGTTACCGATTACAAATTTAAACCAATACGCTTTAAAGGCATTTAATAATTGATTAAGTATATAGTTTAATGATGTAACGTACAGACGTCATGCTTGTCCACTTTTTCTTTGATTTGTAACCTCCGAACGGTCTTGATTTATCATTTACGTATCATTGAGAGGTGTTTCTTTACTCTTAAATTACTCTTTATTATGATTTAATAATCACAATTTCTATAATGATTGGTTTGTTGACTGCTAATGTCGATATCCTCAAATTTATTACATTATTATCCTCCTAATGAAAGCAACAATGAACTAGGTAGGATTTTCTACAAACAGAATATATTTAACTCCAGTATCAGCGGGAAACAAACTGTAAAATGCATTTTCTCATTCAATATTTTCAAAATGATTATCGGATCTAAGTGCTTAACGTATCATAGGTTATATTGTTAAATTTTTAGTTCACATAAAAAATCAGAGCGCATTGCTTTTAGATATAAAAATATATGATAATTGTAGAACGACTTAATATTAATTTAGAATAAATAAATAATAAAATTCAAATGCCTTTTCCATGAAGAAATCAGTGAAAACCTTTTTCTTCAAATCAGTGTCAGGTTAAATAAAATATTTAACAGTTAATCTATTACTTAAAACTAATTGATATTTTATGCAAATATCGCACCATATAAATCTGCACATGTCAAAGAAAGTTATCGAGGAATTTGGAATAGCAAAATAAATGTACTGCAAGCATTATTATATCATCTGCATAAGACATGTTTAACCTACAAAACCGAAACATGAAGAATGACAATTATGACTCGGTGATAGTTTATCTTACCATTCAATATCTCGTAGAGTTGATCAAAAAGACATTTCAGCACGGTGTCCTGATGAATTCGAAGAAGAAATTAACGCTTTAAATTGAACTTTTTCCGAGTGACAAATTCTCACCGACGATCTTCTGCTCCCGCACCGCGACGTAACGTCGCCATCTATCGACAGTTTATAAAAGTAAGTTAGTCCTCTCGTCGCGTTCTGCGCTGTTCTGCGCTTCACTCTGGTGTCGATAGCACTAGAAACTAAATATACATTTGGTGGTACCACCTAACAGAAATTTCGAGAAGTAAACGTACTTTCAACGAGCTGATTGCAATAGACTACTGAAGTCAAAGGACTACGTTAAATTGCTCAAAATGACAGATAACAAGTTGTGGACATGATTCACTCTTCCAGCTGTTGTCAGCCCTGATTCATAAGATCATGGTTGACCGACTTGGTTAGTCAAGTGATTTGTCTATGTTTATTTAACTAATTGTTCGGATATTTAAACAAAATCGCATAAACATTTAAGGGCCTTAACGTTATTTTATTCTATTTATTGCATGCTTTCTAAATATTTTCGTTAGTTTACCTCTTTTCGAAAGGTCCACATTGGCAAGTCGGAATTGTGACTCATTAAGGCCGTGTTTTTGACAGTTCTGAAAGCAAATGGCTTTATTAGCAAGATTATAGACGTTCATTAAACCTATAAATCCTGTATACGATAAGTGATCGTTCATTCATGATGTTCATTGAAATATGTTGCAGTGAACAGCGAAGCCAATGCAAGGCGCATCGCAATGGTGGAGAACTGCTTCGGCAGTTCTGGACAGGTATGCTGTTAAAAGTTAAATTGCATTGCATAACTAGATTATAAGCTTTACAGTGGCAATAGCATCATGTAAGATTTAGCATTGTAATAAAATGGCATAATTTGTACATTGACAGATACATTTGGACTAAACCATATGTTAACTGTTATTATACAATTTCAAGCATTAATCTACTTGTAAAGTATCGATTCTACCACCTAGCTAGAAGATTAATTGAAAAAGAGATAGTTGTATTTGAACTATTTTCAGTTACTTTGTTACTTTGAAAACTCTTTCTGTGATGGTCTTAACAATCCTATAATTCCTTGTAGTTACATATTGTGTAATAGTATTTTCAATTTTATTAGTTTCATTAAAATTATTAAATTTGTTATGAATTTAATGTTTCATCAATATTTAAATCTGTTTTCAGTCCCTGGCAGTACCTGGGAGAGTCCTGGTTGGAGAGGGTGTTTTAACAAAAATGTGTAGGAAGAAACCAAAGCCACGGCAATTTTTTCTTTTCAATGACATTTTGGTGTATGGAAACATAGTAATTAATAAAAAAAAGGTAACGTAATAATCATTTCTTATAATTTTTGGCGAGTTTAAAAGTTAATATTTGATGTTGTTATTTTCTTTCTGTAGTTAATAAGATTGTAAAGTTACTCTCTACGTTACCTAGTCTGAAATTTTAATACGTTTCTGTGCATTAACAGTATAACAAGCAACACATCATCCCATTAGAAGAAGTAAAACTTGAATCTTTAGCTGATGATGGGCGTAAGTATTTCTTTTTCTGTGACTAAAAGTGTAATGTTAGAGCTGATCATAAATCTATTTATACATCAATATTTTAAAACATCCCTTAATATTAAGAATTTAATAGATCACTATGTGGTAAATTAATTTTTCAAATAAACATTACTGTTTATTATAATGCTTGTAATCCATAAGTAGGTTAATTTATGGCAAATTTAATAAATGTCTCGTAGCAATTAATTATTCTTTATAGCATATCGCAATGGATGGCTCATTAAAACGGTAACAAAGTCGTTTGCTGTTTATGCTGCCACTGCTACAGAGAAGCAAGAATGGATGGCTCACATAACAAAATGCATCGAAGATTTACTTAGGAAAAGTAAGTACAATTAAAATGTGTCAAATAACGTCGTTTCCACAATGATTTACATTTGATGTTTCAGGTGGTAAAAAGCCTGTTGAGGTTCATGCAGCAGTTTGGGTACCTGATAACGAAGCTACAATTTGCATGCACTGTAACAAGACTCAATTCACAGTTTTAAATCGACGGGTAAATATAAATTTATCATCGACGAGATGATCAGTTTAACATAGAGGAAGATATTTAATGAATAAAGTAAATAATTTGATTTCAGCACCATTGTAGACAATGTGGAGCTGTTGTTTGTGGCCCATGCAGCAACAAAAAATTAGTATTGCCAGGCCAAGGTGGTGGGAAAGCTGTAAGAGTGTGTTTACAGTGTTATGATGCTGCTAGCAAAGTAAAAGCAACACCACCGACTACTCTTGATAATCTGAACAATAAAGAGCAACAGCGTAATTCTGCCGACAGTTCAGGTGGTGATAGTTCTGGGGACGATGATGATGGTAATAAAGAAGAAAACCATGATGAGGTAATGTTTCACAATTTCTGTACCTCATTTTCTTACAATCTTAGAGGTCAATTCATAAATTCATTTTCTTTTTCAGCCTAAGTTCTATTCCACCCTTGGTCGATGAACAGTAACAAAACATTATATTGCAATAACGAAGGTATAAATATTGTGCAAACGAATATTTTTAAAAAGCTAATATGATTGAAGAATTAGCAGTAAGTTGATTGCGGTTGAAGAATGAAATTTTATACCGTAAGTAGGCAAGTGAGCCATACAGGTTGCATTTGCAACAATGTATTAAATTCTAAAGACATGAAATAATATCTCAGGCATTTGGAATTAAAATAAATAGAACGTTCGATATATTGGATCCATATGTGAGAAGTTGGTATTACAAATTTTGGAAATTTATATAATTCTAAGCATTGAGTAAAAAAAGACTAATATTAATAATCATATTTCATGATTTATATATCATATATATCTATATATACAAACATATATATAGACAAATACACATAAGTATGGTTTACCGATTTTAATTCTTTTATTGAACAACTTAATGTTTATTAATACTCTGAAGTAGTATATTATTGCACTGTTTTTAATTTATAATGATATGCCACTTTGTGCCTTTACATCTGGACTATTGGTTCAACGTGTTAGTGTTTACATATTAACTCTACAAGGAATTGTTGATGAATTGTCATACGGAAAATATTACGACATGCACTATAGTGTACTATCAGATATAGTACATTATAATATTTCTCATTTGATAGATTATTCAAATCTTTTCCAACATTTCATGTTCCAATATAAATAAAATTTACCTTATATTCCAAGACTATTATTTAATATGAGATAGTTGGATGCTTGAAGGCTGATCAATTTAAATTATACGTAAATGTATCATTGAAAAATTATTTCATCATGATTAATAATAAGAATTCCATAAGACAAAATGGTTTAACAGTTATGTTAGAATTAATATGCGTCAAAACGTACAACATAATTCTTCAATATTTTTGCACATGTTACATGCAAGTTCATATTTTTCATTGCATATACTTTTATGAACAGTATTCATTGCTGTAAAAATAAAACAAATTGTTTATATACTACCCAAATTCAAAGTAATTCCATTATATATAAAATACCTATAGTCATGTAAATAATTTTCTTCCTATTGGTTGTTCTGACACTGTTTTGGTTTATATGAATCAATTAATGACACATTGCAATGCTTCAAAAATGTTTACTGCCACATGATACTACAATTAAAAGAATGTCATCCAATAAATATAAATATATATGTAATGGTAAGAACATGTTTATAACGTTTAATAACATATTTAGTAAGTCACACACCCATGGTGAATATAAAATTATTACAGTTGTGACGGAATGAATAATTAAGATAAAGAAGTTATTAATGTAATTGTTATTATATTTAATTTTATGCCAGGATACTCCATTATTTAATATAACTGCTAATCTATACTCGGATTCTACTTTGTAAATGATTTAGTTATTACATATACAATATTCAATTTATGCTTTCAATACATTTTATTATACATTTGTGATTCGAATAATACAAATTTTGTATCACTTATATTAAAGAAGTATTTTAGAAGGGCAGCCGGTGAAACGCAACAAGTAAAATAGACTAATTGCATTTATGCTCTTTTACATTTTTCATTGTTAAAATTAAATTTAATATTTATATTTCAAGGAAAAAGTAGAACTAGTTCGTCGTTGTACCGACCTCATCCTAAAATGGCGCTGTGTATATTTCATTCGGTGAGATTGAATTTTGAAAAATAAATTTCTAGACCTATCTGTATTCATAGGTAACACGAAGAAACCCATTGACATTTAAATGCGTCTCATTCGATTAGTCTTCATTATTCCCTAGTAAGCAGCGAATGAAAACACTTTATGACAAACCGAGGTAATTGGAACAGGGCGTTTATTACGTATTTTTGACGAGAGCGTTCACTTCTCGCACTTTCATTTCACGTGGGTCTATTCGCCGAATTACGTATTCGCAGTATGAAAGAACGAGATCACTAGCACTTCCGGTCTAGTAATCCTGCTCATCTCTGATATAAAGCATGTTGGGCGTGTTAGTCCCTAGCAAACCCTAGGAATAGGTGTAAAATTTCCAGGTTTGGCAAACTGATGAAATGGAAACGCAACAAATAAGTCAATTTATCTACGATTTATAACATCTTTTCGTGTTATCTTATCCAAATAAAGAAGTCGTTATTATTTATTAGTAATAATTCATTGCTGTGACAGTAATTTTTAAGGTTAGTAAGTCATATGTGTCTTATTAATGTTTTGAAAATATGTACTATTTGCTCCTGCTGTTGTACAGAATATTTAATTTTCTCTAAGCTTGTATAAATGTGAATATTTTACGACTTGTTGTCAATTCTAAAAGATTATTAGTTAGACTTTATGTTTATACTTCTATAATGTAGAATATATCAAATACAATGCATTGAAATTATTGTTTCAGATTCAAAAATGTCTGCAGCATATCCAACATTACCTCGATTAGCTGTACGGGATAGTCTAGACGACGATGATTTAAGTGATGTCGATGATGAAGTATTCATTCGTGATGGTAAAAATGGAGGATTAAAGTTTGATGACGAATGTGGTGTAAAACGACCACTCATGGCCCCACGGCGTAAATATAAATCGGCACATGCTTTGGAAGGACATAAGTTCCCTTACAAAGCTCTATGGGCACCATTTTGTTATGGACTATTGGCATTGATAGCTCTTTTAGGGCTGATTATTTTAGTAATATTCACTGTTAGTGTTTTCCGAGTGCCGTTATCTGTGATGAAAACCTGGATGCATAAGGAAGTCAAAGAAGATATTAACACGTCTGAAATTATTCCTTGTACGTCTTTGACTTCCAGTATTGTGTGGACAAGAACATTACCAAAGTTAACATCTGAAGCTCCATTAAGAAGTAATGATGTCAATGGAGACAACATCGAGGATATAATAATAGGCTTTAGTACAGGTTTGGAATTAACTGTTTCTGAGTAATATGTATCTGGTTTGGTTCCTTTGATTTAATTGTTTACTTTTTCAGAAGTTTATTTCCTTTCTGTTCTGTTTCTTTGCCAGTATGAATCCTTGCCTGTAAGGTGAATATTATAAATATTATGCGTTATTAATGAATCCATATAAATTTATATTGCAATTTCTAATCAATAATTTTTAATTGGAATACAGGATTGGATGCAATGGATGCTTCTGAATTCCTTTGCCCCTTATATTTTGAAAACCAAGTTCCATGCCTTGGTGGTACTTTGGCATTGGATGGTCAAACTGGTGAAACTTTATGGACGCATTGGACTGCACATGCAATATTTTCCACTGATTGTGGAATAGATCTGACCAATGATAAAATCAATGACTGCATAATATCAGGTCATGGTGGAATTCTGCAGGCTATAAATGGACGTGACGGATTAAGTTTATGGGAAATACCGATACAAACGTTGCAAACACTGGAACAGCCAAAAATTTTGGACATTTATGATGCAAAATATGTACCTGATGTTGATGGGGATAATATTGGAGATGTTTTAGCATCTCATACACTTCAGGCAGGCAATGCAAGAACCAGTGAGATCGTTATAGTATCAGGTAAAACTGGTAACATTATTCAGAGCATTGCTCTACCATCGACAGAACAGCTTTTCGCAGCACCGCAAGCATTGATTCATCCAGATGGTGAAACTATGTATATAATAGCTACAAGTAGTGATCAACAGTCTGGAGGATTATACTTAGCACCCCAATCTAATTTAATACAAGGAGAATTGGTATGTTATGCTACATCGTCAGTTTTTAGTGGATTAGTTCAAGCTGTAGTCTTCCTTACCTAAAGATGAATTTTTTAAATCATTTTTTAGAAATTACGACAGCTACATCACGGCGCTAAGAAAGGGGTTCTCTTACCTCCCGTTTTAGCAGACATAACATCAGATGGTACAGAAGACATAGTTGCAGCCATACTCAATGCTACCATTGTAGCATACGATGGTCGTTCCTTTGAACAAATTTGGAACTATACAGTGCCTAATTCTGAGGTAATTAGTATTCCCATTCCTGGTTACTACAACGATGATGACGTTCCAGATTTCATGGTAAAGCATCAAATAGGACCAGGATTTCCTACATATTATTATACGATTGCAACTGTTCTGGATGGAAAAACTGGAGAACCTTTATTGGAGAAACCATTTGAGGATAGCTTAAGTGGACAAATGTCCGGCTTATCAATAACTGTAGATGGCTATGGTAACGATTGGTTTCTTCACTGGTCTGCGGATTGCTTGAATCACGAAGGGGGTAAAAATAAATATCAGTTTCTGAAAAGTGAAACACTAATATCGCAAACTCGAGCAGACATCTGTAAATTGAGATTTAATTCAACATTAACTACAAAGCTGTTAGCTTTAAGCCAGCACGTAGGGCCTTCTGGCATATCTTTATATTCTTCGGAAGACTGGAAACGGGTTGAGTTCAACAACAGTATAGACCCCCGAAAGGAAGCGGAAGAGTATCTAGAAAAAAATCCTGAGTTTAGTGGAATAATTACTGACACAGGTATACCATCTGCATCTGAAAGATCACCAAAAAATAAAAATGACCAAAAGGCAAACAGTTTACAAAATAACTCCGAAAGGGACCTTTTTGCAGAACGAAACAAATATTATTCTGACCAGGAAATTGAAAATGCGGCAAGTGCAATCTATAAGGATCCTGAAAATTTTAAAGATCGTGAAGTACCTGACATCAACTTGGACAGTAAAATCTCTGATAATTTTAATACCGATGAAGAATGGAGTGCCCCTGATAAATGGGATAAGGACAATATTCCAATTGATAGAGAATACGATACACTGTACGAGGATGGAGATGATCGCGGGATAGATCCTTCCCAAATTAATGAAATACGAGAGCAGCGAAGTGATAAAGGTGAAATGAAGAGAGTTAACAATAATACCAATGAATATAAAAATCAGCTGGACCCAAGTATGGACTACACTAATGGTCAAACTAGATACAATTATTATAATACTCAGGAAGTTAACAAAACTAAGAGTGAGAACGATAGTGCGAAAGATGCCATCTTTTCAAATATTGATATAGAATATAAAGATGCACAAAGTAGGAGAACATCAAAAAAACGAAATAAAGCTGTTTTGCTTCGAGGCCAGAAGGAAGTCATATCCAGTGAATTGCAGAGTAATCCAAAGAGTAACCAATTTATAAAACTGGAAAAGAGAATGAAGAAAATTGTTGAAACAAAGAAGGCGGCTTTGTCATCGTCTAGTGACGAAAATGTTGATTTAAAGAGAAGACTCGCGAGGACCGTTATGAGAAATGTCCAATTAAATGATGATATTGAAATACATCCAATATCCGAGACACTTTTGGAGAACATTTCTCACAATGCTATACGAAACACGCGTGAGGAACGTCGTATTAATATTAATGACGTACCGCGAAACTCTATCAACGACTCCGAGAGAATAGGAAAAGTTAAAAATAAGTGGTTGCTCGAAAATAATTTTGCCAAACCTATACAAAACGATGAAGATGCCAACATTGAAAAGATATTTAAAAGAGAGTCAATGAAGAATCATTATCAAAGAAATGCGGATAAACGCAGTTTTGATAAAGACGGGCATCGAATACGATCTAGGAATGTGCAGTATACAAATAGGAAGGAAAACCAGATGAACGATGATGATTTTAATAAAATTGATGGTGTACAGAAACAACCACCAACAGGAATATTGTTACCTTCTGGTTCACCTTCCTCTGGAACGACCAGCATAGATTTAGTTTTTTCGACGTATTGGTTACCACCTTCAGAGGCCACAATTGTATTGCTGCAGCAGGACTTGGATTGCATCAGTGGAAAGAAATCGAAAATTAGTCATAAAATTCAGAGAGAAGAAAACGATAAAATAGTCCAAGAATGTTTAACAGAACGAGGGGTTAATTATAACTTATATCAAGAAGCTAGAGATAGAGAGAACGTTAAGATAGCTCTTGGTCAAATGACAGTGTATAGAATGAGATTGAAATGTGTTTGTCCGGAAGATATGTTACCTGGTCAGTCATGTAAAAATATTTCACGTCAACAGAGTTGGCCTGCACATTTGGGAGCATCTGGTAATGGATATTTTAAACCACTAAAGCGACCAAGCACCTGAAAAAATTAATTAAGAAGACTAATCAGGTACGATTATTCGGTGGTAAGTAAAAAGACCAAGTGATGTATTGATCTAAAAAGGTTGTATAACCCACTGTTTAGGTTTAAATAATTGCATGGATCATAGGTCACGACAATTCAACATCCATTTGCAAGCGTGGTGTCCTACACATTATTAGCAATATCATCATTGAATGGAAGTTCAAAATGTAAAGGAATGACAAACAAATGTTTGGATGGCAGTTGGTTTGACAGATGCAAAGTCACACTTTTCACATGTGACATGTTGTATGTAAGAGTCTTAACGTAAGACATTATTAAATGTTTTCAATAATGTACACTTCCAATATTTTATAGTACATTTTTTGTTAGTTTCCCTTCATAAATGTTTACATTAAATTTATGAACATGTATGTGCCCTATAGTGTTTATATTAAAAAGTAATTACTATCTACTAAAGACACATATGGAAGTTATGAGAGTAAAGTGTTTCTCTACTGTTTTGTTCCTACTTATGACTATGTAAACTTATTCAAACATACTATATTATAATTATAAGTAATCCTGAGAACGTGTACCGTAGACATACTAGAATATGAAATTGTAAATGAATGGCTTGAAACGTCATAAATAAATATAGTTGACGTCTTTAAAACATTTGATAAGTATTGAATTTAATCAATGGTTGCCAAGCTCTCACCATGCTTTGTTAGATACGGGTAAACAGTCTTTGTTGCATGGTCAATAGCGCCATTTGTTTCCATTTAATGGTCAGTCAAGTTTCACAGAATGTAATGTGTCAAATACTAGCTACACGTGACAAAAACCAAGAATTTTACACAATGGCTTCATCTAAAAAAATTAATACTACTGCTCGACGTTACGATGAATTGCAAGGTACACTATTATTTCTTTTCCTTCATACTACTCGTTATTGAGAAATGTTTTAGTGCATTAAATACAAGGTTATAATATCTAATTAACATTTGGTTTTAGGTATCTCAACAGTTATATGCACTTCTGAAGACCGCTTAAGAGTGGCATCGGTTGCACGGAAATCTTGTCTATACGTAGGTTTTATTTAAAAACATATCATTCAAATTTACTTATTACATCTGTTTATGAAAGTAATCTTAAAACTAATCTAATACATAGAGAACATGTGCAAGCCTTCGACCCCTATTCACTGCATCCCCACGTTATCCAAATCCTACTCCGAAGATAGAACTGGCCCATCCTCTACAGAACCAATCTAATTATTCCACTCATGATCGGCAAGTTAATAATTTAAAATTTGACGTTAGATAATGCTCAAATGATAAAGCGTGAAGCATAAATTTTTTGGAAAATGTTTAATCACAGATGAAGAAAAACATTAGGTTTGCAAATTGTGTCAAATAAATTAAGAATTTACCGCAGCAGTAAGTCACTATATGATTTAATTACGTGATAATTAATTTACAGGATAGCACTGATTAAACGCAAGGAGTTAGACCTTACCGGCCACGATAGGCATATGTTATACAGAAGACCAATAGTCCCCTTCGTAAGATCCAGTTCCCCTGCAATGGAGCCCTTAACTCTTACCGATGGCAGTGCATTGAAAGATGTTATCCAATCAGCCCAAAGACAGAGTTATGCTGTACCACCCCTCGTAGAAAAGATTCAGAATAAAGAAACGCAAACTGACTACAGAGAGAGTGAATGCCAAACCTTGCCATGGGAACCTCCATACAGAATACATCCAGGTACATCGGTGATTCCTAAAAAGGTGGAATACATTAAAATATATTAGAAATATTTCAAGAGACACTTATAAGAATCGGTTGAAATAATTATATTATTTATAGGTCACAATCCTGAGGTATTATCGGTAGCACATTTAACATGGGGTCACGGATTGCCAGCTGGAATGCACGAGGTAGAAATCATCAACCGGCTAAGAATGAAAAGAGCCTGGGAAGCTATTCTTCCTCCGATGGACACTCCAGAAAATATAAAAACTCGTTCGCTCATAATATCAGCTTTGGAAGCGGATGAGTGGGCCTTTAGAGAAGCGGTTAGCACTATGTTTTAAATAGCATGGACGTATTGTAAATTATTACTATTCATATCCTCTCCTGTTAGTTCATAAATCAAAGGGACTCGGTTTCAGGAAATTCAGTTCATCATGGATATGCGTATGAATTTAATGGAAAAGCTGATTAAGGAGCGAGACGAAGAGCGGGATAGGATAATGAAGAATCGTTTTGAAAAAGTTGGCGACTTCTTAAGGAACCGCCGAGACAAGGAAATTATGGGCATTAGGAGGAAACTGGGGCGAGAATTGCGGAAGTTAGCCGTGAAACATCGTGGACAAAATGTTCGTTATCAAAAGCGCGATATTGTCAAGCAACATGCCGATAGAAAATCAGAATTATATGCGCCACAGTTGAGATTCGGTGAAAGCGCTCAAAGACGACATGAAATAATAAGGAAACGGTTGTTACGGGATACTTATGTTGAAGGTAGGTTCGTTAAACTGGTGTACTTGTTATAAAAATAGTTACAATACACTTGCAGAGAGTAATTCCTGTTTTTTACAGCGGCGGAAAAAATAGATACTAAACCAAGTGGACTGTTAACGTATGAGGAATTGAAGGCATTTAAGATTAAATCAAAACCTGCAGAACTTTGCGTGCGAGAAACCAGATGGACCGAAGGAAAATTAAGACAATTACATGCTGATCTTAAAGCGATTCGATTGAACCTTAAGCCCTCGGAAGAAATTAATTTATTGCAAAGTAAGTGCAAGGAACCGACATTACCCCAAACGCCTATAAAAGCAAGAACTCATGACTTCGATAACGAAGTGGAACGATCTACTGAATTTATTCAGAAAACTGTCAGAGGTAGAGCGATACAATGTATGGTAAGTACAATAAAATCATAGGTCAGTTTAAAGATTTTAAACGTTTCACTCGTTAGAGATTATAAGTTTAGATATTACAAATTTTAGTGTTATTCTTTACGCAATCATCTTTTCAGATGTTCGAGGGTCGTAACAGATGCAGAGAATTAATAGAAGAACTCCAATCGACGACGGCACTTCAAAAACATTCGAAGAAATTGCGTCAACAGGAGAAAGACAAAATGCTAAGTATTCAGCAGGAGCAGAATTACAGTATGCTACGTGAAAATCGTTTAAGTGAAATTCTGAACTCGTTAGAGGGCATGACAGTCTGTGGAATACTCGACTACTTGAGTAAGGTAAATGTAATTCTATCAAGATTTTTACTATATTTAATTTCAATTTTAACGGTAGAGTAATAGTAGGTTATGTTTCTTTAAGGAATTGATTAGATTAAAAGATGAACGTACGGCACATGCTTTTGCATTGCTTGCTGAAAGGATAAGGTACAGAAGAGAAGCTGCCGAAGCTGGCAGACGTCAACTTGAAAGAAATCGCCGCAGGGAATTGGATGAAATGTTCAGACAGATTGTAAAAGTAAACCAAGAATCTGTTGAAACATACTTAGAAGATATTATAAAGGAAAGTATCGACTGGATATCGGACAAGGAAGCCAAAGAGTACATTGAAACATTGGTGGCAAAGGCAGAGAAAGTGTCTGACTATGCTGTAGACAAGTAAGTATTCAACAGTAAAACGTCTGTAAAAAGAGTTGAACTTAATATTACATAAAATTAAATGTGATATATCGTGTAGTGCTGCTGAATTAGCAGAGCAAGAAATGGTTGCCGATATGGTTTACAATTTTGTTTTGCCCGAAGTGGAGAAACAAATAATCCGGGAAAATATGAAACAACGTCAACAAAGCTATCTGCAAAATGCACATGCAGCAATTTATAACGAAATATTAAATCTGGATCATGAAGAACCTTTAACACCTTCAGATGTTTTCCCGGATAAATCAAACGTTGAAACAGATGCAGAAGAAGAAAGATCGTTAAACGAAAATTATATGGTACAAACGAAATTCTCTTTTCATTATATCGGCTTTATTATGTTAGTCTTCCAAAATCTCATAGGATTACTAAGAATGTAATTATTTTTAAGATTGAAATTGAAACAAACACAGCATGGAAAGGTGATACTGTTGAAAAGCATATGGATCCCGTAAAAGCCATCGCTAATTATATTCTTCAAACTATTATTTCTCGAGTTATACCATCTAGTAAGTTTTTATAGATATTTATCACTTATTGTGGACATGAACTGGTTGAAGCGGGAAATGGATAAAATGAATTAATAACCATACTTTTAAATATTCAACTGTTACATTTATTTATAATCCTACAGAGAGTGAAGAAATGGTTCATGAGCTGTTGGAAGATGTGTTATCAGAAGTGGTGAAGTCTAATAAACCGCATGTGTTAAGGGGTAAGTGTAGAAAATTAAAAATTAAAATATCTTCAACCATCAAGTCTGATTTTGTTTTAGATAAGTCATCGAAATTATCATGGAGTTCTTCTTATACAAGTCACACCAGTAAGTGATAGATTTTGTTTATTGGTTGATGATAAAATGTAATATTGTCAATTTCATTACACAATACGATAAATAAGATAAGTAGGTCTGTGAAGATCTAGAAAATGAATCTTATATACATTTGTATTGCAGATTCATCAAGGAGTACCACATAATTAGAGTTTGTACTCGAATTGTAGGATCGCTTATACTATAATAACAAGGCCGATAAAACAAAGAAATGCCATTCATCGGCCTTATCAGGTTAAATTCATTTCTGATAACGTACCTATAAATACATTCAAGTTGTTTTGTAGTAGCATCTTGTTTGAATAGTTTAAAGGCAGTTTTTAAATAAATAATTATTAATGCCTTTTAAAAATTAGTTTGAAAATAAATTGAAAGACCAGATGTTTGTACTGCTACATTAAATAAACCTAATTGAGTTTATCAATAAAAGGAACCAAAAATTTAATGAGAAACAAAGGAGAATATTATTTCCCATTTTCATAAGATTTAGGAAATTGATTTAAAACTTAATATCATACAATAATTGTATTGCAATGTTATAACTGTGATTTATGATGAGATGAAAGTAAAATTATAACTAATTTCAAGAAATAAGTGATCTAAATTAATATGAGTACTAAACTATAACAGTTAAAAGTATATCAGAACAAAAGTGTGATTTCACATGAAAGGAAAAACATGTAAGTTCCCTGTGCTAAGAATATTGAATATAAACTACATTTAAATTTCATTTTTCATTCATTTTATTTGTTTTGTTTCTTTCAACTAGTAATGATCATTTATTCACTTCAAGCTCTTTAGTTTGAATATATGCCTGACTAATAAACTTAAACTATCAGTATACATTATGTGATAACAAAAATTAATTTGATGTCGAAGGAATAACATCATCTGAGCTTCCTGCACCAAGTAGATTGGACAAAAATTGTTTAAACTTAATTTCCTTTGCATCACTTGATGATTTCCTTTCGACTATCAATTTTCGTTTTTTCGCTTGAAGTTCTTTAGTTTGAATTTCAGTGTCTCGCTGACTAATAATATCAATATGTTTACGTTTCCGACCATCAAGCGTAGGATCTGGTTTCTGAGTTTCCTCCCTAGCGCGACTTAATTCAGCAGTTAAGTCGCCTATTTTCTGCTCCCATTCTTCCAAATGACGCCTCATATCGGCAATTTGTGCATCCTGTTCATGTATTTTTTCTGCTTGAGCTTGAAGCTTCAAACTTTGCAAACGCATTCGAAAACCATGTCTTTTCATTCGCAGTTTTAGCTTACTAATTTGACCTTTAACTGTTAGGACGGATAATTTATTTTTTTTTGTACGGCTATAAATTTTCTTAAAAGTTTGGTTCAACTTTTCTGTGTTAAAACTAAGTGGTAGAGTAGTAGTATTCGAAGTATTTGTATAAAGAGTTATCATTTGACTTCCACTAGGTAATTCATAAGACCCAACATTACTGACTGCCGATGTGCATATACTATGCTTTAAATCTGGTAGAATTTTCTCATCAAAATGTTCCATGGCCATGCTGCTGATATCCCTTAATTCTTGAAGGATTTCGTGGGTTCTAGGTGGGGTCTTTGAATCATGAATTAAACGAAGTACCCGGAAAATCTCGTCGATCACCTATTACAAAAATATAATTCAAGTTCATTCTGAAATCAGTATATTCTAAAATTATTCAGTCCAACTCACCTTCCCTGGGATGAAGCAACATAAGTTTAAGCCAACATATTTGATAAAAGTCATGGATAACATAGAAATTCTAGTTTCTATCGCTGTTAATATATCGCAGTGACGTGCCAGTGGATGGCATCTTCTCTCTGATTCTCGACGTGGTAAACGGCTCTTCACGGCACGTAAACATTGTGCATGGTATTTTTCCATGAGGTTGAAACCGCGATTTAACAATTTTTGGCATGTTCGATTGAATTGTTTACAAACCTGTTTACAAATAACATCGACTATTAATTCATTGTGAACAATTCCAAAAATGAAATAGATGTACACCCTATGGTATGTCATTGCTTAAGCACATGAAAATCTTCACATTATACATTGCATTATATACAATAAAATTTCTTCACTTAGTGAAAACAAAGGGATAAGAGAAAGAGATCTTACAATTCTGTTTTTGGCAATTTCATCATATGATAGGTTAGACAGGATCGTTTCCAACACCACATCTGGCAGATTAATTAGTAGCAACATTGTTTTTCTTGAATCGTCCAACCTGATCGAGGATGTACCGCGATGTATCGTGTTTTACAGATGGTGCCACGCGTTAACTATGCATGGTAAACACTATCGAAGAAAAGTTAAAACTGTGGCATCGTTCGTAAAACACTGACAACAAGAGCCCAATACTATCATACGATTTGCACGAACACCACCAAATCACGCAGCAATCTCTGCAACTTTTGGACTCCCCTACTTTTCTAAGGAAGATCGAATGGCATAGAGATTGTCAACTCTGTAAGCTAGAAGTGAGGTTAAATCAGGTTAAATCACGTTTTCAATACAATCAATGAAGACCATGAAAGAACAAAAGAAAGATAGAAAACCGTTATTGTAATTAACGAGTTTCCCGCTATGTGGCGTTATCGAATGTTAAACCCACATCGTTAAATCTGAGTAGGTTATACCAGAGATGAGGTTATACGTTCTTACATCTTTTTAAACCTTGCTATACATTGAAAATCACGCAGAAAGAAAACGCCGGAAAACAATAGTGAAAAGTTGCGAACAATCCAATGCCGAAAACAGAGAATTTAGAAAAAATGAAAAGGAAGGCGGCGAAACATAAACATAAGGAGAAGTTGAAAAGGAAGAAGAAGAAAAGTAAACATAACCGATCCAGTTCTGAAAGTGTAAGTGATACTAATGTCAAATTCTAAAATTGATAATTCCGCGTAAGCTTGCACAAAATTCTATAATCATATTGTTTAATACAGAGTTCGGACCAGAGTAAAGAAGAATGGGTGGAAAAGACTATTGATAAACCTGAACCAAGTGCGCCTAAGGAACAGTCTCAGCCAGCCGAAAGAGAAGAGTGGATGAATCTTCCAAGCCTGTTCAATTGTTTTTCAGAAAATCATTCTAAGAGCAAGAAGAAAGAGAAAGAAAGGGATTCTTCAATCTTGGATCAACCAGGGCAAAGCTCGAGAGAACTGAATCCTTATTGGAAAAATGGAGGTACTGGAGTACCTGAAACCGAAAATAAAGCACGAGTCAAACAGACATTAGATGCTGCATGGCTGAAGAAGAGTTTACAAAGAGTTAAAGAGCAAGCAGATCAGGAGGGAAGAACCCTTGCTGAAGTTGCTTCGGAAAGATGGGGAGTAAGTTACTTTTAATACAATGCATTATTATCAAGGATAAAAATCTGTCATTTTATTTGGAATCAAATACTGAATTTTATACAATGATTAAATCTTTTCAGTCCTTGGACACCATAAAATCAATGATAGCTGAAGCAGAATGTAAGTCACGTAATAATGACCGTTCATTTTATGCAAAAAGAACTCACATTAAATATCATGATGATGTAAATACAAAATATGTTAAATGTAAATACAGAAGTTTTAACGATGATAGTTCAGAGAGAAGACCTAGATCTCGTTCTAAGAGCAAAGATCGACATGAATGGAGTTCAGAATATAATAAACATTTGGAAAGTCGGAAACATAATAAATTAAGATCTCAAAGCCCAGAGTTGGAAGAAAGACATCAACGTAAAAGATATGGAAGTCATTCAAATCATGATAAGAAAAAACTAAGTTTTAAAAAACCTTCTGACAATGAGGACATTCCTTGTCATTCAGAGTCAAACAGATCTAGAAGTCGAAAATGGCAAAAGCCTGAGTTTCAAGAAACCTCTTATAGGAAGATATCAGAAGTTCATACACAAGTAAAGCCAATTGAACTGAATGATGAAAGTGATTTAGAATTAGAAACCAGCAAAAAAAAAGAAGACGAATGTGTATTAACAGAATCAGAAATGAATCAATTAGGTGCTAAGATTGTTAAAGCAGAAATAATGGGGGATATGGTAAGGCACATTTTATTTTAAACATGGTAATATGACAGTTGATAATTTGACAGTTTTATTTTTTGATAAATAATATTCCTATTCCTTTCTATCATTTATATTTTTAATATCAAAATTTTTCTAGGAATTAGCAACGAAGTTGAAATCCCAGCTAGAGAAAGCTCGAGAACATCGAAAAAAAGCTGATACGAAATCTTGTATTACAGAAGAGAATGCAGTACTTCTTATACGTACGGATGCAAGTGGTATGTAAATAATAATCATAATTATATTATTTTTGTGCTTTATTTGATATTAAATTTAATTACTCAATGTTGTATTTGTTTTGTAAGGTACGACAAGGCCAATTCAACCTAGAAATGAATCAACAGAAACTTCTGCAAAGAATAGAAAGAAGAAAAATGTTAATACACATCAGTCAGGACAAAGAATTCGATACTTCCCTGATGATGATAAATACTCCTTGGAGCAACTGGTATGTACTCTGAAAAAAGTATAAAATGAAGTTGTAGGAAATTAACATATTTATAAAAGTCTTCATTTCAATTGATCACAAGTTGTTACTGATCCTTGTGTGATATTTCAGTATGAACGTGAAAAGGGAAGCTCTGCAAAGGATACTGAAGCATCATTTGTCAAAATTGCTTCTAGCGTAAGTAAACATAGTATGAATAGATTTCTCAAGTCTTGTAATTAACAAATCAATAGATGAGGTTTTATGAAAGCATAAATACTATTTTATTCTAGTCAATGAATATGGAAGATCTATTCGGGTCCGAAATGATATCGGACAGATCAGAAGTTGCTCAAGAAGCTTCCGATCGTGCACAAGCAATAAGAGAAGATCAAAGAATTAGTAATTGTTCTTGGTGCATCAACTCAAAACACATGTTGAAACATATGATTGTAACAATGGGATCTACGATCTATCTGTCCTTACCACCATATACATCACTAACTTCTGGACATTGTATCTTAGCACCTATTCAGCATGTGATATGTCAAACCCATTTAGATGAAAATGTTTGGGAAGAATTACAGGTAAAGTAGTACTTTGTATAATTAATTCACGTTGTTTTCTTATGAATACTGTAAGCTAATCTATTTTCTTTATCAGGCTTTTAAGATGGCATTGACAAAAATGTTTGAAAGCCAAAATAAGAGTTTAATATTTTTTGAAGTTTCAATGAGATGGCGTGATTATCCACATATGCGGCTTGAATGTGTTCCATTGCCGAAAGAAATTGGGGATATGGCACCAATGTATTTTAAGGCAAGTTTATGTACTATAAATGTAGATATTAATGTCTCAATTTTCTTATGGTTTTAATTTTTTTAAAGTACGTTTCATATTTTACAGAAAGCTTTGTTAGAATGTGAGATGGAATGGTCTACAAATAAAAAAGTTATAGATTTGAGTCAGCATGACGTTCGCCGAGCTGTACCAAAAGCTTTACCCTATTTTTCAGTGAACTTTGGTATTCAAGGTGGATTTGCTCATATAATCGAAGATGATAAATTGTTTCCACGGAATTTTGCGCAGGTAAATATACCATTTTAATGAGATTGGCATAAATAATGTATATTATTTGTATTTTATAATAGACTTTGATTATAAATACTATTTCCATAATTTAATAAATAAAATTTAAATATGTGTATTTAATTTAGGAAATTATTGGTGGAATGCTGGAATTGGATCATAACATATGGCGCAAACCAAGAGCAGAACAATTTGAGCAGCAAAGGAGTAAAGTGATGGAATTCAAAAAAACGTGGGAAAAGTTCGATTGTACTACTTGAAATCAATTATGTCACTCTAAATCTTACATTTCCTAATTCGAAAATGGACAATGTAAAAATATTTCTGTACATATATTCAAATGATGATGAATCTGTAGAAATTTATTTATTTTCTGTACTATTTGCAGTATTACATTGCTGAAAACCAGCAACTGGAAACTTTTGCAAATGCTCTTTCAGAACACATGGGAAAAGCGATAGCATCTTGAAGCATTTTCCCATTTTATCGTCATCCGTGATCATGTGATAACCTGATTTTAATTGCTCCTTCTGATTATCAGAAGCTGAGTTTAAAAGTACATTTAGTCTAATATCTATACCAAGTTCCTTGAGAAAGTTTCCTTGATTTACAGGCCCAAATGTTATTAGTCTTTCATTCTTTTGTGCTATTTTTCTTAACAGTGAAAAATCTACATCTGCTGTTAAATCGGCACTGCCTGGTTGTACCAGGGGATCATGAAGTTTATGTTGTCGAAATGCTCTGAATGTATCAGTCTTTTCTCCATTATGACCATAATCTGCAATCAATGCAAATCCACCACACTCTTTCAAACATGATGCCATGTAGTCAAGGGTAACCATAGCTTGAGGACATATTTCTATATGGTCTCTCTTTTCGTCTTCCTAAAGTGAAAAAAAAAAGTTGCAATATAAAATATTTAAGTACAATCAAATTTTTTTAATTATTTTTTACTCACAGATACATAGATTATGCTAGCTGAAGTACTCGTACCAGATAGAACATACCGGAACTTTTCTTGGTCTACCGATAAAGGATCGATATCAATCAAGATTTCATTCCATCCTCGGTCAGTTTTCTTATGTAAAACGCAATTTTGATTAGCATTTAATTTAAAAATATAACACAGCAATAACATTAAGTAGTTTGAAATATTTGCCTACTTACCTGAAATTTATGTACAGGCAATGTATCGAAGAATTCATGTGCTATAAAAACGCTAAATTTCCTTGGAACATCATTTATAGAATAATACCAAAAAATTTGTACCCCTTCTTCAGTAATTCCCTTTCTGTAATGAGTAACAGCATTTTTTTGGTTTTTATTCACTTCTGGTTTTACTTCTTTAGAAGATACACATAAATTCTTTGCTTGAATGTCTGAAAGTACTGGACTAATTTCAACAAAATGTAATGATAATTTACTCGTGTATTTCAATTGCTTAAATACCTGGAAATGTAAATATAATTAACACATACATGAATTGAAATATGAGACAAATGCAAAGGAAAATAAGACTTACAGGTTTAATGAAGTAAAATAATTTTTTTTAGTTTCGACACTTAGAATTTAATATTCCATAAAAATTAAGAAAAACATTATTTACGTTTATACCCTTATAATATCTCTGGCTAATGATCCTCTCCCTGGTCCTAATTCTACAAGTTGAAATTCATTATTAGTAATCTTATTCCATTCGTTAATTATCCAAACTGCAATCATCTGAAACAAGCATTAATGTTTAATTACAGTACATTTACAGGATATTAATGATTCATTCTTAATAGATATCTCGATAGATCATTGCAAAAAAGAAATAGATTTTTTCGATTTATTTCTGATATAAATACTTACTTCACCGAAAAGTTGACTTATTTCTGGAGAGGTAGTAAAATCACCTTTCTGTCCGAACACATCTTTACTTGTATAATATCCTGCGACAGGATGCGTAAGGACTGTCTTCATATATTCCGCTACTGTGATCGGGCCACAGGCCATTATTTTCGTAAAAATCTCTCGATATAAAAGATTCTTTTCACTTTTCACAATATTTGTTATTCGGGATGAATAAAATTGTTTAAAACATGCTACCTCGTTTAAGACACCTTTTTTATGTAATAAGTTTCTACCTGACAAATGTTTTGACAACATCCGTAAAGCCATGTTTATTGAAAATGAATACAGCTTTTTATAATAAACACCTTTGCTTTTGTGACTCACATTGGTAAATTATTATTTCATTGACTTCATTACTTTGCTCTGAATTCCTCTAAATTCTACTAAAACAAATCTACATTGTTGTAGAGAACAGCGCCACGCGTGGAACATTCCGAAAGTACCTCTTTTTAACCATGAGTTGACCTTCTATTAACGTCTGAATTCGTGGGCTGTGCGTTAGCCGCAGTTGGCTGTCTTTTGCAAAGATTCGCTAGCGGTTAATTCTAGATATTTTTCAAAGAAGCAGTTGCGGAAATGTTTCACTGGTGTGGTTATGAATAACAGGGACATGTCAAAAATCTTGTGATGGCGGCGATGTTAAAGGTTAGTTGTCATTAAATAAAGAAAGTAATAATTAACTCGTAGTTTAAGAAACCAGTTGCACGAGGAAAATGTGTATTATCAGTAAACTTAAACGTTAACCTAAATTAACGGTACAACCGTTTTTCTCCCTACCTGAATTATTTTCTCCTTCCAAAGATGTTATTTATTTCAAAGAAAGAGATTATTTAGAAACTATAGGATTGCATGTTCACTGGATGTATGTTCTTTAAGAAAATCAAGATGATGTTCGGAGTACTCCTATGTAAATTCCATTATTTCCGTACAAGTAGTGCATGAGTGAGTTACAAAGAATTGGCTTGTTATAATATCATTGTCAATAATTTCCTTTAAATATGAATTAAATAATATCCTATGTAGTTTATATTAAAGCATATATTATGTACTGCACTTGATATTGGGGTTAGTTTACTTTTTTTGTATAGATAATTTCTTTCAGAATATCTACCTGATATGAAAACAAATAAAATGATAGTAAATCCTAATAGATTAATAATATCCTTCACTTTACAATGTATTACAGTTATTGAATCATGTAACTAATAATGTATCTCATTTTAGGATAAAGGTCAATATACATTTGAAGAAAAATGGCCGTGCATGCGCCCGATTATATTAAAGCTGCTGAAACAGGAGCCGGTGAGCCAAGCGGAATGGCAAGACTTGTTTTCCTCCGTTTACTTAGTATGTTCATGGGATGAAAAAGGACCAACTAGATTGAGAGATGCGCTGACAGAAGATATATTGGATTTCATAAAACAAGCACAACAGGTATATTTAATTATTCACAAAATTGTAATCGTGCTAACATCTGAATAGTTATTTGACCTCGTATTTTTAATTGTAGAGAGTACTGGCACACCAAGAAGAACAAGCTTTGTTGAAAGCTTATGTTGCCGAGTGGAGAAAATTTTTTACACAATGTAATTATTTACCAACTCCATTTAGGCAATTGGAAACTGCCTTGGCAGGAAGAAGTTCTACTGTACAAAAAAGAAATCAACCGGACGAGAGTATAGTTAAAAAGGTATTGTAATTTGTAATTAAAAATGAATGTTTTGTTGATATTTTTGTATGAATAATACTATACTATACTGAGTGCACTTATAATATTTAGATTCATACTTTGCATGGATGGCAAAGATTCCTTGAATTAATTAAAATTATTTAAATTCAATTCTTTGACTCCTGAACATTAATGAAAGATTATCAAAACATTTTTCACATTTTTTATCTTTATAACAGTTAATGCTAGATAGTTGGAAGCAGAGCATATTTGGTGAGATAAAACAGAAACTACAAGATTCAGCAATGAGACTCGTACGTGCGGAAAGAAATGGTGAATCATTTGACTCTCAGTTAGTCATCGGAGTTAGGGAATCTTATGGTAATATCGATATATAGTTTTTATAGCAGTAGGTGCTATTTTATTGTTCAAATTATACTAATGCGTGTTTATTTAATTGTTACAGTAAATTTATGCTCAAATGCTACGGATAAACTTCAAATTTATAGAGAAAATTTTGAAGCAGCTTACATCGAAGCAACAGAAGCATTTTATTGGGTAAAAGCACCAGAAAAGTTGTCTCTGCACGGTGTGGAAAATTATATGCGTTATGCAGAAGCAAAATTGCGGGAAGAAGAATTGCGAGCCCAAAAGTATTTAGAACAAAGTGGCTCGAGTGTACAACTTTTAACAGACTGTTGTGTGAAAGGATTGGTAGCTACCTTTAAACCTGCTATATTAGCAGAATGTCCTAGGATGATACAGCATCATCAAACAGATAGTAATTACACTTGTTCTTGATTAGTATCGTCTGTTATATTTATTCATTAATGTTAATATCCTTTGAAATTGATAATTGCAGAGCTACGGTTGATGTTAAAATTGATGGATCGAGTCCCAGATGGAGTTGGGCCCATGCTAAGAGACCTCGAAGAGCACATAGCAAATGCAGGTCTAGCTGATATGATGGCTGCGGTAGACGTTATAACTCAAGACTCAGAGAAATATGTCGAAAGGCTATTAGATTTGTTTAATCGATTTTCAAAACTTGTCCAAGAGGCATTTAACAATGATCCACGGTTTTTGACTGCTCGTGATAAAGCCTATAAACTAATTGTCAATGACGCTTCGGTATTTCGTTTGGAGTTACCAGCACGACAGGGTCCAGGAGTAGGAGTATTAGTCACGAACAGTAAACCTAATAACAATAATAATGGACAACCAGAGTCTAAATGTCCAGAACTGTTGGCTAATTACTGTGATATGTTACTTAGAAAAACTCCCCTCAGCAAGAAACTTACTCCTGATCAAATTGAGAAAAAGCTGAAAGATGTGGTACGTACGACAATGTAGTGATTATATTCGATAAGTTGTATCGAGACGTACTGAAGATATTTTCATTAGCCTAATTAAATGCCTTTTACAGTTGCTGGTATTAAAATATGTCCAAAATAAGGACGTTTTCATGAGATATCATAAAGCTCATTTAACGAGGCGGTTAATATTGGATACGTCTGCTGATTCAGAGAAAGAGGAGAATATGGTAGAATGGCTTCGAGAAGTTGGCATGCCAGCGGACTATGTTAACAAATTGGCACGAATGTTTCAAGACATCAAAGTATCACAAGATCTTAATCAGCAGTTTAAGGAGCAATGTCGAGCTGCTATTGCTGACAGTATAAACATCAAGGTTTGTTTTTTCTCTTTACCTCTTTTTCCCAACAAATATTAAATACATTATGATTTCTGCGGTTATTCTTCCTGCCGTACAAATTGGCTTTGGGATAAGAAGTGTTAATTTGTTTAGTGAACCGTCCTACCCCCAGTATAGGTGAAACTTGATTGACCAATCGTCTACCCTCAGATAATGTAAAAGGCAATTACAGCAAATGAAGCTATATTTACATTAGTGCCTCTATGCAATTCGGGCAAGATTACAAATTAACACGTGGCTCCCATCCAGAAGCCAATTTGCACAAATTTAAAACAATTAAGAAAAAAAAAAACTTAAAGATGAAAAATGAAAATATTTTGTAGATACTAAATGCTGGAGCCTGGGCGAGAGGGAGTGAACGAGTCACGGTTAGTCTCCCTCTTCAACTAGAAGATTATATACCTGAAGTTGAAGAATTTTACAAGAAGAAGCATAGTGGGCGCAAACTGCAGTGGTACCATCATATGTCTAATGGCACGGTAAGAAATAACAAAAAATAGTTTAATTACACGGAAAAAATATCCTCTAAGAAGTTAGTTTTTAATTGACAAAAAATCCAAATAAATTATATTGTGCACCTGATACAGCTCTGTAGTCATTGTACATATTTATATTCATGTTTTTCTTTTAAACAAAGTTGATTGATGTTACAGATAACATTTTCCAACCAAGTGGGTCGATTCGACGTGGATGTGACGACATTTCAAATGGCAGTATTATTTGCATGGAATCAACGGCCGTTAGAAAAAATTTCGTACGAAAATCTTCGCTTAGCTACCGAGCTACCCGATCCTGAATTAAGACGTACGCTGTGGTCACTGTGCGCATTTCCCAAATTAAAACGTCAGCTACTTTTAGTGGAGCCAATTGCTCACAGCCCTAAGGATTTTGCTCACGATACCAGGTTTTGGGTGAATCAAGAATTTGCTGTAGTGTGAGTCTCGCATTAAGTATTGTCTACAATCTCCACTACATTATTACACGTCATGAGGTTCTTCTTGTAATTTTTGCAATTACATTTTGTCATTAACAGAAAGAATGGCAAACTTCAGAAACGTGGAAAAATTAATCTCATCGGTCGCCTTCAACTTTCTACAGAGCGTAGCAAGGAGGAGGATAATCAGTCGATTGTTCAGCTTAGGATATTGCGGGTTCAGGTACGTAATCACTTTTTTCCTTTAATGTTTATTTATTACCCATGATGCAGTTTAATAATTTTCTTGTATTTTTGGGAACGCAGGAGGCCATTATTAAAATCCTGAAAATGAGGAAGAAAATTAACAACGCACAGTTGCAAACCGAACTAGTGGACATACTGAAGAATATGTTCCTACCGAGTAAGAAGATGATCAAAGAACAGATTGAGTGGCTTATTGAGCACAAGTATATTCGAAGACATGACGACGATATCAACACATTTGTGTACATGGCGTAACCTCGACGACCTCGCGTTTTCGGGCAATCGCCCGGGCATCTATGACTAATATTATATTTTTATAAAACCTGAGTTTCTTCCGCGCAGTTGTAATCCTGCGAGGGCATGAGAACAGTTCCGCCTGCGAATTCAGGCAGATACTATCTTTCGGTAAGTGGATAAAATGTGAATACACTTGTCATCGCATTGCTTGCAAAGGTGACATCGAAGTTTAGTGGGAATTGCCATTCAGCGGACAAAGTGTAACATTGTACTAGTAGCGCAAAAAACTTCGCGATAAGATCATAAGAGCATTTTGTAAAGGAAGACAGGATGTTTTTTCCTGCTAGAAGGTAATGGTTTTTAGAACGATGATCTCATACCATGTCGATTGAATTTTATGAAGCGAGGAATCAATAAGTATGTAATGGGATTAACACCACGCTGCAATTTGTATTTTATTTATGTAGGACAGAGTACTTCAGTATTGCATCGTGACGATTCTTTGGTGAACACCCTATAAAGGATGTCAAATTTGTTCAATTGAAAAATGTGAGTACTGGATTCTGTTAGCTCGAGTTCAAATTAACCATAGAATTTATTAAGTCGACAATTGTTAAAGATTTAACGTTAATTCCTGTAGTAATGTAACAAATTTAAAATCCTAATGCATAAGCGATGAAAAAAGGTATTTCTTTCCTCCAATGTGAGAATGTTCGGGTGAATTGTTTGGGTATGTCATTACACCACTACACGTACATATATAAATATTAGAATTTTATGTTCAAAGGTATATACGTCGTGAAACATATACATCTATGCAAGAAGCACTGGTAACAATGATTTGTATAAAGCCTTTATAATACTTGAATGATCTAAGTAAGTGTGTAAGGATATTGAATCGCATTGAATTAAAGATTCAAATTTTCCATATTTCCGTGAGTCATCATTTCTTTTTGTAATGAATGTATCCCTACTCTTATTAATATTGCATAGTTTTTCTTACGCGGAGTATATTCTGATAAAATTTGAAAAGTAATTATTTTTTACTTAAAAGTAATACCTTGGTAAGGTAAAGTGTGTATGAGAATGAACATATATTAACATAATACCAAAACTTAGAGGTGAGCCGAGATCAACAATTATGGTGGCAATAATTATATCTCATTCTAGTGAATTTTTATTATCAGTAATAATAACTTAAATCACATAAATATTTCGAACAATTTAGGCAATTTCCGTAAAATTTAACAATATCAAGCAGCAGCCTAAGCGACAGTTCGTTTTCGTCGCAAGAACATTGAACATGTATCGAGAAACTTTATGGAAACGGCTGTTATAACAGTGGTTTTTCTTTTTCTTTAGGATCTTTACAATTTAAGTACAACTTCTTAATTAATTACTACTATAATGTTCTGTCAGAAGTAAAAGGAAACTGGTGCAGTCCATGTTTATGTCAACACGTACACTGTAAACTAAATGTAAATTCACATTCATACAATCATTTTCCATCATAACATTACATTTTCTCGAGTGTCACAATATTAATGAAATCATTCCATACCTAATTTATCAACAGTTACTCATGTAGGCATAATCTTTATACACACGTAACAATGATAAAGTTGTAAGACGGCGCTTTTCAATTGTTGATACGATCTCAACACTGACGATATGATTTTCTTTAAATAGATGATGCTTCAATATTTGTTTATATAATATGACAAAACATGTTCCTTTCGATATTTCTCTCTTTAAACTTTATACTAACTCAGTTCCTTTGAAGTGTCGCATTGTGCCCCCTCCCCCCCTCTAAGTTACGAAGTTCATAACTGCTTATTTAAATTTGTATTTGCATTACTTAATGTTACGTTTATTGATTTCTTTAAGCATCACATTCTTCCTCGGATTAAGGATGTACATCTGCCGAGCCAAATTTAATTCTACACCGATTATCGCTGAAAAGATTAAGAATAGCTTTCTATTCAATTATTTTTTGCTTTGGGACTTCTCTCAAATTTCGTGTTGATATCAAATCTATACTTATAAACTTTTAAGACAGATAAATGCTAAATCGTACTCTTTCTTAATGTAAATATATATATTACATAATACGCTTTTTGTGTTTTTCGAAACTGTAGTATTTTACACATCGAAGCAGCAGAAACGTCATTACGTCAATTTATGCTAGCACATTTTTCACAGATCGGAGAAATATCTACTCTAGAAGTCTAAGCAGAAGAATCAAACAATACGTTATAATATTAGGCGAATCATGCTTCGTGAGACCAGCAGTGTAACTACCAATATTTTACATTTGCTTCGTAGGAAGCGCTCGAGTATTGACATATTTTTGAGCAGCGACTCGACTATCAACGCGAATATGCCTTGTTTTAAAGGGTGGAAATTTAAAACTTACAAAGTATGGCTTGGCACACGGTACACATCTGCTTTAACGATTAATTCTGACGAGTTAGTGTTACTTACGTCTTGGATGGAATATAAACGATTCAATGCCGTGTACGGTGGACGATATTGAAAGAAAACTCGATTGATAAATTAATGATCCGGACAACGTGTGTGCTGTATACGGGGGCCTCCTTTAATAGGATTCGTTGTTTCGCAAACGTGAACCACAATGCCAGGCTGACCTGAACCTCCTGGATGAAGTTCGTGACTGCCCCCTGAAAGAATTTAACTCAATTGTACCCTATTGTTTCAGATAAATGGATCTATACGTTACCAAAAATAATTGCTTAATAATCATTTACGAATTTTATATCATCAGAAGTATGCTATAAATAATTACTAGCATTCTCTGTAGTATAGTTCTTTTATAGATATCATGGATTAGCTATAGCAACCTGGAGATAAATTTGCGATTGCTGCTAGCAAGTCATGGTTGACAAGTGGTTCATTCTCTTCGCGTGGTTCCCACCCAACTGGAGGAGATGCTGGAGGTGAAATTAGGAACTGTTTTGAAGGTGCTGGTGGTTGAAGATGTTGGTCTTCCATATCTATTGTTGCAGTAATAGTATGGGATTAATAAAAGTAGCATTACAAAAATTTGCATTATTCATAAAGACAAAAGAAAGCAAATTAATAACATTTTTCAAACAATTCTTGAAGTAAATATAATGGAATGGTGCCAAATTATTAAAAATACTTCTTGTTAGTGTACATCACAAACCTATAGGCGTTACTGGTTGTGCGAAATAACAATTGATATCCGTCTCCCCGTAATGAGTTTGATGCAATTGTATCCTTGCATGTGCAGCAGCACTTGGGGAACTATAATTTACCCTCATTCTTCTAAACGATCTGAAGTACTGAAACGTGGCGTCATCTCCAAATTGTTTAAATAACGATTCTATACCCATCTGCAACAATCAATAGTAACCAATTATTATAACGATGGATATCACAGACCAGGTTGTATCAGATATCTTTATTCTATTGAATTGCATAAAATATAGAACCTTCATTTCATCACTTTTAAATACTCTGGGGTCGATATTGGTAACAATTACGGACGTCGGTAAATCCTCATCGTGAACGAGTTCTTCCAAAGTTCTTGGATGAGTGTCTCCACGATTTTTCCCTGCTTCAAATTCAAGCTCCAGTTGCTCATAATTTGGGTGTAGATTAGGCAAACCATCTATTTCATTTATAATAATATTCTCTGTCTCCTCTGTCTCTTCATCTTCTAGAGCTGCATCCCTTTTCTCCTCCATTTTTTCCACCTGAGAAGAACTTTGATTCGTGAAAATACTTCACAATAATAAATTGCAATCCTGTTTACTAAATACTAGGTTCAAATAAAAATAAAGCTACATATATCAGTGTATGCATGCAAATGCAATTCATACTACTTTTCTTTTCAATAATATTCTTATTTACTTCCTTTTAAATTTTAATCAGAATTAATGTATGCTTCACAAATAGCATTTATTAAAGAAATAGTAATATTGTATACTACCGTGGCTTCGGAAGGTTGTAATAAAATACGATTTGTCATACTTTTGAAGCAACTTATGTATTATTCAGCAGGTGAATATGTTTATGGCATGTTTAATGGTAAGTGCGATTTGATGTTTGTTCACATGTGAGTATCAATAGTGATCTACTGCATCTAAAATAAAAAGAATTCCATCAATCAACAAATAAAAAATTAATCATAAAGAAACTGAAAAATCAATTTATATTTCTTAAAAAAACCATATTGGTGTCTGCATGTATTCCATAACACGAAATTCAAGTATGTAAAATTCATATTGATTTTCATGAGATTCTAACTTTTGACTGTAACCAAATTCATTACTTTTAATGATTATTTATGGATCATTTTTGCAATGAACATAATTAAAGCAGTGGTAGTATGAATGAGAATTACAAAACATATTAAAGCACACTGTTCACAGATTCAGCTCTTTTTCATTGCCACCATGCATTATTAAATGGACAGCTAGTAGTATGATATTATCTAACTACTACACAATTATTATTAATATTAACCATTTCTGAAGTTATGTTCATATTCTTACCAAATATGATTATTAAGGTGTAGGACGGTAATAACACAAAAATCCTGGTGGACAAATATATGATCACGTATACTTTGAAATAGCTTTCACGTGATAGCGTTTAATTGGTAATGCCCAATCACACCTAAAAGTACATAGCACGAGTTTTTTATATAAATATTAACAAGAACAAAGATATTAATTACTTATTAAACGTTTCTATTAAATGGCTAACATGTCTTAACCATCGAGTTTCAAATATTTTCATTAATGCTTTATGTTAATAAATAAACCTTATTCAATGCAGTTCACAAATCACTAGACACAAGGTTAGCTCGTTGTTATAAGGCAGAAGATTAATGAAGCATTAGATACCAACATACTTTTAAATCAGTCATCTCGTACTCACCTATCACACAAAGTGACATAAAACCACAAATATCACTTTAAATCAATAACATTACTGACAAGATCAGAGTAATAACACCCAGCGTACAACACTGACTACATAAAGACATAACTACAGACTATCGTAATAATTTTTACTCATAAATGCATGTCAACAGTAAATGAATGAAATAGGAATATTACAATGCTAAATTAACCGAATTATAACCAACTGCTGAACGGATGATTATTATTAGAACACCAAAATTCTTGCTTCTCATCCAATGCTAAAAATTTGATACAATTCACTTTTTCATAAACAAACCCATGCAATTACAGTTCGGTAGTGTAAATATTCATTTATGGCCTGATTATTAGTTCTCACCAGCAAACAATTTCAGTGCAACAATACCCATTTTACGATAACAATTGTCTGTCATACCTGTTACTTTTGCATTATTTTATTCGTGTATGTACACGTTGGGCAGTTAGATTGGCATCTGTGTAAATGAAGAAGTTGGGTCACCACTTGTGTTCGCAAGTATCTACGTCAATTCCTGTTTATACCCTCTTTCCCAGCTCGTCCCACACACGTTCTGAGCTGGGAACTTTAGGCCGAGGCAGCTGTTACGATCTATCAGTTGTAAACAGTTGTGAAAACGGTATTTGATGATCTACACAACAAACTTCTTCTCAGCAAGTAGTGTATTATTTTGTACTGTTTTGTACAGAGAGAATCAGAGAGTGTCCATGACCTCTGTTTTGTCGCGAGCGGCGAAAGAGTGGAGTCTTGCGGCCGGGCCTCGAAACTATTACATAGTTATCATGGACGCACTCTATGTTACCTTGTTATCCATGATATGTCAGATTCAGATGTTGCCTATTGACTCAAGGACGCTTTCATTCATGACTCGATCGAGATAAGGACGTAGTTCTACAATATTTAACAGAGGTCTCACAAAACGCGGAGCCTCAACTCATCGAAGATGAAAAACCAATCAGAATTGCGGTAGAAGTATCAGACGAGATTAAGCGCAGTTTTGATTGGTTCTTTCTTTTCGTCGCATCGATGCGCCGCGCTCTGTATGACACCCACGTTCTCATGGAACTCCGACCGTAGTTCCGGTAAGTTTGTAGGTTATTTCTGAATTCCGGGCGAGGACAGTGGAGAGCAGCACATGACCGAACAAACCGCCCTGTGAACAATCTCTTATCTCGTTCGTAAAGGTGTTATATGTGGTTTGTCGATGGTTTGTACAAGTAGTTAACAAATAAACAATATGTCGGCAATGGAGGGTTCTCTCAGCAAGTGGACGAATGTAGTAAACGGGTGGCAATACCGATGGTTTGTGCTAGACGACAATGCTGGTCTTTTGTCTTACTACACGGTGAGAATTTTGGAAATACCATAATATTCAATCTTACAATCTAGGCGTATTATTGTTAAGAGGAATCGGCTCCCTCTTTTATGGTCATCCTAGATACATCTTATTAACTTTGAATTTTTTTCAATATTCAGAAAAAACGTTTGAAAAATTCTCAAATGATATGTCGGAAGGGATATTAAATTTATGTTACTTTTATCTTTCTATTCTTGGTACTTTTCCTCTGATTAATTGTAGTCAGCTGATTAGTATCCATTTACCGCAATGGAGAGCTGCAGTCATTTCAAGGATGTGCGGATTAAGTAGCTGTTGTCAATGTAGGGACACTTTTGGATTTTTCATTTGTCAATTAAGAATTGATTTAAAAAGCATCTTTCCAATGTTTGTTTTTGGAATTTAATATTGCTTTGATTAATAAATAACTGCTGGATGAGATTTTCAAATTTATTTTCTTTGCATAATACTAATTACTAGTTATTAATTACACTTTTTGTCTCATCTACTCTTAGAGTAAAGAGAAAATGATGCGGGGAGCAAGGCGAGGTTGTGTGCGATTAAGGGGTGCTGTTATTGGGATTGACGATGAAGATGATAGTACATTTACAATTACTACATCATCTTATAAAGATGATCCCAAAACTTTTCATTTCCAAACTCGTAACGGTGAAGAACGTGAACGTTGGGTGCGAGCTTTAGAGGACACCATATTACGTCACTCCCATGCGGTATGACTTTCCTTTTTGCCTATGGAAAATAACAAGAAATGATTGATATCTTTGTAGAATTATTGAAAAATCATATATCTGTGTAATATAGATGAAACCATAAATAGTAGATGCTCAGGTTACGACCTCGAGACTTAAACATGAGATATCTGTATATATATGTGATTATTTTCACATTGTCATAAGTTACTCTGTATGTTATCGAAACCTTATCATACGAAACTTATGACTCATGCACAGGGTGATTATGAGGTACTTATATTAATGAATTGTTCATTGTTCTTTAGAGATGGGACCCAAAGAAATCTCCACCAAAACAAGACTTTGATCGTAAAGTAGCAGAAGCGGATGTCTATCTTCAACTTTTGATTGATCAGATAAAAGTAATTGAATGTAAACAAAATGCTACAACTGAAGGAGACAATGAGAAACAACAGAGATATACAACGATTTTGACACAAGCCAATGCAATGCTTAATTCCGTTAAGCATACCATTGTTCAACTGCAAATTGCGAAGGTATGTATATATTTAACATTCTTCTTTCTTAGAAGAAGTCATTTTCTTTTCCTTCCTCTGTGTTTAAACCTTTCACATATGATTTTGCAATATAATATATTTTCATACATTTACAGAACACAGCGATTCCAGTCAATGGAATTTATAAAGGACCTACAGAACCTGTCCATGTCTCACCAGTTATAACACACTGTAAGGGTAAAAAAAATGTGTTCTTTATAACATTCATTTTTTACATAAAATTAGTTGCAGCTGACGAATCTGATCCTGCTGTGCAAACTGGAATTGAATTAGCATCGGAGTGCATCGAGCCAAGAGTCCCAAGTTTACCAAATGGTTAGTCTAAAAGTGACTGCAAAGTCGTTTATTTGAGATTCTCATAATTACTGTCTAACGATAGTGTAAATAATTCGTAACCCTTGACCCTGAAATTTGTTTCTGTTGTAGACAGAAATCTTCCAGTTCCCGAGTTCTCCTATTCCTCATCGGACGAGGATGAGGATTTTTATGACGCGGCGGATGAAATTTCGCCCGCTTCCGCGTCACAAAACTATTTTACCTTGCAAGTATTCCAAATTTTATTTTGTTGATTTATATTTTGCAGAGTTATACAATTAGAAAAATTGAAGAGCAACTATGTCTTGAATTTACAGTGGCGAACATGAATATCTTCTCATGGTACATTTATCATCCACGCCATATCTGCAGGGGAGGTATTCATGTCCGTCAGTATACATATGCACTAGAAGGATAAGAATGATGTACAATACTCTTGCCTGTCATCGGAGTACAATCTTCATATTTTTTAACTATCGTTCTAGCAGAAGGCGTGATAATGACCGGTTGCAAAATACTGGTTGTCCACAAGCGACAGAAGGTTTATCAAGTGATAGTCGCAAACAAGTGCCTCCGCCTATAAAGGGTGACGGATCTGTAGATTATGACGGTAAGTCATGATTTCATTTGACCATACACAATTTCTTTTTAATTATCAAAGAATATGTTCACCCTAAAACAAAGGAAAACAAATAGTATCTTGTTTTTATTATTCTGTTTGATTAAATGACTTCTGTAGTTGAGTACTAGGATATAAAATGTACACATGCGCTATTTTCAATTTTTAATCAGTGAAAGTAAAATCAATTGAAAATATTTAAGAAGACTAACCTAACTATTGTTAATTTGACTGATCAGTACATAAATCGAGAAAGAAAAATTTTAAGTTGACAGTATATGAATGTATGAACCGTAGGTAAAGTTGCGATCTACGTGATCGGCATCGCAGGGTATTGATTTCAATGGTAGTATTTTCCATGTGCAGCGTCATGTGTGTCGGTAGAAAATTCTGTGTGGTAGAGTGTGATCATTGTAGAAAGATCCACTGATTCTTCTCTGTTTTTAAACAAACAAGGTGACTGTAATTGATAACAGATTAAGGTGGCAAATAATGATTTTGATCAAGAATTTATTAGCAGACTTAGAAGTGTTCACTGCACATTATGTCAATGTTAGTAAATAAAACCCTTGAGTTGCCAAAGTGTGTACTCCCATGTGACTGCAGATTATTAGGAATGGATAATAAATTGTGGATTCTCAAAAACAAAAATGCAGAATATCGATAGTAAGTTTGACAGATCATGGTAGTGAGGTTAGACAGTCGAATGTGTTTACCATAGCATTTCTGCTGTATTATGATTAACTAGATGTAAACATTGAAATTTGTGAAAAAAATATTTTGTTGATTCACCTTTAATTGTTTCAGCACTGTACGAGGAGGAAAGCGAACCAGAAAGTTAGTATAAAAGTTTCTTTTCATAGAATATTTATTGGGTTCCACTCTTACAATGTTTCAAGGCATAATTTTATATCAATAATCTATTTATTTGATACAGTGGATTCCATGGAAACTCATGGCTCCGTTGTTGCACATTTACTATCGCAAGTGAAGATTGGAATGGATTTGACTAAGGTTGCACTGCCTACTTTTATCTTAGAACGAAGGTCACTCTTAGAGATGTATGCCGATTACTTTGCTCATCCTGATCAGTTCATAAAGTAATGTATAAAATCATGTTTCAACAAGTTTATCGGAACCACGTTCTCTTAGACTGAATTGAAACTGACATTTCAGTATAGCAGACATGCCTACTCCAAGGGAGAGAATGGTACAAGTTGTTCGATGGTACTTGTGTAGTTTTCATGCAGGACGTAAGTCCGGAGTGGCTAAGAAACCATATAACCCTATATTGGGTGAAATGTTCCGATGTTACTGGGACCTTGAAAAAAGCGAAAGTACAGAGGTGACACCCGACGTAACAAGTTCTGGGATAAAGCTAACCAAGGAAGGGCCTGTGCCATGGTGTCGAGAAAATCAGCTTTCCTTTGTGGCTGAGCAAGTTTCTCATCATCCACCAGGTATGCCACTGAATCCATCCATCCATCCATCTTAAACTCCGTAGATAAAAAAAAAAAAAACAGGAAAAAAATACATTTACGTGTAATAGATATGTTGATAACATTTTTCTTGCAGTAAGTGCTTTTTATGCTGAACACTGTGGAAAGAGAATAAGCTTTGGAGCGCACGTATGGACGAAAAGCAAATTTCTGGGACTAAGTATAGGCGTGCATAATGTAGGAAAGGGCTGGGTGAATGTAATAGAACATGGTGAGGAATATATTCTGACTTTTCCTAATGGTTATGGTAGATCCATTCTTACCGTGCCATGGATAGAATTGGGTGGAGCAGCTACGATAACTTGTGCTCAGACAGGCTTCCAAGCTGCTGTTGAGTTTCTAACAAAACCCTTTTATGGTGGGAAACGTAATCGCATAACGTGTCAAATAACAGGGCCTGGTGAGAAAAAGCCCTTTGTTACTATTAGTGGAGAATGGAGTGGCAAAATGGAAGCAAAGTGGGTTGATGGAGTGAGTAAATAGTTTCATTAATGTTTGATGATACTTCTGTGCATACAAAAGTAAGTGTGTTAATGCTTTCTTTACAGAGGGTAGAACCTTTCGCTGATGTTAAGGTAATGACAATAAAGAAGAAAATGGTAAAACCGATCAGTGAACAAGAAGATTGTGAGTCTCGTAAAGTGTGGCGTGAAGTGACAGTTGGTTTACGGATCAATGATATGGATAAAGCAACAGCAGCAAAGTGCGCCATTGAGCAGAAACAACGAGATGAGGCTCGTGTCCGTAAAGGAAGTAACGTCCCATGGCAAACAAAGGTAAGAGCATTGTATTTAATAATTGTTTTTAATTTTGATTAAAGTGTATTCAATGGACCAATATATTTTTTAATTTTTTCAATCAAATAGCTTTTCAAAGAAACAAAGGATGGAGATTGGGTGTACATTGCACCTCTAGAAGACAGATTACGTACAACTTCCAATTGAGTCGCCTTAACGCAGGTACCGTAAAGGCAAAGTTATCGTAAATATTCAAGTGATACGATAATAGTAAAAATGGTGACTTTACAGCATTTTATTAAGGGTAACTTTAAAGGCGTGTGGGCATAGTTGACGTAAAAAGCACTGTAGACAGTGCATTCTTCTGCTTTCACATAGACCTATTTTTTGAGTCAGAACATTCAGCAGACATATCACTATGTTTTTCAATAATATGGATATTATAAAACATGTATTATAGTTATCATGTATAGACGAACGTGTTTATTTGAAATTTATTATTCATGAAGAATAACTACAAAATTCCTTCCTACAAGTGTAGCACTGTTTGATATGCAAGATTACTAATAATTCTTTTTTACTGTTGACAATTGATTCGTAGCTTATCATGTATTGGATAAATTTAACTGGAATGAAAACTAACGCAACAGTACTCGGTTACTTTTGGTGGAATAGAATTTTGAATTGCAATTGGACTTTATTTATATATTCACCTTTTTGTTCATTGATTTTTTTTTGTGCATTCTGATTGAATAGAAATGAATATTTTCAGACGTGAAACACTGCATATAAAATAAGATTGATTGTAAATATATTTAATTAGATGCAAATAATGATTAACATTATTTCATTCTTTAATTTAATTCATACAATTTATAATTACTGAGCAGTTATTCAATTCAAGAAAATAGATATCGACATCAATCAATGAAAAAATAGGTTACATTTCATGTATTAGGATTTGTACACATATTCTTTGGATTTATGGACTTTCTAACGGACTGTAAAGCACATATAAGTTACATAATATATTACTTAATGATACTATGAATTATTAGATCTATGGTGATAAAGATCTACTATATTTTCCAAGTATACACATAAACATTTGTATAGAATAAATACTTCCATTATGTAGAACTGTAATTCTTATTAATATTCATGCTTTTGAAAACATTCCATCGATGAAAAAGTATCTTGCACTATCAATGGCAGTGTCTTCCAAAAGCAATTTATCCAGAAGCGAGATAATGGATGATAGAGCAAAAAAGTATGAATTCTATTTATAAAGTTATTATCTACAAGAATTTTAAGGCACATGTGTAGTGCACAGTTATAGCAACAATGATGGTTTCTACAGAATCAGAACTTCTAAAACAGCTTTCAAATGAAACGTTGTGGAAGATGAGGTGCATTTGGAAAATATATATGTTTATGCGTAACATAGGGTAACTGTTACCTACAACATAGTATTACCAAGTACTTTAATTAGCTAATTTTTTTCCTTCATAATTTAGTGACAATAAAGTAATTAAAAAGAAATAAAGAAAGATATATTGGGATAAAAAGTGATGTTTGTGAACATCTAGTTCTGTTATGTAAAAACTTTTCAGATTAATCGCATTACAAACGTTATTTAATAAGGACAATTAAGGAAAAAGGAGCACTTTGATACATAGTCTAATGATTAGATTTATTTAACTACTATTTTAACAAACTTTAAAGTATTAAGCTAATTCACTTACGTTACATGGAATTAATAAAGGGAGAAAAGAAATAGGAATATAAATACAAGCCTTAAGGTTAAATATAAATTCAACATTATTGACTCACAATGTATAATATTAACACATTCGCGACCGGCAAAGTTGTTCTGTTTCAAGTACTGAGTACCGGCGAAAATAATGAAATTCTGAAACTGGTTGCCGCAAACTTGTATCGTTAAAGCAAGGATAAAAATGATAAAATTTGTTTTGAAATATCAATGTTGCATTTATGTGTTATTTAAAATAAAAAGATTTTTATAATTTGTATACTTGCTTTATAAGTAGACAATGGACCACTTGATATCATTGTGCTGAATTTATTTAGCATCATATTACAGGTATTTTGGATAAGTCGAGCAAAAACAAAATTTAATATTTCTGGCTAGTATGATAAATCGAAAAACAATGATTTTTGCATAGAGGAATTTTACATAATTTGCATATATAAGAAGTGTCACGACGTATTCCACGAGTTTTGCAGACTCTACAACGCTTTTGTGGGTATTTTAATTTCCCCGTTTGTGCAATTCTTTCCAATTGGTGTGTTTTCATGTCTCCTGAAAGTCTGTAAGGGGGGTCAAAGTGAGGTGCTCGGCCCAAAGCTGTTGAACTGCTTGGTAAATTTTCTGTATCATGATGTTCAGTAGCAGAGGAAATCCATTCTTCAGCCAGAGTTTGTAAGAACTTGGAAAAAGTTATATTGGTATGTGGATTAAGCTTACGATACAGAATAAAAGAATTGAAGAAAGTACAGTGTAAAAGAAACATGAAAACTTTTTTTGTCCATTTGATTGATTTTCGCAAAAATGAATAGTATGAAAGATACTGATCAGCTTGATGAACGCCTTTCATATGTTGATTGTATTTCATAATGCATTCAGGCTTACGAACTTGCTGTCCAGTTTTTTGATTTATTTTCCCAGTCTCAACGACATCGGCATTGTGTATGGTAGATATCATTCGAACATCTTGCTTATCTTTCCATTTGAGAACTAGTACCTCACCTTTACGCCGAAAATCAAATTCACCTATTCTTAATCTGAGATCATTTAGATCCTTTGGAAACCCCCTATTCTTACGTATAGTACCGCAAATACGAATTTTCTTCGTCAGTAAGCTTTCAGCTAATGTAATACTATTATAATAATTGTCCATGTATACATGGTGCCATAAGTTTTCGCTTTTATTTAAAAGATGTGAAATAGTTTTTTCCAAAGGGTCTCCTCTTCCACAATACAGCTGAAAGTTACAGAGGTATCCAGTACTTGCCTCAGACAACATTCTGACTAGTATTCCGTACTTTGTTATTTTGCTCGGATTATAAACGCTAAAAGACAATCTTCCACGATATGGTATCATAACTTCATCTAAAGAAAGCTCCTGTTCGGGCTTATATACGGTGCTAAATTTATTTAAGAGATAATTTATTACCGGTTGAATTTTACACAACCTGCTTGGATTTGACGCCATTTCCGTATTATTGGAAAAGTGCAGGAAGCGCAAAATTTGAAGAAATCTATGCCTCGTCATTATTTTTGAAAAGAAAGGTGTCTCGATTGACGGACGTGTTGACCAATAATCATGTATCGTAGTTTTCTGTACTTGTCCCATCAAAATAATTAATGCGAAAAATTTTTTCATCTCGGGAACTGTAGTATCGTACCACTCTTTTGTTTTCCTTCCACATTTATATCTGCGGTGCATCTGATCGTAATATCTGTTAGTTTCAATTGCGACCATTTCTATAAAATCATCTTCAATAACTAGTTCGACAATTTCACTTATACTTTGAGGGTTATTTGGATGTAGCTTGACACCCGAAATGCCGGTAAACATTTCTACGTTTCTCTTTGGATCATATTTTGTCCACTGATTATCTGTTTGGTAGTCACTGTCGCTGGATTCGCTGTCATATATTATCTGAGTTGTATGCCTCTGCATAAATTGCGTTACTGTGTCGCTGTCCGTCTCGCTATCGCTATGAAGTTCTGTGGATTCAATCTCGGAAATCTCGTCAGCACATATTTCTTCATTTTCCATTATAACGGTAAATTTTTTTCAGATTATTATGTATATGGGACAGATATATCTGATAAAACTAGCAAATCCGGTATGAAAGCACTGAAATATAAAAATGCAGCCTAAATAAAACAATGTCAATAACAGAATTGTACAAATTATATATCTCTCCCCTATTTGAACATGTACATGTGATAATAGACTCTTTCAGCAAGTAATCTCTCAGTGAGCCAATTGACAAAATTTTGAACAAAGTCTTAGCTATCTCACTTTAGATTTTGACATTTGACCGTTCATGCGAAATGATTCGTGAAAAGTCGAGGAAAGTTTTGATCATTGTTCCTTACCTTTCTTTTCATTCGCTCCCAAAATCCAAACTTGCAACTGAGACAAGTGAGGTCAACAATATTACGGCTTATTTGGCTGAGTTGCTCAATGGCTGCGTCCTTTTAGTGTATTTCAAATCATAACTGAGGCGATTTGCCGCAAGCGCCGCGCCGGCTAAAAATTAGTGAGCCAACTAAGCAGGACGGGATTCACGTCAGCGGCAATCAGGAATAGAATTTAAAATGACGTGAATTCACGTCAGCGGCGACCAGAAATAGAACTTGAAAAACGTGAATTCACGTCACCGGTCGCGAATGTGTTAACAAGAAGATAATATAATATAGCTCTGTATAGTGCAATAAGTAACCACGTAATACCGTTTGAATGAAAATCTTTTTAATTGAGTCTGTACATATGTATTACTAGCATAAAAATGATATAAAAATAGCTTATTTAAGATAAATAATAATACTACAAAGTATGTACAAACTGGTATCTTAAGTCTGTCCTTTTTTATGGCAATATATCCCTACTAAGTTGACTCTTTTTTCCTTGCTACTTTTATACATATTTTTACACTTCCATATATCCAATATAATAGGTTTCTGTTAAACGATAGGATAATGGAATACGTTTACTTGATGATAAGAGATGCTGTGTGGCGGCCAAAATCATAGAGAAAGTAACTAAACATTGCTTCACTTCTGAATGTTGTATTGGTAATGTTTTATTTAGTCCATACTTGTATAAGACCTTAGCAACACAAGCTCGTTCTAGATGAATTTCTTTCTTAGAAATTAGTTTTGATTCTCGAAACAAATTTAATTGCCGTTCCATGAGTTTTAACAGCAAAAAACTTATATAATTACCATGAACTGCATATAAAAGCAACTCTTCGCCTATGGAGGCAGTGATTGAAGTTCTAACGGCTAGTATAAAATCGTTAAAGGGATCTGTTATTTTCCTTAATAATAATAATGACTCGGTTGTCATCTCCTGTTCAATGCAACAATTCCAAAATTTAATTGAATTGGAATCATGTATATAGCCTAAACTATTGTAGCATCTGCTGCAAATTACAGTCTTATTATCTAACTTTACATTGGATGATATATTATTGGAATTTAAAACACAGTAATAAGAACCATAAAAGTAGTCCGATTTGTTCGGAGTTAGTAATGATAAATAATTATTTTCACCATGCGTGCAACAAAACCATTCATCTGGATTGCATTCATCTGAGGGAATGGGTAATACTCTCTTCAGAAAGACCTGATTCGAAATTTTATTCTGACAATGGTGACAGAATAAAGTAAGCATAGAATTATTTGGAGGTAACTCTACATTAGCTATATTATCTATAAGAGGAGTGCTTGCATTGGCTAAATGTATTATTTCTGTTCCAAAAGATCCATACATTACATCGATAGGTTCTGTTTGAACCCGAAATGATATCCACGCTGTACTAATTTTTAACATTGATAAAGTATTTGGTACAATTTTCATTGTTGTCAAATGCACATTAAACCTTCTAGTTCCAATTGTTATCATAACATTGTTGGCAGACAGTTTTATTTGAATGGAATCAACATCTGTACATTGATACAGCTTTATAAACATGTTGCAGGAGCAAAGAAGTGGCCGTAATTCCAATGTTATCGACTCCATGAATTTCTGCGACATAAAAAAAATTGCCCATAAAAAAAACTATTCCAACAGCAATTTTGGATAAATGCATTCCTTAGAAAAGAACCAAATACTAGAACATATGTTAGGGGCAAGCTTGATAAAGTGAAAGTGATTGTTATTGAAAAAGAACCTTATTTAATACGCATAAGGATTTCCAACTGGCTTCACTTACATCTTCGAATAGCTTCCCAGAACCACTGGTAAAATTATCAAATCAATTTTAAGATTACCAACTACATTGATTTCTACAAATTATAAACGTGAGGACAACGGCGAGGGGTACTTTTCACTTTGATTTCCCATACAGTAGATACAAATAGTAGTAAGTATGTATATGAATACGACAAGTCTTTCCCAGTGTACGCTAAGGAAAGAACCAACCGGCGATAGCAGTGCCATCTGGTGCATGGGAGCATAACCTTTCTTAAATTTCATTTCGAGTAATAATTTATTTTTTGTGCGTCCGTTGCACTGAAATATATAATAAATTGTAAGTAAGATACCTTAGGTAATTTACGTAGTTTTTTTTACAATAAACTATTAGGTATTTCACTTGATAAATATCAAACGTGATGTAAATTACACGAATATGGGACTTTGTTTCTGCAGCTCCTATTTCTGATACACTTACAAATTCAAAAGTTTCCATGGAATGTATGGAAAAGTGAAATGTTGAAGCCTAAATCTTTTTAATGGTTTGCTCTTACTTACCATTATTCTTTATTCCTTTTTGTTTTACTAAAATATACATATATCGAAAAGTGATGTATACTTTGACCACTTTGAAAAAATGAGTTTACAGTACCACCATCTCTGTCGTGTAATTTATTAGGTATTTAACTTGGATTTAACGTAAAATACTTAAGGGAAGTATTTTACGTAAAAAAACCTCAAATTTCTCAACACTGCACAATCCTGACGCTTGCCATGCTTAGGCCGATTCCACAATTGGATTAATCGAAGTTAAACTGGTTTACACGTGGCTTAAATGAATCCATCGAAGTTTAACTGGTTTACACTTAGTTTAAATCAGTTAATTGAAGTTTAATTGATTTACAGCAGGTTAAAATCGGTCTGAAGGCCCGGTAATCACAAGAACACTCCTCCGCCATTCCATACCTCACCGATTTCTAAAAAGATTCCTACATATAAAACACTTAAATTACCCGCCTTCACCTAGTGGTGCACTCATATACTAAAGACACTAATGGCTGTCGAAACGTCGACCGGTTCCAACAAAGAGTAAAGAAGAAGAAGGTGATCGTTATACAGCAAAATAAGTGAAAATGGCCGCTCAAGTGCATCCTATAAGGGATATGGCTATACAGGATTATAGAAAAAGACTTTTAGAACATAAAGAAGTAGAATCTCGGCTTAAGGAAAGTAAGTATATGACTTCTCCTTATAATATTGAAACACCTTGATCTAGAATTGGATTAACATAACCTTACCCATTATGCCAGAATTTATTCTTACATTTTACTGACGGCTCTAATACATCTTTAACTTTAAATTTAATAAGATGTTATCTTAAATTGTACGCTGAAAAGAAATCCTAAGTATTACTATTGCATCACTGACTACTGTCATATCTGGACTGCAATGGTCCATCATGACTCGATTATTTTGAGTATTTTTTATTTCTACTGATGCTTGATACACTGTTTTGTACTAATAATTTGAATTTATATATTATTTTTTTAGTGCGAGAACATTTAAAGGATCTTACAAAGCAGTATGACAAGTCTGAAAATGACTTGAAGGCTTTGCAAAGCGTTGGTCAAGTAAGTTAAAATGACTAATTTAGTATAAATGTAGAATTAAAACGGTTTCTTTCTTTGTTTTATCAACAAAATCAGAATCGAATCCTTTAAATATAATGTTTATTATTAAATATGTTATGCTTATTTAACAGATTGTAGGCGAGGTACTGAAGCAGCTGACTGAAGAAAAATGTAAGTACTAAATACATTATTAAATTAAAGGAAGTGTGACTTTTGTATGTGAAAAACTGATTAAAAAATCTATTTTGCAGTTATTGTGAAAGCAACAAATGGGCCTCGTTATGTTGTTGGATGTCGACGTCAACTGGATAAGAATAAACTGAAGTCTGGTACAAGGGTTGCACTTGATATGACCACGCTTACTATTATGCGGTATTTACCGCGAGAGGTATGACAGCATGTAATACAATTGTGAACTAATGTATATGTCTGATAAATTGTCATTTTGTATAGGTGGATCCATTAGTGTACAATATGTCACATGAAGACCCTGGTGATGTTACGTATACTGAGATTGGTGGGTTAAGCGAGCAAATTCGGGAATTAAGAGAAGTCATTGAACTGCCTCTATTAAATCCTGAACTTTTCCAAAGAGTGGGAATTACACCTCCAAAAGGGTGTTTGTTATATGGACCTCCTGGAACTGGAAAAACGCTATTGGCTAGAGCTGTTGCTAGTCAATTAGATGCTAATTTTTTGAAAGTAGTTTCCAGTGCTATTGTTGACAAATACATAGGAGAATCTGCAAGATTGATTCGGGAGATGTTCAATTATGCTAGAGACCATCAACCATGTATCATTTTCATGGATGAAATAGATGCTATTGGTGCGTGTTTATTTGTCACATGAATTCTATAATTAAATTCACGATTTTAAATTGTAATTTTTTTGTAATAGGTGGACGGCGTTTTTCTGAAGGGACCAGTGCTGATCGCGAGATACAGAGAACTTTAATGGAACTCTTAAATCAAATGGATGGTTTTGATTCCCTAGGACAAGTAAAAATGATCATGGCTACAAACAGACCTGATACATTAGATCCTGCCTTATTAAGGCCTGGTCGATTGGATAGAAAAATTGAAATTCCACTGCCCAATGAACAAGCAAGACTGGAAATTCTCAAGATTCATGCTCGTCCTATTACCAAGCACGGCGAGATTGGTAAAATTGTTTTCATTATAACTTTTTTCTATACATACATTTTACTCAAACTAAATAATGTAATCCTATGTTTGTAGATTATGAAGCAGTGGTTAAACTTTCGGATGGATTTAATGGAGCAGATTTGAGGAACGTTTGCACAGAAGCAGGTCTTTGTGCCATAAGATCAGAACGAGAGTACGTAATACAAGAAGATTTTATGAAAGCTGTTCGGAAGGTGTCCGATAACAAGAAATTAGAATCCAAATTGGATTACAAACCAGTTTGATATATTTATACAATTATTTTTTACATCCATCCAATATATTATTAACGGTTTCATCTAACTGTAAAACTACCTATGCCGTGTATTACATTTATGTTGATGAATAAGAGTATACATTGTAAACTAAACCATCTTTTCATGTCCATATTTTGTGTGATGTATTTATAAGATGAGGGATGAATGAGAAATTACATTGCATAACTTGTAGTTTACAAAAGTATTACTCTACTTTAGTTAAGCGCGCTTTCTTTTTATTTTGGTAATCTTGTACATTATCATATTTCCGCTTATATAACATTGGGAATAGATTTTGTTTCCCGACATTTTTCCTCAACATTTTCCAAGCATCATTTATTCGCTGAAGTTTGTGATTGAGTTCATCAACTTCCCAAGCATCTTTATTTAATCGATAAACTGTAAGCCCACTTTCAATCAAAACCCATAAATTATGTTGCTGTAGATAACACTCTAAAGGTTCGTCATCTACAGGTACAAAATACATATAATTGACCATTAAATCATTCTCAGTACATCCCAAAATCTCATAAATGACAATTCTTTTAGTGTAGTAAAAACTTAATGCAAGTAGTGATGTGGTTTTATCAATGTTCGTAACTTTCAGGTGTTTCACAGGCTGTACCAATTCAGATGCATTTAATTCGAAATCAAGAAGTTGTTTGTTAAATTCTTGTATTTCCTCTTTTTCTAGTTTATCTGAAAAAGGGACACAAAGAATCTCTTTACCCAATCTATAGTTCCAAAATATTATACAGCCATCACCACCAGAAGACACTAGAATATTTTTATTATGTGGTAGTTCCGATATGTTGGTAATAAATTTGGTATGTCCTAGACAATAAGAAAAGATATTATAACAATTTGGATACATGGACACCCTGATCTTTTCGTCTCTGTCTGCCGTAATTATAAACTTCTTATCTTCTGTAATTAAGATATCAAGCAACATTGACAAATGACCTAATAATAATGTTCCATCTTCCATTGACTTTTCTGTAGAAAATATATAAGCATCTCCTGCTTTATCGGCAATAATTACATCATTAGACGGTGAAAATTTACCTTTACTCATTGCTCTTTTTAAGTGTCTGTAAGATAATAATTGTAAATTTTTTCCATTATACAAGTACAATTGTTTCCGATTGGTGCAAACAAAAAAATATTCTCCATCATTGGAGAAAGATATATTCGTAGCTGGGTAGTATGTCTCAAAATCTTCGTTATTGTGGGTTTTACTCTCCTTAGCAGATTCTACTTTAGGAAGAGTAAACATAGTATTTACATCATTTCCAATATCATAAACTAAAATGTTATCATCGTAGCAAATGGCTACTCTTGAATTATGTACTGCCAAACTCATTTTACTGTTATCAATACGTTAATATAATAATTAGAGTTTATGTCTTGTTCTTGGAGTTCCTTCACAAACCATCTGTAATCATATATCGTTCATTAAATTGATTGATCATAGTGTAGATGTTTCGACATTTTTAGGAATTGTATAAAATATATGTAAAAAATTTTGGAGCATACCAGGTCACATAATCAGATTCATAAAATTAAAAAGGACGATTCAAAAATGGATCGTAACGAAATAAGTTTTCAGATGTTACCACGAACAATCTATCTAATTCCACCAAGTCTACCAACTGTATATTATTGTTGCACTGATCTTTCACAGGTGAGTTGGGACATTTCTTACGGAAAGAGTCGCGCGACAGTGTTCTATGTTGCCCTTGATGAAGAATAATAAAGAATGCAGACAACCACACAATTCCCCCCAATCTCGGTCCAACTGAGGGATCCAAATATCGAGATAATATTAAAAGGACGGAATGTGTGGGTGGTGGGGGACGCGACGGAAGTGCTTTGAGATGAGTTGAACTGGGTGGTAAAATGACACGTATGGGGGGTCTATTACGTAAAGCAAACTGAGCGAAAATGTGAAAAATGAGTAGCTGACAGTATCACGGAACGTTTTTGGTGGTGAAAATGCGAGACTATTCATATGAACTGGCTCGACACAAACTTTTAAGCGAAGTGGTGAAGCATACAAGAAAAGATAGGAAAATAAGCGCCGTGAACGCCATCTTCCACAAATTGTGACACCGAAATTTAAAATAGATAACCTCCTGGGTGTTTCGATTTTTGGCAACCATCGTATTCGAGAATGTAATAACAGAGATGAGCTCTCTGTATATATAAATATGAATGTAATACATATTAAAAAAATATAGATAGACGCGAGTTCTCTTCTTTACTTTTAACGGCTTTCCATCTTCCTGCCTTTCTGCCTGTTAATCCACTACATCTCAACAATATTCGATTTACAAGGTATGTACCTTTATTTAAAATATTACTAGATCGGAAGTGCTACTGATCTTGTTCTTTCTTATATCGAATACGTAATTCGGCGAATAAACCCACGTGACATGAAAGTGCGAGAAGTGAGTGCTCTCGTCAAAAATACGTAATAAACGCCCTGATATTAATCTCGAACCAACTAGTCAGTCCCAAGTTCGGTCGATAATGTCGGTAAGGAGCCGATTAGAGTCGATGCAAAGGTCGCTTTAAAAAAAGGAAGGGCATAAAATTAACGTAGGAATCAATTAAGCGAAATCGAAGCATGAATTTCGCTGAAGATCAAAGTTCCCAGGGTGTTGATCCACAATTTCAAGATTTCATCGAGCAAGAGACTCAGAAGCAACTATTTCAGGTTTTCGTTCACTTACTTGGTTAACCCGAGAACCTAATGCAAAATCAGTGGATTTGTTGTTAATGTTTTTGTGTCTTGAGACAACCTCGAAACTAAGTGGTTCGATTGCTTTCGTTTTACTGCAAGACGTCGATGCAGACTGACTCAAATTTTTGTAAGCGAGGGTTTCGATTATCTTAATCACCTAACCTCTTAAAATGCACTTTTCATATTTTGACAAATGCTATTAGATAATGTATAACTTACTTTGATGGTACACATTTATCTATAGTTTATTTTAGAAAATTTGCATTAAGAATATTGTACTTATTGATATGATTCGTCCTTAGCTTTTAATATTATGTACATCAGTTTTTTGCTTCAGCAGAATAAATGCATTAGTTATAAAAAATAGTCCAAGGCTACTAAATTTTATCTTACTGTTGCATATAGGATGATTCATATAATTCAAAGTTGAAAATTAAATTATATCATAATTTACTATTATGTTATAATTTAATTTTATTAACAAACTAAAGGGTGTACTTACAAACATCTCATCATTCTTTATTTGCAGGGACTGGTCCACAATTTGACGGACATCTGTTGGGAAACCTGTATCGACAAACCAACCTCTCGTTTTGAGTCTAAAATTGAGAATTGTTTGAAAAATTGCGTAGAACGTTTTATCGATACAACTAATTACATTACAAATCGATTGGCACGTGTTGCGATGAATTCTCAATCAGAGATAAGCTTGGAGTAAATGATTGCTTAATTTGCAGACACTAAGTGTTGTCAATGTATAACATTTAATAGGGATTAGTACAGTGCTCTGTATGAGTATGAAAAGTATAAGAAATTTATCACAGTTTTCAATACATTATTGATACTTAAAATTGCAACATGTTTTCAAGATTAAAAGGGTTTCTGAATCGCCATAAACGTAAATTTATTATTGGAGGTGTTGTGATAGGAGGATTTGTTTTTATTACGAGGTATACTCAAAGGAAACTTTGGGAATTGCATGCAAATCAAGTACGAGAAGTGATAGAACGGTTAAGGAGGAAGCAACATTTTGAAAGTACCGAGAGAACATGTAATCAAACAATATTATCACTTGCCATCAGTTTGAGGGATTCCGTATCAGATGCTTTAAATACCGAGGAAGTCCTAAACCAGCTCAGAAATGGTTGTAACGTTAAAGTAGTTGCATGGAACAATTTGAAAGTCCTGGCATTTTCAAGATCTGCTGTACATATTTACGTAAATGCTATGCTGGTTGCTACGTTAAGAATTCAGCTGAACTTGTTGGGAGGGTACTTGTTCAAAGATTCTCAGAATTTACAGGGTGCAATTAAAATAAATGAGATGATACAACAGAGGTATTTATGTCTTTGCATATATTTTATGGAAGAGGGCGTGCAGAAATTAAGTTCATTTATAAAAGAAAAAGTTGAAGAGGTAGTAGCATCAAAATCGCTCGCGGAAAAGCTATCTGTAAGAGATTTAGAACAGATTTATTGGGCTATTGTGTCATCAGTCTCGGCAGATTCTTCTCGAGAACCTGTGAAAAATTTGACATCTTATATGTTACCACCAAACTGTGAAAGAGAATCAGAAGGTATTATGTTAAAGCTGATAAACGAAACTCTGGATCTTTTAGAAAGTGAAGAAGTTCAGAATCTAATCCGTAACAGTGTCAGAAGTGGATTCGTTTTAGCGATAGATCACATCTCAGAATATTTTACTGAAACTATTGCAATGCCTAATGGATCCGCATCAGTGCCAGCACCATCGAATCAAACGAACGAACCATGTACAGAGTCAGTGGACAATTCTATGGATGTTGCACGTTATACCTATGAATTTGTAAACTTACATAACATCACTATGCCACTGGCCAAAATCATTCCGATCATTCATGGACAAGTTCAAAACATTCAAACAAAAGGGGACATTCCCTCTGATTGGATGGAGCGCCTTATTCTAAATGATAAGCTCAAGATTCTTGGAGCAAATGTTTATGAAGCATTTAGTTTCTAAGTGCATACACGAGTGTAATATTGTCAACGGGTATTAGCACGATAAAACATAAACAGAGCCTTTAAACGTTAATTCAACGATTGATTACCTTAAAATGGTTAAAATAAGTAAGAAGTTATCACATATAAGTAATTAGAAATAATGTTTTCTAAGAAGCAGTTAGGTGTTGGTTTTACTACGAATAACAGTTCCTGTTCCCTCTGCAACATCTTTAAAAGTGTATCGGTACTATGGATAGTAGATGCAATTTTCAATGCTATGTAAGAAACAATTAAGCATGAATTCTCCAAGAAATTCAATAAAATATGTCTTGTGATATATTAATAAAATTAGTATCCAAACATTATAATATATTATGACACTGTGGTATCGCACTTTCTTTAATTATTCTAATTGGTTTTCTTATTGATGTGTAATAAAATACATTTTGCCAAAGGATCCTCTGATAATAATTATATATCATTTTATCATCATAAACTATGATCTCTCACTAGTTTGCGCGTGCAGCTGTTCCTGTAATTCTGAATATCCACATAACAGATTTTCAATTCGATTGGTATGCATAAAAATGAAGAAAATATAATCTAATCACGAATAATTCTTATATATAACATTAATAAATTTCGCTTCAAAATCTATTACTCATATTGATATATCTACAAGGAAAATGAGAGTAGGGGAAAAAGTTATACTTTTTCGATTTGGTACAATTTAAATACCAGATATTTTATGCGTGGGGATAATTATCTTCTCACCACTTATAATCTTAAAGGGAGATAAAAAGATTGTAAATAAGCGGGCATCTCGAATAACTAGGGCTAAAGATGGCGTAGGTTCGTTATTTGCGAATCAATTGGCACATTTCAAATTGATTCAATTAGTTGCCGCGAAAGAATTCGCAAAGATAGGTGACAGAAACACAGAGCGCTCTGCTCGAAAGGCAGTCCAACTCCGAGCAAGTTGGGACTTGAACGAACTCAAGACAACTTGAGAGCAAACGTACATACATCGTGTCAGGGGGGTTGCGCGACACGATTTCTCTGTTTTAATTCTTTTACGTAACCTTGCGATTTCGGTATGTGGAAATTCGTAACTCGTGGTATTCGGGAGACATTGGAACGCCGTGCTTGTCGAACAAATGTTTACTCGCAAACGTCGCAAGATGGTAACTCCTCGAGTGAGGTTAAAACGGGCCTCGCGTGCAACTACAAATTCCTCCCTCCTGCATTCGTTACTTACAAGAGTGGATTCTGTGGATACGTTAGGGATAAAGGAGCTAAGGGCGAACGACGTAATTCACAATGGAACGCAAAACGCACTTGGACCGAGGCTGTTGGCTGGGTAGAAATGAATTTATATATAAGTACTTTGCTGAAAGTATCGTCACTTAGATTTCAACAATGAATTTATAGAAAATTACTTTCTCATCTGACCTTGAATTTGAATTTAATGAAGAAAAATTCCTTCTACTTGTATTTTCTGGCAATTTTTTTGGAATCATCCACAGAAAGTTCATGAAACGTATTTGTGGCTAATAATTGTATGTTTACTGATTTCAACAGTCGAGCGTACTGGCAGTTGGATGGGTCGTCTGCCAGTCGCTGTGTCTTCACAGAAGATTGTTTAGTAAAGATCCAGAGGAGGCCTCGAGCAATAATATTTTGCAAACAAAAGAGCGGAAGATTTCTTACCTACTGGCACAAATTTTAAGTTTACAACCGCAGCACGTTTTACCAGTGACTAATTGTGTCGGAAATAGTAATAATAAGACAAACGATGATAACGTATCGGAACAACAATGGAGAGCCAGTAAGCCATTTGGACCTATCACTGTTGAAGAGGTGAGAATGCTTCTTTGCAGGCACTATACTCTTTAATGAAACTCGATACCCACAGAACTAACTAGGATTAAAAAGTCCGTAATGTTTATGCAGTTTGATCTCACCATAAATGAAATAGCATATAGTAATTCAAATTTATATGTTTGGTTTACAGAGTAAACCGTAACTTTAATTAGAGCTGTATAGTTCACTTATTAACTGATTTATGCTGTCAAACATTTCATTTGTTACATTGCGTGTATGTATGACATGGCGCAACTACTGTGATTTGCACTAATGCGCATCTTTAATTATATTCTTTTGTTATAACTGACATAGTAATATATGTATATTTTATGCTTGGGCATATTATAAATAGTATAACATTAAATAATAGTTGTGTCATTTCTGTCCTTAACATACCTTCAAATCCTTTAGAATAATGTTATTTAATGAATTAATTAAAGGTGGATATGGTATTAAATAGGATCATTGCTAGATACAATATTATATGAATATGTTCAATGGGTGGATGCACGGTGAAGTTCAAATTTTACATGCTTTGAATTGCACACAGGCTCTACAGGAAGCAGCAAATGAATTTGCTCAAACACATATAACAGCCATGGGAGAATATGCGCTCCTTCATGGGATAAAAGCACTAGAAGACAAGCGTTACAAGGATGCTCTTGAGCATTTTTCAGAAGGTGCCAAGTTCTCATCTCCTGGAAGTATATTTAATCTGGGTTTGTGCCATGAATTAGGATTGGGAACTGTTATCGATTGCGTAAAGGTAGATCATGCTTAAGTTATTAGACAACATTCGTATTATATCACTTTAAGTGAGACGTCACATTTTACATTAAAAATAAAATTTCAAGTTACTTTCTTCTCTAGGCTGCAAAGTACTATGAAGAAGCTGCTAATAAAGGTCATGCCGATGCAATGTATAATTTAGGTGTATATTATGCTCAAGGAAGAGGCGGAGTCTCTATGGATCTCAATAGGGCTCGTTCGTTGTTCACCAATGCCGCTCAACTAGGACAAGTCAATGCTCAACATGCTCTTAGTTTAGAAAAATCTATATCTAACTGTAAGCATAGCAATATGTCTGCCACTACTAACGTTAGTAATCAGCGGGTAGACAGAGTCAAGGATTCTATTTGTAGTAAAAACAGTATACTCGATCAGTTAACTGATAATGAAAGTGAATACAGTTTTGACTTGAATGCATCTTCCTCCGAAAGAATACAGGAAATCCATGATTCAACAAAACTGTTGCTAGATTTTCTAGGTTTACATGACACCAATCCAGTACCTATCACTGTAAGTTCTCAAGAAAACCTAGCATACTGAAGGTTTTATGAGTAAACTATACATGGTCAATAATAACATAATTAGCTATTTTAAAAATCTGGCCTTACAAATATCTTGACTTCAAAATGTAATTGATAGTATTGTCATTATACGTATTTTTGATAATAATTAACTTTTGGTTAGTAAGATTTAATGACTAAACATTATTTTGGAGTAAATGAAATGCTCTGTAAAAGTGTCGATGGCAAATTATTATTGAATAGGAAACAGCATATATATTTTGATGTCAACACTTTGTATTAGTGTATTTTTATTTTGATTTATATCGTAATATAAGCCCTATTATGATATATTAATAAGAAAAATAATTTAATAATGTTTGCAAATGGTAACATTTCATAACATAAAGTGAAGTATGTCATAAAGTAAATGGTAATTTAATATACAAGCAGAATGAGAATATTTTAAAAAGTCTCCTCTTAAGAGAAAAAATAACAAAACGGGTTATCGTTTTTAAGACCTTAGGTATGACCAACTGCACTGTTTTATTACATCAACTATCTTATTTGTATACATACTTTTATTTTATATTATAAACTTCTTTCAGACAGAATTATTCTTAAGTTATGGTGAAAATAGATTGCTTACATTTTTATGAGATAATGTAACAGCTACAATTGACAAAGATATAAACCAGCACCTTCACTTAATACAATTAGTTGAGCAGTAGAGAATAATATACTTTAAAAGATAGACCCAGCATGCAAAATTGTGCTTACAAGACTATGATACAGTAATAAGACACTTCCTATGATTACTGTTGGAATGTTATCTGTGATGCATACATAGTAGTTAAACATCATTAGATGTATATTTTATATAACTGAGGCATTAAGTTTGTTAATAGATACCATAAAAATACTTAGTTTCCCCTGTAGTGATATATAAGAACATGCATGTACTCTTTAAGATGATAATAACGTAATAACATTGTTTTTTTATGACTGAATAATTTATGTTTATATAAAAAGTATATAAACTCCAAAATATATGTAACTTACTATTTTATCCCCCCCACCCCATATAAAATGTTACTATAATTTACATATTATATTTAAAATATCTTCTTAACAGTTAAATGTCTTAAATCCAAGAAATATAACACTTAAGTAAGGCATTATTTAGTTGGTGAAAAGTACTTAATTTACCAATGCGCACCACGTTTGTGTGCTATCCGTTTAATAAATTCACTGTGGTTTGCATATAAATTAAGTTGTGCACTTATATCCATCCATCTTACATTCGATGCATCATCTCCTGCTTTTAACGAAACAGTGCCTACGGTACTACCATCTTCGTCATGAAAATTTAATGCAACCGTTTCCATCCAAGCATTGTCTGTGTTTCGAGGATCGTCAACGTATCCTTTATAAATTTCATCTCCACGTTCAAAAAATGCTTTAATGGAATCCTCGAGCTCCTCTCTTTCACTTTCACTTTTCTCTAAAATATTCATCGCCTCCTCCATGAATTCTCGTTTCAATGTAGCCGAGACAGTTTCACCTACCTCTACCATGCCTCCCGGAATAGCCCATGCACCAGAATCCCGTCTCTGGATAGAAACAAACTGTAGGACAGGTTTTTCCGTTGTTCGGTCTATTTCTAGCGCACCAGTACCATTGCGTTTCCATCGAGTAACGACTGGATCTGCTGCATGATTTGGGCCCCATCGACCCAGCAACCCTCTACCGGTAATTCCAGTTCGACCGATTGGGTTAATTGGACAGCCATTCTGGTTTATGCTGTAATCACCCACGAAGCTCAGACGATTCACCTTTTCTGTTGAAAATCAATATTTTGGTGTTCTATGAAATGAAGGAACTTCAGTAAAATTCTAAATCAGTAAAAATAAAATTAGTATTACGACTCGGCGTGCCTTCTAATCACTGTAAAGGATTTTCAAGGAATTCACTTCGATCGGGCCTTGTCATGGAAGATCCTCGAGATAATCGAATAAGTTTATTTACCGTCAATGGAATTCCACCGTGGGTTGAAAGTCGGGTTACGGGTGTCAGGATCAGCCCATTGTTTTCCCTCGAGAGCCGGCGAAGAGTAGTTGGGGGGATCGTATTCCTTGAACTCGACCGACCACGGTACTTTGTCATCCGGGACTTCGAATCTCCGCACATCGCTCGAGGGATAGTATCCTCCTCTGCACTTCTGATGGATCATTTTCATGAATCTCATACACTGAGCGACGCGTTTCGTCGTGATTTCGAAGGGTTCTCGATGAATCGATCGCGATCTTCACGCGCATCTACAATTGAGGATAGTGATGCTCCAACGGTTAATGCGACTAGTAATTGCACCAGTGCACGCAGGCCTGCGGCACTCGCGTAATTATACGATTCCGGTTGTTCTGTGTGCATGCGTAATTGCGATCACTTAAGGTCGACCTTTATTAACCTCACGGTCAGCTGAAAGCGAGTTTCAAACCGCCTGCTCTCGCTGACTCACGGACACTGTGTTGACTGTTGCCACTGTGCGAAGTTTCTCTCACGCACGTATGTACAAACAGAACACCAAGGTCGTGGATTGAGGGATTTCTCGCGCATGTGCAATACCGGTCTTCGTTCCACACCGCTCTACCCATTCACGAGCCTCTACAGATAACGAGATCACGATTACGCAAGCGTGACAGATCTCTCAATTTGAGGGTTATCAGCGACGAAAATCGGAACTGCACACGTGAGAGACGTCATGCGCTCCTGGCGGTAACGGCAACCGTAGAAAAGATACTACGGCAACGGTAACCTATAAAGCACTAAAAAGAGTAATATTGATAATAAAGATCCAACCCAGTTAAGCAATATTTTCTTGATGTATACAACGGATTTAATATTTCATACATAAGTCGAAAATCGTAACTAACGGATATCAAGATCATCGGTATATTTAACATTGGCATGTTCTTATTTAATGTCGAGGACCTATATATTCATGGGCTATATAATCTGCTTGAACGAGATGATTAGTCGAGTGACTTTATAATTAACAGTCGATACCTCTTAGTTCCGATTAGAATAATAAGGCAAGAAGAGTCATTTTATGCATTCATCGTTGGATTCCGCCAAAAGACGAGCGCTTGGCTTCGAGATGAAATACGCAGGCACGTTATTTAATCTTCGTACATAATCGATCCAGTGATTTTTGTAAATACGTCAAAAAATATATTAGGTATACGCCGTGTGAGAAAATGTCCGTTATACAAGTCACACGTATAAAAGAATAGTTATGTCATTATTGTCGGTAATCGTACCACTATGATATAATCATGCGCGGAGGCTTAATCGATTAGTTCCTTTTTTTCCATATAGTTGCAGTAAACCCGATGCACCATTCTTCATGTGCACCGCATCCGTATCTCGTAATCGTGTCCATGCAAGTAATTTAGCTTAAATTAATTTCATTCACGTCGCATTAAGTACGTCCTTATGCTGTTAGCAAATTCAAACCCACTGTCGGATTTATCGAAAAGTCCCTCAACATAAATTTGAATCACTTGAAATGCTTGGGCACCATGCTGCGAAGGCTCTTAAAACATAATTTTATAAGCAAAGTCGTACTTCGAGTACTGTCTTATGTGAAAATAGAAACGTCGTACAAAGTAGTTGTATGAATACGCGTCGGGAGGTCTTTTCTGTACGTGATACTTACGTGCAGTATTTACAGTTACCCTCGACAATTTAACGCTCTGGTTCATTCCAGAATGCACCGTTTTCGCCCTGAAACATCTTCAAGTACGAGGTCTCGGCGATCTTTTCGGTTACCTCGTTCACCTATACTGGAAGACTAGATTAGAAACATCTAAAATCTAACGGATTGTATTAACTTTTGCACAATTAAATATTACGAAATACGATTAGGCGGCGTATCAATGAATGTAATACTTGATTAAAGTTGCGATATAATGCCCCATCCTGCATACGCGTTGGCACTGAACGTAAAAGAATCCTCGTTCATCGAAACGACGACCATTTCGAGAACGGGGAATTAAATCAACTGATTATCGTTCAATTTTCAATCGGAGTAAATATTCCAAAATGCGTGGATCCTCGATTACTCGAAATTAGCTTGGATTCCGTAAATGAGACCGAGTTAAAGTGCCATCATCCCTCCCTGATAAGACGCACTGACGTACTGCAAAGGCACCCGGGAATTATTGACGTAACGTTAAAAATAGAGTGGCAGCTTTGACTTCCTTCGAACGTCCTTCCGAGCTCAACAAGTTCGCTTTCAGCAGACTGGGAAGATTCTACTCGAGCGAATCGATCGATCGGTTTAAGGATGACTCGGTCCAGGAGGAGCAGGCACTTGCTCGCCATCAGACACCATGCTCGAACTCATGGTACCCTTCGGCTCCCGTGAAAACGACGTCCACCCAGACTCTCATGGTTTCTGGACTGGGTGCCATGAGATGATAAAGTCGTGACGAGGTCTTGATAATAAACGTCAGCGATGGTTGCGGCGAGCGGACAGTATTCATGTGGTCGACGTAGACTTCCTCGATCGACTGAAAACAGAATGAATAAACTTTGAATGCATTGGACGTAACATTTGTTCCCCCAATTTGTAGGAAGATCCACAGGATGAGATACCGTCAGCCTTGAGGTCCATCTCGTGCAGGTTTACCTGGAAATATATCACGCCACGGGCTTTTCTCGTGGTATTGTCGCTGTAGTACGCCAGCGTTTTCCTCTTCCGATCGAAAACGAACCACCGCTTGTTCCAGTGGTGGAACTTTTTGCTCATCTTTGACAAATAGCCGCAACAGCTGATCGCGTCCACGGAGACGTCGTGGATTAGTTGCAACTGGTGACCCGCGGTCTCGATGTGGTTCCTCAGGTCCAAGGACTCGGATTTGATCGGAAGATATCTCGTGAGTGGTCTCTGCGGATACAGATTTCAGAAATTATTAGAACGGCCTGGGTTTTACAGGTATACCGAGATCGAGGAGACGTACCTGCAGCTTCGTCTTTTCTCGGCGCTTTATAGTTTGCAGAGGTCCTATGGTGTCCATTTCACTGGAGGTCTGAGAAAGGGGTCGACTTCCGTTTCCATCGGCGACGCCCCCGCTGGTGCTGCTGAGTCTCTCGCCTTCCATGGAAGTCCTCGCATCGTCTCTCGCCTGAAGAGAAAAAAAAAGTTAAAAGTAGAAGGGATTTGAAGTTACGAGTACAGACAACTGGTATTCACAATTCATGTATTATACAACGTGTACGTATTCTTTCCTATCGCTTATCTTGCACCCTGCATTCCGTGACTGCCAGGAAGAGGAAGTATAAAATACAGGCTTAGCTCTCGGAAGACGAGCCAATGAAAGAAGAGCGGCCGGTCGGGTCTATCTTTTGATTAAGCCGAGTTTATCTTTTATAGCGGAAGTTTGCGAGAATCAGGCTCCAAGAGCTCGGTCAGAAATGCAGAACAAAGTATCGCCCGGTCTGCGTCCTTCGAGAACGGTTCCAGGAAGGCCACCCATAAAATGGACCGGAGATGTATACACATCTCCTTGAGATCGATTATTTATGAATACCAAAGGAAGCATTTTTATTAGATTCCGCGGTACTGTGCGTTTTATCCGGGAGGAACAACCATTACACCGGTTCATCTTTTCCCGATTCAAACATCATCCATCTCGCTCCTCGCCTCCTGAAATACAATTCGATTCGCATGATTCGAGCGCTCCGATCTTGCTTTCCCCGAATTCCCGCGTATTACGAATATTTCGATACGTGAATCACGAGATCCTGAAAAACTTATTTACGCCCCGACCTCCTTCCCTCGTGCGTAACGTTACCTAATATTAAACCGCGCAGCCGATTCCGGACCCATACTAGGGAGGGAAAATTAACCCAGGGTTTAACTAGGCTTAACGAGAGAAAGTGCACAATGAAGATGCCGTTTATAACTGTCGACCGTCTTCGTGGGAGGGCGACGATAACGCGGACTCTCTTTATCTTTCCAAATTGCCCTTAACCGAGTCAACTAACGAAGCATTGATGGATCTTTTTTGCCGGTCGACGAACTTCCTGTCCATCTTGGGATTGTCTCGCCCTGGTAATTCGTGTGTCCCTGGGACTTCGACGAGAGTACCCAGGAGCACGTATACCCGGATACACCTTTTTCAAATCTTGCTTCCATCGTCCCTCGACTTACTCGTCTTCTACCGGCGTGCTTCTTCCTGCACCTCGATTTGACGTAATTCATCCACACGAGCGACATGCCCTTGTCCTTTCTACAACAAAATAATTCCTCGACTCGATAATCGGGCGCGGCCTCGAACAGGTGGATGACACCACGACGCTCGACCGTCGTTCGTTTCGCGCATGCGCGCACAGGTCCCTCCTAAGCACCAGCTCTTGACCTCACCCAACAAGATCCTTCACCCTCGCGGGCGCGCAGAGCACTGAGCGCACCGATGCGGGCTGCGATCCATCGCCCTCGCGATGCGCGGTACCCCCACCCCATTGCCCCCAAAAACCGCCCCTACGTCTCCCCCAACACAGCGGACGTGCTCGCGAGCAGGGGGCATTCATCGTCCAGCCATGGAAGCGGCATTATGCGCCGAGAATGGGTTTTCCGCTCCCGCGGGCTCTACACACTCACCGCATGACGGCGAGCTGGGCGGGACGCGAATTAACGCGGTATTTTTTACCCAGCCCCACGAACACGACCGCTCACAATTACAGTGCGTTCTTGCGCGGTTACGTCAACGAATGACGCGTGTTTTCTCTCTGTAATGCACACCGCTGGCTCGCGATAATAGCGTCCAGGCATAGGACGGTTCAGCGGGTCAACCACCGGCCGGCAATTGCGATCCGCTCCGGATGACGGGAATCATTTTCATTTGTCCGAAGACGACTCGTGGAGCGTGCGGATGAAGCGATTTGATCGAAGCTTTACTCACGCTGTCGTTTTGCAGCAGGGAGTAGGAGTTGTTCGACGGTCCCGGGCTGGAGGACGTGAACTCCGAGAGTTTGCTCGGCGACAGTTTCTCGCTGGCACCGCCGTCCACGCCGTCGCTGCTTCCGCTGCCGCTGGAAGAATAAACGTGAAATTTCTCGTTAATTCACGGATGAAACGTTAATTCGAATGGATAAGTACTTCTTCCTAGTACGTTCTGCATTGGAGAACACTGGAGCGAACGTAACGGGGTCGACGTTGAAACGTAATTTGCATGGAGTTGCGTCGGATGGATCGCGATCGCGGCCTGTTGCGACCAGGGGACGTAAATTACCGGGTGGTCCCCGATGACGCGTTAATGGGGTTCAAACTCACGAGCGCCGGTGAAGTAAATCCAAAGTGTAGGCTTCGATGGGCCGACAGCAGTTCTCCAAGAGCCAATCCTTGGCCGTTAAGTAGCAGTTGCTGCTAGTAATCAGAGTTATCAGGTTGCAGCCTCTCAGTCTGGTCTGGTTCCACAAGACCTCACCTACTTCTCTCGGGTTCATTTTTGTCCATTATAACACGCACTGTTTCTCTTTCCTATCGCGGGCGCGATTATGGGCGACGATTTCTCTTTCATCCGCCTCGACGACCTTCGGCGGCTCCCTATACGGGATGCTACGTTTAACGAGCGACTCGCCGATTGCACCGGCAAATAAACGAGCCTTGTCTGGGGAAGAATTACCACTCGCAATCGAAATTGCCACTAAAGATGCCACGATAGGCAGCGGTTACCAATGCAGATACCGAAATAGTCTGCAACGGTGACTACCGTTGCAACTCGTGTACAGACGCACGCCTCTCTTCCTGTTTTGCGCGGCACTTTGGTATCACCGTAACTACATTGTGGATTGTAGATTATAGACAATTTAAAAAAAAAATATGCGAGTAGTCGAAACGGTCACCGTGTTCACGCTATTTCTGCTTCACCCTGCATCGCGGTCAGCAATGCTATTAAACGTTAAACCACGATGATAGGCAATGAACGTCGATATCATATCGTTCGATAACGCCCCACCAGATCCAAAAATCACACAATGTCCTCCAATGCGACGTACCACGGCTTATTTGTGGCGGACTTAATCGCTACCGTTATCGTCGTGGATTTACAAATATTCGAATTCTAATCTTGTCCAACACTGGAGAATCGAAAATTCAAGGCAAGTCGCTAAGGATAGCATCCTGCTGCTTAATCTTATCGAAGATCACGCGAATTTATATATATGTTTAAGCAATGAAATATAAGATTAAGTAGAATTAAATCTACCTTTCCGTAGGACCAGTGGAATAGCTCGAAGACTCTTCGCCAGATTCGACACTGTTGAAGGACGCGCAATTCATTTTCCTTTCCTCCCACTGGGAGCGCACCTCGTCCTGCACTCTTCTTTTCAGTTCTTCTACTCTTCGTCTTTCTTCTGAAATTACTTGGCTTCCTGCGAGACAACGAGTACGATGTGAATAATTATTAGAATAAAAGATAATTACGTCTACTATGCATTGGTCAGGTCACGGAGCAATTCTTAATCAAAAAAAGGAATAACCTCGTTGAGGTCTGCAAAGAACTTTAATACCGTTTACCTTGCTTTGCTAAATGGAGCTGCCGATTTCTCTCGATTTCCTTGAGGGATTCGATGGTCTTCCTTCCTAAGCTGCCTTGGGTATTTACGATCGGAGAATCGGTGGTAACTCGAGAAATCCTGTCGAAGTCTTCCCTACTTGGCGATCGTTTTTCGTCCGAGTTGTCGTGTGAATTTTGTGCCAAGTTTTCAAGCTCGTCGTCGATCGCTCGTATTCTATTGCGACCCTGAAGGAAAACGGTGCGGAATTAATCTACAGCTACACTGAATGGAAATTTATTAACCCTGTAATTATTTCATCCTATGCACTCACTTCTTCTAGTCTTCGCATATGTCCTAATTTTTGTCTTTCTAAGCTTCTCGTGTCTTTAGTCGCCGTAGTCTTAGCCTCGTTTCGTTGCGAATCTAAGTGATTCAGTTGAGATTTCCTCGCTTCGATCCGGGCGGAGAGTTCGCTTAAATATCTGTAAAAAAAAAGAAAAATAATCACTCCGGTTAATCTTACAAGTATTTAAATTTGCATGGCATTACAGTAGAGGATGCCATCATACCTTTGCAGTTCCTCCCTGGTGGCCAGTTTGCTTGCTTCCTCCTCTAAATGATGAAACTCCAGGTCCTCAAAGGCCTTCCTTTCGGATTCTAGTACATCCTGCTGAATGCGCAATTTTTCTACAAGTTCCTGCTGGACCATCTCGTCCATACAATTCGACAGTTCTTCCTCTAGACAATTGCAAGCCTGTTGAGCTTTTTGCACGCGTTGCTTCGCCTCGGATTGCAGATTTGCCTGTGTCGCGTTGTTTTCGGTCATTTCCTTCTCGAGCTCGTTGATTCTGACCTGCACTCTGATTTTCTCGCTCTCGTCCTGCGTGAGCTTCAGCGACTCGGACTCGTATTCGGCCGATAACAAAGCTTTCTCCAATTCAAACTAGAAATAAAATGGAACATCGGTTGATTTGATCCGAACATTTACGTGCGAACTTCAAAATCAACGCATCGACTCACCTCCCGATTAATATCCTCCTCCTGAATCTCGATATCCGCGACGCTCCTCTTGAGGGCGTCCATATTGCCGAGGATGTGAATCTTCTCGTTTCTCAGAAACCCGATGTACTTCCTCCGATCTTCCTCCTCCAATTCCTTCCTCTCCTTGTCCGCCTTGGCCTCGTTCGACTTCGCGTTGTCTCTCTCGGAGTTGTTCCTCTTGGGCGTTGTGCATATGTCTTTCGACTTGGAAAGCATAGACAACTGCTCGATCGCCTCCAACAGATCGTCATTCGATATAGCCAGCTTGTTCTCAATTACCTCGCAAGAATTGGACAGCTGACCGTTTCTCTTGAGGCTCGCTCGGCCATCCTTGTTGTTCGTCGCTTTCCCATTCGTCACCGTGACGTTTTCATAGGCACTATCGGCGTTGCCGTTGAGCGGCACGAAGTTCTCGTAATTCCGACCTGAGTCGTGGACGGCGATTCTCGTACCGTTCAGTTGAATCTTCCCGAACGCGGTTCGCTCGATCGTCGAGGAGCGCGGAGAGTCGTTGCTCCGCCTCGGGACGACGTTTTCGTAGTTCGGAGTGCGAGATCGAGAAAGCGAACCCGAGAAGCCGCGTTCGCCCTCGCGAATGCCTCCGTTTCCGGTGTCTTTGCCCTGGCAAGTGCTGGGCCATCCTGGCGACCGATTGCTATTATCCGGAGTCGTCGTCTGGAGGCATTCTCGATGACTCGCCGAGTCGTCGTCGACGTTGACCGACTTGGCTCGCTCGTCGTTGGACGCATCGCCGTTCCTCATCGGCCGGCAGTTCTGGAAAGCCACGTTCTCGTAGGCCGCCGCCGGCGAGGTCTGCCTCGAGGACTCGAAGGAGAAGTGCGGCTGGCTCTTCGACGGGCTCTTGGGACTGTCGAAGGGGGAATTGTAGCCCGGTCTCTTGTCTCGCGGCAGCGACCCGTTCGTCTTTATCCTGAAACAACAAACGATGTAGTTCGCGTCCGCCGAGAACCCCCGCACGTGGATTCGATTCCTTTGATGTGAAGCCGGCTCATCGACCATCGGCGATGGTTCGCGTCTGGTTTCGCGGCAAAGGGTTAACCCCGAGGGACGGTCGCCGCGATCAAAGGGTCTCCCTCGGAGCATCGACCCGTTCGAGCATCGATAAATCCCGGTCGCGAATCCGGCTCTCACCTGTTCGGCTGCCGCGGCTTGTCGGCGAGACTCCGCCTCTCGTACTCGGCGCACATGGCGAGGATCTCCTCGAGCCTGGACTTCTCTCGCCTCTCGACCTCCTGCTCACGGAGTCTGTCTTCCTGGGCGCGCTCGCGCCTCCGCTCGGCCTCCTGTCTCTTCTTCTCCGCGTCCACCTGCCGCTCGCGCAGTTCCTCGAGGGAGCGGCCGCCCCCCGGGCCCGCCGCGCACCACCAGCGCCTCCGCTCGCAGTACTCCGGATTCCGGTTGAACATCGGGCTGGGGGGCTGCAGCCTGCGGGCAGGGGGGCTCGACCCGGACCCCTGCGCACTTCGGCCGCGCAGGTCGGGATTGGAGGCGCGGCTCGGCCGATCGCCGATCTCGGAGTCCTCGTCGCTGGCCTCTCGGCAGTAGTCGGCCTCAGCCGGCCCTGGAGCGCGGGCGTACCCCGAGCGGCCAAGGCTTCGCTCGGAGTGCGCCGGGCTGCACGGCGAGCCTCCGCCTCGAAGCGATGCCGGGCTCGACCCAAAGCTCTGCGCGCTTCGGCCACGTAGGTCAGGGTTCGAAGCCCGACTGGGCGAGCTCGCCTCCGGGTCGATCTCTTCCCGCTTCACGGCCCGCAACCGGGCGCGGCTTGGCCGGTCGCCGATCTCGGAATCCTCGTCGCTGGCCTCGCGGTGGCAGTCGGTCTCGGTCGGCCCTGGAGCGCGGAAGTGCCCACCACGACCGAGGTTCCGCTCAGAGGTTGCCGGACTCCTCTCGGAGTTTGCCGCACTCCTCTCCGAATTTGCCGCACTCCTCTCGAAGTTTGCCGGACTCCGCGGCGGACCTCCGCTTCGAAGCGATGCCAGACTCGAGGACGACCTCGAGCGGCCCAGGATCTGGTCCGCAGGGACGCTGGTCGTCACCCCGCCTGCCGGGAATACCTTCGGCGACACGCAGTTCCTGCTCTGGCGGGCCAGCATCTCGAATTTGGTCAGTTTCCCCAGGAAGCCCTCGTCGTCGGAGCACGAGTTCCTCGGCGACTTACGCGGCGCCACGGGTGGCTTCCGCTCCAGGTGCCGCTCCGCGGCGTCGTCCGAGCCCTCCGTTGCGGCGAAGCTGATCGGCGCCATCGAGATCCGGGAATTCGGGAGCACCGACCTGAGCTGCTTCGCCTCTGCCGGGTGGTTGAAGCGCATGTAGTTCGACCGCCCTATGGACAGCATGCAACCTGGAGAAAACACGGGCTCGTTAGTCGCGTTTCAGGTTGCTCCGAGGAAGAGGTCAACTCGCGAGTCTCTTCCGCGGTTATTTACCTTTCACCTCTGACCAGTTTCGTTAAGCGAAATCTGTTAAATATAATTTCCGTCGTCTAGAAAATTACTGCGACCTTTGCCGTTCAATATTTGACGCTTTATTCTCAAATGAAGTTGATTTCCCTCCATGCCCATGTTGTACATCTCTTCAAAGTGCAAGCTTCCCTCTACACGTTGTCGACAACAATCGTGTCTTAAATATTAATTTTTAATCATGTTTATTTCGTCTTTGACCGCAGCCCGTTCGGATTTAATTTTCAAGGCCCTTTTCACAAAATTGTTGACATTGTTGCACCGTGCGCTTGTTAGAGGCTCTTGGAAAGCACTTCTCATGGATGTTTTTTGATGCTCTTTGCGAGTCAAAGGTTTGAACAGCAAAATTCATGATAATTTTCTAGACAACCTAATGCAAATTGCGTGAGCATTGTTTTCTCTCTCTTCGACCAGAAAACGTATCGTTGGTCCACGTTGATCCTGGGATATTCCGCAAGGTTCAAATAGTCTCGACTAACTGCAAGGAGATTTCGCGTATTCGAATCGCGATCGAGCCGTTCGGGTGGAGGCGCGAAACTCGTTTCGCCCGGGAGAGGTTTCTGCATTTGGGCCAGTGGTCGATACCTTTCCGGTCGATCCGGGCGCGTAACGGGTCGATCCTCGACCCAATAACGATTACCTTGAGCGAGTCTCACTGGCGAGCCGATCGGCACCCCGTCGACGGACGTGCTGCCATTTATGGGACGAAGAGTGACCACTCCGCTATTGTTCTCGATCACGCAATGAATGGGCTCGACGCCGGTCCCCGACACCGGGATCTCTGCATCTCTGATCGACCCCACGGTGACTCTTCCTGGACAGTCGGGAAAGGACATGCGATTAGATCAGAGAGTTTTGAAACACCTTTCGTCCGCACTTAGAACCTGGCTTTGTTTACACCGGCGACTATATACGCTAAAGACGTATTCAGGGTAAACGATGATTTTATATTAATGAAACACTTACTACGCTTCCAATGCGCCTTTAGTACACGTGCTAAAGGCTTGGTATGTATTTTTTCTTTCTTTTTTTTTTATTATGAAATCATCGTTCATACAGAGTTTCACAAAAAGTGTCTGCAGTCCGCCAGTACCAAGTGATCGATGTGAAGTAACCAAATGAATACGAATGGCCGTACCATATTCTACCTTTTGCAAACTTTACAGCAGCCTCGGTAATATTTTTATTCCGCACATTGTCCCCAGCGTTAATTGTCCGGAATTATTTCTGGGGGATTAGTTTGGCCTTTTATAACCGGGAAACGAGGTACTCGCGAGCGCTATCGCGGAATCGGCGATGTCATTTCGGGACTGGCGCGCGTTTCGCACTACCGCGAGGAAGCATACCATACCGACGCGACAACTTCTGCGAAAGACCGAGGGTTTATATTTAGTTTTGGCGCGGTCTTGCACCCCGACATTTTGCGTCTTTTTGGAAATTCGCTCGCCGTCTCGCCGGAAATATCGGGCCCCGCTGCGGCCGAGGGAGCCCTTTCGCTCGGTTTCCCGCAAATTCCTACCGAAATAAAGCCGTCCCTCTATGCAGCGAGTTCGGACGACTCGAGCTTGCCGCCCCGCAAAATCGCAGGAATTCCTACCACGGTTCTGGATAGGCAGATAATAAATCGATATCTAGATTTATAATTAACAAGTCGAAAAGCGTAGCTCGACCCAGGGAAGGCAAGAAAAGTCCAGACAAAGTCGACCCCAACCCCATCAGCAGGCTCGTCGAGCAAAACTATTGAGACCAGATAAAAAACATAATTATAAATGATAACGATAATGATGAAAGTTAACAAGACTAAAATGGAAACATCAAATAAGTCTTAATAAAAGAAATGGTTAGAGGAAGAGAAAGGAAATAAAAAATGAAAAAAAAAAAGAAAGGAAAAGTCGCGAGTATAGGAGTCACCCTCTGAGCGGAGGCGCGTCGTTTCGTTTTCACCTCGTTTATCCAATTCCTCGTCCGTTGACCGCATCGGCGACTCGCTCCTACCAATGGCTGCACCGCGGTGCAGTAAGTGCATCCCCGCAGCAAGCGGCCGGTAATTCTGATATCGCGCTCGTGGGTGGTCTTCGCGTTATTGGTCATAACGGTCACTTCCGTCCGCTTCGAGGGAAACGATGGAAACGAGAAGTTCTTTCGCCCTGGGGTTTCCACGTAGGTCGGTATCGCACCGTGATCAATTTCTACCGAGGATCGTGGGCTCATAGGTAATCGTCGCGGGCCCGAGAATACTCCACTTTGAGGATCGACCGGTGCAATAATTCCCATTGCCCTCCGCATTCGGCGGGGATATATTTATATCTGGGGACCTCAGGTTACCGTCCTCGGTCGTTCCCCGCCGTGGAAACGTTTATTTCGCTCGCCGATTTATTGCGCGCGCATGCGGAATCCGGGAGCGAGGTCGCCGAGGACGAAGCGAGGTTTACCTTCCGGCAGGGGATGCAACGTAACCGCGGTCGACAGCCGTCCGCTGCCCATGGAGACGAGATGCGGAGCCTCGGTCTGAACGCGCAACGCCCGGCCGGCTTCTCGTACCTCCAGCCCCGCAGTGGTCATCCCTGGAAAACGAGAAAGCGTCAGCGTCAATTTCTCGACCGTCGCGTTTTTCCGGTGATACGGAAGCAAGGTGACAAAAAAGGGTCATGAGACTTTTCGACCTAGGCATACCGAATGGTTCGATGCTTCGATCGAGTTAAGGCGATGTGAAAGTGGCGTCGAAGAGGTTTTCTTCTATAAAAATTTTCTCCCAACTCGGTTTACCGAATAGTTTGAAACTTTACAACATAAATAGGAAAACTATAAGGAAGGTCCCGAAACTCATGAAATTTCGCGAGTTTCAGGACCTACCTTAGGGTCTCCATATTCACGTTTTCAACTATGAAACGATTTGGGACACCCAGTTTGTGGAAAAGTTTTATGAACGATTGAGCTTCCGAATGCCACTTTCACATCCCCTTAAGGTGATATGAAAGGGTCATACTGTATATACATAAAAATGTCAAAATATTTATCAATGCACCGAATAATTTGAAACTTTAACGTGCGATCACTGAGGTCCCGACGAAAGTCTCGAAACCTGCGTAATTTCACTTGTCGACAAAGAAATTTTTATGTATCCCGGACAAGAACCAAAAGGGAAAAAAAATTTCGAGCATTTCATGACTTTCATTAGGATCTCCGTAATCACGTGTTAATGTTTCAAGCAGAATTCTATGGAATGACCCTTTCGTATCACATTAATCACCCGCATATGGAGCGATTTTGATGCGTTTTATCTGCGGCTTCTGTACCATGTAATAATTGATTCGTGAAAATAAATTTCTTCTTCTTTTTTTCCTAAGTTTCGACGACGGAGTTCTTTTAAGGGCACGGCCGACGCGAGCGTTTAAGGCCATCGGGTGGAGGAAGCGAGAAGACGCCTCGAACGAGACTCGGAGATGCTCCCCGCTCGTGGGCGATTGCGACGATACGAGGTCGGAGATCGCGGCCGCGAAAAAGGCGCAAAAAGTCCCGCGGGAACCGGTCCTCCTCGACTCTCCGCCTACCTTTGGGCCTCCTCAGGGTTCCCCGAGGTGCCCGGGGAGGCACGGGGTCACGGGGTCGCCGGAAATTAGCGGTGAGCGTGCGAGAACGGTGCGGATAGCCGGCCCACCCGGTGAAGGTCCCTCCTTGCGAGTACCTACTTTTAGGAAATAAAAGGACGAAAAGATGGCCCCCGTCGCTTCCCGTGCGTAGATATAGGCGAACTCGAGAGTATTCCCCGACGCGGCCACGGCCTAGCTTAACGCGCTCAATTAAAGTCGTTTCAACTCGTTGAGATGACTCGCGCCGGACGAACAACCCCAACAGCTGCGCGCCCGGAGGAGCGCCGTGAGCCTTTCCCGTCGCCTCTTATCCCGGCACCTCGAGGCCTCGGGAAAGCGGCCGGCGAATTTCTCCCGAGGATGAGTTTCGCTCTTGTGGCCATATCGCATATCTCACCGTTAATTACATTTCAATATTTACAGATTTCGAAATCTGCGCTATCCGTGCCCTTCGCATACTCTCGTATTAAAATCCGAAGCATAAAATTTACTCAAAGCTCCGAAATATCGAGTTTTTAATAAACTTCGACCATCCGTATGCTATGCTTCGATAGGGTTGGCATAAATCCGACTTTTCTACAAAAAGCCAAGCCCAATGGTTTTAACCGGTTTAAACCATATTTGCTGGGTTTTACCGCCTAAATCGTCGCCTAAATAACGGATTAAAAACTGGTTTAAGCCATATTTCAACCAGGTTCTTTCCACGGCTTTATCCCGAGTATGCGCAGGAACGAAAATATGTTTAAATGCTACCTACACTTTAGATAGAATAGAATATATTTTAATTTGTTTGGACGTGAGTGGAGCGCATGTATAGGTACAGGGTGCATACAATATTAGAATAAATTCTATGCTACATACATCTACATGGATTTTATAAAATGGTTTCAACCGAGTGGGTTTTATGTAATGTATTTTATCTGCTGGAAAAAAAATCGGAAAAAACCGCCGGTTTTAATCAGAATGGATAAAATTTCGCTAACCGTGTGCTTCGATAATTTTAACAAGATTTATCGTTCTCGATAAGTACATGTATGGTAGGTACATTTCTAGAGATCGTTTTTCATGAGCTCATCGCCACGATTTATCGTTACGGGTACGTACTTTGTACGTACGTACAATTATACGTACAAAGTACGTTGTTTGTAACATAATGACGTACTTTATATGTACAAAGTACGTATAGTGCAGGTACTTTGAGGTGGCTGCACCATTTTCGGGGTGCAGCCCCCTTAAGGTGGCTGAACCATTTTCCTCCTCCGTTCTCGCGCCACTTGGGCGATAACGAAACCGAAAGCGCAGCGGCTTCGCGGGTCCGATGTCTGGTCCGGCTATCGGGCGCTCGTCCTCTCGTGTGAACCCGGAGGCCAGCTACGCGCGGGCATCTGGCTCGCAGCCTCTCGCGCCGGTTTTTCTCGCTCCTCGTGGGACGCGCCTACGCCGCCATCGCGCGGCTCGCACGAGTCGCGTACGTAGCGCGCACTGTGCGCGGCGCACTCAACGCGCGGACCTCGCGCACCTCGCGCACCACGTGCACTCGTCCCGCGAGTAGGTACTCGTCCGTGCGTTGACTGCGCCCCGTCCGAGGCCGGGAAGAAAGGGAAACGAGAGAGCCTCCTCATTTCGTCCGGCGAGCGACTCTCGGTGGAGGAATCTCGCGATAATTTCGAGCCACGCTGAGAAAAAAACAGCAAACCAAAGAAATAGCACGAAACAGTCCGAAAGAAATATTTCATTAAGTCAAAGAACAATTGCTTGAAGAACTTGGATGCTTCGAGTCAAGTGATTATTCTGCGAATGAACAAAACATTTCCTCGAGTCAATCCGAATTATTTTCGATCAATTATATATGTCGAACGCTCGCAGACGTTAAACCCTGCAGTAAAACGCAACCGCGTCGAGCAACGTTGCGCCAAGTCCGTTCACCCTTGCAACCTCGACGCCGCACCGTCGTGGGATATAAAGCCGTGTTCAGACTTGCAATCGCAACGCTCGCCCTGTGTAAACGAGGTTGAGAATCTGACCCGCGGCCTGACGCGACGTGGTCGCAAGTCTGTACGCACCTTCTAACCGTCTAACGCTATCGCGACTATCCGTGGCACGGTATCGCGCGGCTCCTTTTTCCGCGCATCCCGCAGCGGAAAAGACGTCGCCGGCGCGTGCCTTCCGCTGACCTTGTACGCGCGCGTCTTTTCGCCATCCATTTCGCGCGTGCCTTCCTCGGCCTCTCCGGAAAGGAATTCCGCCGAGCCAAGCTTGGCAACAACATACATCCCCGAGATTTCCCATTTTCTTCCGCGTCCCTTCTCGCGGGAAAAACGCGCCCCCGTCCTGCGGAATGCTCCTCGGATCGTTCTCTCTTTCCCTCCGATACGCGCGTCCTGCTCGTCCTCGTGTCGCCCCCCTCGCCATCGACTTCGTCAATGAGACCGAGCACCGTCATTCAAGGATCGTAGTATATATGTATATATGTATGTATGTCCGAAAACGGTGCATACAAATTCTCGCGGTTAGCCCAACTCAATCCTACCTGTGTACATATATAATACCTACATCGAATTTCATTCCTTCTCCTCTGACGCGAAGTTAATACTCTTGGGTTACGAGGAAGTTATCCATTCGTAGCATCTTTCCTCAAGGATGAATTATTAACCTGTGGCGGTCATAGCATATGTATATATATATCAGAAGTTCTTCCTTCTACACGGGCCTTCGATAGCCCAGCGGTTACGCTCACCGCTCATACCACATAGTCTCTCGGGTTCGAATCCCGCTCAGAAGAGATTTTTCGGTGTCTAAGGCAGGGTCTGCCTGATAGCCTTACTGACGAGTCCACACAGAGAGACCCGGGACAAAACACAACAAATGGGTACACACACACCATCTCCACACCTCATCTATACCCAAAAACCCTTTCGTTGCTATTGGCGTATATAGAAGCTTCGAAAATGTGCTCGATTTATATCGTCTCTAACACTATGACAATTCATAATTTCACGTGGAAATCTAGGAAATCAGCCGCCGTGTATCTTAAAACATCTCCGAGTGCTGCTTTTTCGCGAAAGAATATTTAAATTGATTTTTTGTAGGCGATCGCAATGACTTTTCACGGTTTTTCGATGTGTTCTCTGGGTTGTCTCGTTGGGATGTGCGGTTTATTTACGCAGGGCTCTGCCGCTAGTCGCGTCCCATCAGGTACGGTAAATGAAGAGCGATTTTCGCGTCCGGTGGGACCATTACCATTGCTAAATTATGAAAAAGTAACGCGGAAAACTGGGAAATCACCCATCAGGTATCTTAAAACACTGCCGAGTGTTACTTTTTGGCGAAAGAATGTTTGATTTTCTATACGTGGTAGCAACGCCTTCTTGCGGCTCTGCGACGCTTTCCTCGGGATGTCTGGTCGAGATGTGCGGTTTATTTACGCAGGGCTCCGCCGCGACTCGCGTCCCATCAGGTACGGCGAGCGAGGAGCGAACGTCGCGTCCGGTGGCCGCATATAGAACATCCGCTCGGCGGTCCCGCGCTCGTCGCTTCTCGCTCGTCCTCCGAGGCAACCGGGTTCGCCGTACGTTTCGCCTTAACCGTTAATCAGGTGCACCAAAGGTCGTTACGTAAGTCGGGGTATCCTAGGAAGAAAAATTCCAGAGCAGAGGGAGGAGAGTAAAGAAAAACACGGGTGCACTCTACGTGGCCGCACAAACCTGACAGGCCCAGCAAATGTGTCAAGAATCACGTATTTGTGATTTACGTACGTTTCGCCTTAACCGTTCATCAGGTGCACCAAAGGTCGTTACGTAAGTCGGGGTATCCTGGGAAGAAAAATTCCAGGGTAGAGGGAGGAGAGTAAAGATATACATGAGTGCACTCCACGTGGCCGCACAAAACTGACGGGCCCAACAAATGCGTCAAGAACCATGTATTTGTGATTTACAGTAGAGCAGTCATCTGTTTCGTTAACACTCTATAAGGCC